TTCATGCTCACTCAGCCAGAGCGCCTCTCTGTTACACCCAGATGCCCCATAAAGCCCCATCGGAGTCGTGTGACCTGCCTGGGCCGAGGGGAAGGGTGTTATTTTTGGGCACTGCCAGGCTCAACCCGCCCCATTGGCTCTTTTTTAAAGCTCGGTGTCTGCAGATTGGCTCTGTCAGATGTGAACATGCAGGTGACAAAGGGGTAACGGTGTTCCTCACAGATGATGATGTCACCTTGTCACCCTCTCACCTCCGACAGCCTGCTGGGTGACATCAGAACTTGAATCTCTGTGAACTGTCAATCACAGTCTTGATAAATATACCGTTCTGATTCTGGCAAGAGTTAAAACAGCATTGCTGATCCCGTCCCCTGTGTGCTGACAGCAGTGAATATGAGCAATCACTGTACAGGCCAGTTGTGGTTTTATAGGTCAATGGCATATTTTCTAATAATCTTTAATCATTATTTCTAAGAGAAAAAATCATATAATAGTATATTAGAAAATAAATTTTATATTTCATATTTATTTATTATTTCATATCTAATATACTATTTTCTTCAGCAAGGACGCATTAAATCAATCAAAAGTGACAGTCAAGATATTTGTTACAAAACATTTTTATTTCTATTAAATTCTGCTCTTTTGTATTTTCTGTTCATCAGAGAATTCAAATATATATATATTGTGTGTGTGTATCACGGTTTCCACAAAATATTAAGCAGCAAGACTGTTTTTAATATAGATAATAAGGAATTTTATTTAAAATGTTTCTCACAATATTACTGTTTTTACTGTATTTTATAGCCTTGATGAACATAAGAGGCTTTCAAAGCATTTTTTAAAACTGTTACACTTTAGTTTAGGCTCCAATTCTCACTATTAACTAGTTGCTTATTAGCATGCATATTACTATGATATTGGCTGTTTATTAGTACTTATAAAGCACATATTATTGCCTTATTCTGCATGACCATATTCTACATCCTTAATCCTAGCCAGTACATAAACGTAACAACTACCTTACTAACTATTAATTAGCAGTAATTTGGAGATTGAGGCAAAAGTCGTAGTTAATAGTGAGTTAATAGTGAGAATTGGACACTAATCTAAAGTGTGACCAAAAAATCTTATTGACAGTGTAGTGTATTCGTCAGAATACATGGCAACTTTTGAATGTTTTTTTTCCCAATGAATAACGATGCTGCTTGTATCCAAATTGTAGTTATGCCATCTACCATTTAGCAGGGGTTAAATTAACCATGTAACCTTGTCTTGACCCCTTGTTTCACAGGCGAATATACAGGGACAAGCTGAAGTTCTGGACTCACTGTGTGCTGGTGACATTAGTCGTCTTCACTGTCATGTCTTTCTTTGCTGAGCAGGTCAGTATGGTTTGGCTTACATGTCCATTGTGCACTATCTGTCTTTCTTTATTTCACTACACACACACACACACACACACACACACACACACACACACACACACACACACACACACACACACTGTGTCCAGTCAGCTGAGTCTGGATAGTCTCAATAACATTAGCAACTAATATATCGAATTTTACCCAGCAACCATCTGTGTTCTTTTAAGGAAATGGTAAAGGCAAAAATATCATCCTGATGATTGATCAACCAGGCAGCTTGCAGCAAATAGTCACACTATTAATTGCAGGGTCGTGTTTCTGTCTTTTGGAGAGGTTAATGGACACAGTGACCTTTTAAAAGACCAGTGTGTCTTCATCTGTACTTAGTGACAGAACAGTAATGTGAACACTCACTAGAAGTTACAAATATGGATATGATGCATTATCAGTGGATGCTTCTGCTGCTGCCATAAATGCATGTAGAGGCATGTCATGTTTAGCTGCATCATCATTTCTGACAGACTGGCACATTAACAGGCTTTATTACAATCTTCAGAAAAGATTTACAGCCTCCCTCGTTAACTTCCTGTTTCTCTTGATGTAGTTCCCGCTTGTATGCAGCACTTATTATTTTCATTATTGTTGTTTTTTAATGTTTTAGTTAGTGGTTATGGAGGACTTGAAGTGACAAAAATACAATGAAAACAATTCTCTCTCTCTCTCTCTCTCTCTCTATATAGATATATATATATATATACATATTCAAAACGGTTTAATTTGTTTAAAAACAGTTCAATGTAATGATAAATAATATAATAAAGTAATGGAATTTAAATAGCATTTTTATAAACATTTTACAAATTGTTTTTCCAGTGGACTGTTCACATGTGGAAACTTATTACTTATTACAACTTATTACTTATTACATGTGGAAACTTATATAAATTTATTAATTATTTTGTTGGATTTAACTGCAATTTTAAAGATTAATTAAATCTATTTGTATATTTTATTTTATTTTCACATTATTTTTTTTAATATATTTTTAGACATTCATTAATAAATATAGTAATATTCATATAAATTTGATCATTTGAAAATAACTTTTAAATGAATAACATAATTGATTTATTTTTATTTTTAAATGGCACTTTGAGTTCTTCATAAGGGGTGGGTAATCCATACACTGATTCATGTTTCTTTGGCAAACAAATTTGAAACTATTTGCGAAAACTAAATCAGAATTATTAATGATTAATCACATTGTGACTCTGAATCTAAACTGAATCCTGTTTTAGTCTAGTATTAGCCTTCCCTTTTTTGATCATGTGTCAATCTTGTTTCTATACTGTACGTGTATCATGTGTCGGTCACAAGTTGACCCACAGCATTCACAACAGGGTTGGTTGACACTCCTTTCTCTTCCTCTTCTTTCCATCCCTCAGCTGATCATGTTGAAACGACGGCTTTTCCCCAGACGCAGGGTCAGCAAGGATGTGAACCCAGAGCGGGTGTGAGGTTATTCCTCTCTCAGAGGGTGTGTCGTGGGAATATGAAGTACCACAGAAGTACTTGCGTTAATGCCGTCAGATAAACTAGCCCATTTGGAGGTGACTGGATGAAGTTGATGTAGAAACTTCGAGGTACAGGCCTCCTTCACAAAGGGGCATTAGTGAGACACACTGCGGCCCACGAGGCAAGCGGCTTTCTCTCGTCCCGCGATCACACTCCTGGTTGTGTATTGAATGTGAACTGAACTCGATATTGAGTGTGAGTTGCCATATGACCTGAAGTGTTTGAAATGTGATGATTTGAAATAGGATTTTTAATTTAAATGAGAACATCAAGGGTAAAGTACTACCCGCAAAGGGTTGTTCTTTCTCTTGTTCTCTTTGTATTGTCTTTCCTTCCTCATCCTCACAGTGCCTTTCTTTACCACATGAATGAAAGCGGTGGACTCTGATGCACGGCTGGAACTCTCTGCCTTGTGTTTGGCTTTTTGCATTTGTCTTAATCTGTCTTGCTCTCTCTTGCTTATTCCAAAGTGGCACAAAATCTCCGGGAGCGTATTTAAAACCAAACAGCAATCCTGATACTTGGTAATTCGAGCAAGGATCAACAAAAAGGACCCATTTCCTTCTCTTTCTCTTTCTAAATGCATGTCGTTTTTGCTTGAAGTCCTTCACGTGCTTGTCTCTTAGTGGGACATTAAATACCGACTCTGTCTGAAATTCAGATGCCACTGCCTGTGGCCCTCATGTGTATTAATTAACTCTTCACCTTCACTTGTCTTTAAAAGGGAATTGTTGTTTTTTTTGCTTGCTCATACGTTACAACTACTGACCCCAAACCTCTGCAGGGCGTACGTGCCTGACAAAACAGGCTTGAGTTTATAAAAACGTGTTGAATGATAATGCTGTTCTGAGATGTATTTCCCTGTTTACTTTTATTTATTAGGTTATGAAGGACATAATCGTAATATACAAGCATATCATTGTTTTATTTTGGAAATGTAGGTTATTAAAATTCTATCTAAATACATTTTAGGTTTCTAAATTATACTGACACTTTTGTGTCAATTGTAAATTTAACCAGAAACTGTGCCTCTTTTAAATTTTTTTTTTTTTTGGAATTGCTCAAGCAGAAATCTGAATGACATAATGTAATGAAACAGCAAAATCTGTCAATTAAAAGTCTTTCAAAATCATGACTGCTTTGATATGCCTTGTTTTGAAATTTGAAAGGCAGCTGCACCTTAAGTCACATTTTTAGGTGTTGCCTGTCACTGCTTCTTGCTTTCAGGACGAGGAAATGACTTTAGACAGTGTTCTATTCAAATCACACAAATTTTTTTATTTTTATTAGCCCTTTGGGAGGAGATGATTCTAAGCAGGCAGAGATAGTGCATCATAAAACGGGCACAGAGGATCAACACCCCCCAAAACCCCCTCCAAAAAATCCTTGTCCCTGTTTTTAATACAGCCACAATCCTTGACAATTAAGTTCTTTCAATTATTATTTTTGTTTTAAACAGGCTTGACTTAATTTCACACTAAATTCAGTCAGATTATTAAAATAAATACATACACTTTAATCACTGGACAATCACAAAAAGTTTACTTTTACTTCTTAAAGCTACAATGGCTGTTTGGGCAAAGTTTATTTCTGGATCTTGTTTTTTTTTTTTTATGCAAAGTCTCGCAAGATCTACAAATAGCTGCTTTTTTAATGACAGTAAAAATCCTAAACGGTAAAAAGGTTCTGTGATGTAAACCATTGGCAGTTTGTCGACTATATGAGATCTTAAATACAATAACGAAATTTGTAATACTTTTTTCTTTTGTACTTTACCAAGATCAGAGGTATAAAATGTGTCTAAATGAAATTATGGATATTATATGATGTAGAAAACGGGCTTAGTTTAAAAAAAAAAAAGCAGAAGATTAATTGATTGCCCAAACTGCAGTTGTAGCTTCCCTTTTTTTCTTTAAAATTGACAAACATGATCAAACCCAAAAAACAAAGTGCAAATCTATTCTGATGAATACTACAGTGAGACAACAAAAAAATCCCCCCATTAATTATTTTTTGGGCTATTTTCGATAATTGTTTTTTTCTCATCTTAATCTTTGACCAAATGCTTTGGATTAGAAATATTTAGGCCATGTAAACTTTTTGGCCAATTCATCTTAAGTGAATGATTATTTGATTTCCCAACAATTTCCAACGTATCCTTTGAAATAATAATAATCTATAGTTCGTTCCAGCACAGAATGAACCATTTCAAGGCAACAGAAAACTTGAACTTGGCTCAGTGAAGCTCTGGCCCTGAGGCCATGTTTTGTACATTTCGTTGTGTCTAAACTTTTTCTTTTGATCCAGTGAGATATTCTAGTGTACATTAGTGTGGAAAAACAATACGAGCTGTTCTTACTCAAGATGGTCTGGTCAAACCTGGCAAAACATTCAGTTCTGTTAGTTTGTGGTGGTCACACTGTCAAGGCCGTTGCGGTTTTGGTTTGTGGGGTTCTCCTGCTCTAGCTTGAGAAGCGGGACGACGTCTTCATTCTTACATCCCGCTTTCTCCTCCCGCCGGGCAAATTGTCAGTCTCTGTGGGTGTGGCCCTGTGGGGTGATGCTGAAAACCCGGATTCGTAGGTGGGAGGCGATTTGCAGGCATAGGCCCATGCAGTAACGCACCAGATCCACCAGGGACAGCACCTAAACAACGGTGATTGAGATAAGACAGGCTTGTTTAGTTTTGACTCAAATGCTATTTGATATGGAAGATTGTTTCTGCCACAGAATTTTTTTTAAAAATCAAGTAAATTTATATCTCACAATTCTGACTTTCTCAGAATTGTGAGACATAAACTTGCAATTGCGTGTTAAGTTTGAATTCTGGAAAAAAAGCTCAAAACTTACATTTTCTCGCAATTGTGAGTTTATATCTCAAAATGCTAAGGAAAAAAGTCCTTTTATTTTTTTTTAAATTCTGAGGCAGAAAAAAGCTTCCATAATTTGCTCATAAAATACATTGGTCAGAAACCATACAGCTTTATAGTATGTTCGAAAACTTGAAGAAAAAAAACACTGAAGCAGTTAAATTGAATTTCTACACTGAAGGTTTGACCCGCTAATGGATCCGGCTCACCATGGCGATCCAAAGTACGATGTGTTCATCAATAAAGCTGTTGAAATACTGATTTAGGAAGAGGAGTCCAGGACCAATGAAGGCTGTGTCCTGAAGATGAAGCTCACTCTTGGTCATGTGGGCCACCTGTAGAGCAAATCATACCTGAAAACACCTGATGCACTTTAGATCGTTTTAGATAACCGTTTAAGAAAAGGATGAAGCTCATGTAGGCACATGAGAAACACTCACCACCAGCTTATTTGAGATCTTGGCGATCACCATGCCAAATGTAAGAACATAAAGGCAAGGGTGGTGCTCGAAAAGCTGACTGGAGGACTTTTTAAAGATGATGAAGGCCAGAGTGAGGATGAGACCGATGTGTAGACCAGGAGACAACACACTTGTGTCCTGAGGAAGACGTGCACTGTTAAAGTTACCCTATTATTTAACAAAGACTTTTTACTTTGCATTGTTAAACCTTGAAAAGGAGTTATCATATGAAGCACAAAGCTAAAAAAACAAAAAAACATGACTGCAATAGGAATCAATGCTTTTAAAGAACAAAAACAACAAAGACTTTAATGACCCAAGCACTGCTGGAGTGCACTTACTGCAACGGTTGAGCCGTTCTTGCCCACGCCACCATTCAGGATGATGTAGAAGTAGTTATAGGTTGAATACAGGAACCCGCCGATGATGCCAAGAATTGGAAAGGTTTGCAAATTCACACCAAGAACAGGTAACTGGGTGAAACATATGAGAATATATAATATGAGAATATCTGTTAGTTCGTGGCTCATGTGAGCAGGGGTGCTGGGAAGGGGTGAGGCTGAAGCTCTGAGTATGCTTTTGAATAGGGAGGTTCGAAAGACTGATGTGCGTGTTGAAACCATCTGCTGTTTTCTGCTTTTTTGGCAAAATAATGTCTATGGGTGACTGGTAGCCATGGAAGCAGTTTTTACCTACATTTACCTTTTCACAGTCTGTCTTCAGACAGGAGGCAGAGAGCAAAAGACAGAAGGTCTACTTAAAGAACACACTCAGAAAGGGGGCTCTGTCATGATTCACAGTTTTGAAGGGTTTGAATTATTTATTTTTTTAGTAATATTATAGTTCGAACACTTTTAAAAGAATTATTTGAAACCATGTCTACACTGGAAGCACCAAATTGCATGTCACACTGCAACTGAGGTTATTACATTAAATTATAATAAATGATATTTACTTATATCATATGATATTATTATTATATTAGCATTGTGAATAAATGTTAATAAAACTATTCATAAATAGACATGATAGATTACATAAATGTATTATTTTTATTATTATAATATTAGTATTGAGAATAAACTTGTAAATAAACAAACTACTAATAAAAATATATTATATTTATCTTTTTATTATTATTGTGAATAAACATGTAAATAAAAAAAATATTTATATTATTATATTTAAATGCATTTAGGTAGATATAATATAAATCTATGTATATAAATATAATATAAATATGAGCTTTTATTTATTTACATGTTTCTTTGTTTATTCACAATACTAACATTATAATAATATCAATAATTATAATGTAATCGATAGATTTATATTATATTTACCTAAATTTAATATATTATTGTTAGTTTTGAATAATTAAAAATTATTAATAAAAAATGGTGAATTTATACATGAGGAAAAATAATTATATATTGATCTATATAGTATATTGATGACTGTATTGGCACAGCCCTAGTATGCAAATGGTTTGCTAAACTTTTTAACTGATTGATTTTAAATTAGTAGGCCAGAAACATAAGCTGACAGATGTAACAGTCAGAAGTTACTTAAATATATATCAAATAAACTAGCAGTCAATTCTCACAAAATGATACTTGTAAGTAAAATCATATTATGTCAGACTTATGGGGAAAATAAGTAACTCTGCAAGTCATAGACATGGAGTGTCTGTTTTCCATTTGAAATCATGTTGTGACTGGCCACAATGGACTTTTCTAGTGTAGACGGTTTCAGTGATTATAATGGGAGTGGATTTATGAATGTTATGAGAAAGAAACTAAGGTCTGTCTGTTAGAGAAGGTAATTGACGTACCCTAGTCTCCCAAAGACTCACACCTCCAAATGCTGTCATGATATACATGATCACAATAGCAATCTGGACCTCTGTCACGTCAACCCTGCAGAAACCATTCAACAATAAAACACAGTTTGAAAACAAAACAAAACTGGCTATGAATTCAGTCGAATAAGCCATGAACAGATGCACTCACAATCCGAAGCGGAGTGTTCCAGACACGTACGTCTGCCAGTGCGCGCAGAAAAACATGAACATGCCCACAAAGCCACAAAAAAACATCCAGTTAGGGTGAGCGCCGATCCCACAGGATATACACGTTCCCACGGCAACAAACACTAAGAGAGCAATCCAATTAGAATGCTGTTAATATGTACAGATGTAAATAAACGACAAACAGCATAAATCTACTGCTAATCAATGAAAGTATTACCCAATATCTTTTATTATACCCTAATATATTTTTAGGATGTAGCTAGTTGGTTGCTTACTGGGCCAATTTAAGAGGTTCGTTCAAAGCTCTAACTGTAACAATAATAGTAATACTGATGGTTGCCTGAGAAAGCACTACTAAATATTACTCATAACTAAAGGACGAAAGGTGTCTGGCTGGTTATACCTGTTGAAACTGCGTCACAGCCATGGTCGAAGAGCTCCCCAAGAGCTGAGCTGCTATTGGTCCGTCTGGCCTGCTTTCCATCAATGGCGTCCAGCGATTGGTAGATGAAGAGACCTAAGGCGCTGAGAATAAAGGCCCAACCTGGAGCCTAAAAAGGGTAGATTATGAAGGAAAAAATAAAGGCCAGGCCTTTGAACAAATATGAACAAATAAGCATTTTGAAGACCCGGTTCTTCTTGTTTGACTCAATTAAAGCCAATGAGGCATTTTTCCAAATGATATTAAATGCTCTTTGTTCATTTATCTGCGGTTTCTTACATTCAACCACTCAAGCTTGCAGATCTCTTATGCCAAGAGAGAGCAAACAAACCCTCAAACTAATCTTTGACCTCTAACTGATATGGATGGTTTGTATTATTTTATGCAAGACTGGAAAAAAAAAACTTATCAAGGATAGCAAACATGGACACAAAGGAGCTTTATTTTATCTTCTTTCCTTTAATAGATACAGTTATCTCCACTATTTTGCCATAATATCATTTGCTGTGAAGCGAATTGGGAAAGAAGCACTTCAGCCATATATTATTCTTGCTAAGCAGAGTGAGAATAATCAAATAATATGAAGGAAAGAATCTGAACAAATGTGAAATGATTTAAATCCTTAAAGTTGACAGGCGTAACTGTCTGCCCTAGATTGTTTGCTTTAATGCTCCGTTTCTTCCTTATCTAGGCCTCATTTTCACTATTATTCATTTCATCCCTTTAAAACATTTGGTGTAGATTGGAAATATAAGATTTAGCATATTAACATGGGTGTAATAGAGTAACAGGTGTGAAAAATAAGAGATAAAGGTTGAAAAAATTACCATATAAAGACCACGAGTAACCAATATGACATGGTGGAGTGCTTTGAAAAGACCCATAAACGTGGATAATGCGAAATTAGAAGACGATGTAAGCGTTGTTTAAATCAAGGGTTGTGTGTGTGTGAGTGTAAGTGTAAAAGTCTAATATGGGCAAAGGTCCATGTGGCCTACAGGGTCGATTTCCCAGAGAGCCTACATGCAGGCCATCTGGTTTCACTGCACAAAACAGAATAAATCCCCTGCGTGTTTCAGATCCATCACTTCAGTACTTTTCATTCAAAAATCTCTTGAAGGCCTTTAATGTATTAAATAATTCTCCCTGTTAAGTCTGTGACTTTGGATGTGATTGTTGTTAAGAGAACAGGACACACAACTCAATATCAGGCTTATGCAGTTACATGAATAAGGACATACAGTACAGTCGATTCTGATACTAGACACAGATACTGATAATTTACATTATACGAAATGATGCACTGTTCGTGGTTGTCAGATTAAATCTGGACCTAAATATGTGGAAACAAATAGTGATATGTGTATTATCTGACATGCCTTTTGGTGTTAAGCAACACTACTGTTCAAGCGTTTGGGGCTGGTAGGATTTTTTTTTTTTTTTTTTTATGTTTTAGAAAGAAGTCTCATATGCTGACCAAGTCTGCAATTATTTGATCAAAAATAGAGTGAAATTTTCAATTTGAGTATATTTTAAATGTAGTTTATTTTTGTGATGGAAACCCTGAATTTTCAGCATCATTACTCTAGTCTTCAGTGTCACATGATCGATCAGTAATCATTTTAATATATGCTGATTTGGTGCTCAAAAACTTTTCTTAATATTATCCGTGTTCAAAATGGTTGCGTTGCTTAATATTTTTTTGTGGAAAAACCAAGATACATTTTTTTCAGGATTCTTTGATTTAAAAAAAAAAAAAAAAAAAAGTTCAAAAGTGTTCAGCGTTTATTTTAAATAGTTAAACATTTATAAGGTTACAATTTTTATTTGTCACTTTTGCTGATAAAAGCATTCATTACTTAAATCTTACAGACCCCAAACTTAAAAAGTGTAGGTTTTGTTGATTTTGTTGGAAAAGTGTATGATTTGTTATCGCAACATATTTTCTTTTGACAAATCCACTTAGATAATTTATGTAGTTCAGATAACATAATATTTTGAGTTTCTGTTGATTAAACCAGTCTCCTTCATTGTATTTACTCTTTTTTTTTTTTTCAATTGAACTTAAATTAAGTCATCCAGATTATTAACTTTTTTCAAGTTAAACCAACAATACTTTTTTACAGTGTGTAGTAGTGAATATCATCACAGTTGTGATTACCTGTGGCTTGGCCTTGTGCTAATATTCAATACAGCAGCTCTTGCTCATGCAATATTGTTTAATTATAATATATGATGATTATGACATTAATTATATTACTACTTTGGGCGACCTGACCAATAAGTTTGTCTCCGGGTCAAAGTTCACTCCCTTTATCTATGTTCTATCCTGACAACAGGTGGGTTAAAGTTGTGCATTCAGCAGCAATCTCCAAAACTGCATAGCAATAAACAGAGGAATCTGGACTTTGCCAGTGGACTATGATTCTGGAAATATGACACACACAGGGTACTGTGACATGTGGTCACAGTGCAGCCAGGAATCAGATAGAGAGGGTCAACAGCTAAAATAACAAACAATGATGATCTGCATGGCCTTCACAGTCAATAAATCTAATAAAGCTGCTTACAATGCCTTCCAAGCAGGCAACACTTTATTTTAAGGTGGCGTAGTAACATGTTGCATGTATACTATAGTAGTAATAACAGTAAATGATAGATAGTTACAAGTAACTAACCTTAAACCAAACCCTAATCTCACACCTATAGTACGTACATCATGTAGTTAACTAATATTACTCAGTACTTACTTATTTGTGTAACAAAACACTGTAACAACGTCAACTTAAAATAAAGTGTAACCCAGTTTCATAATACATCAGTTAACGTGAATCGATAAGCAATGTGCTACTAGAGACAGCGGCCAAAAAATCCACAAACACGAAGCTACGAAACGTTACTTGTGTATTTATAGTCTTCGTTCAGCACCACTGAAAGCAATGCAATCCTAAAATGCGAGCGTTTATTTTTAAAACTGACGTTGCCAGCCAGGGCATTTAAATAGAACGAAACACGTAACGCTGTCACTCAAAGTTTCGCTCGCGCCTGAACTGAACTCACCTCCTCCGTGGCCGTGGGGCTGTAATACACGAGAATGACCGTCGTTAAGATATTAATGAGGAGTCCAATGATGGTCAGCGTGTTCGGCGCGACCCATGTCGGGATCTGCTGGACCAGCCAGTTCCAGTATATCTGGCAGGGCGGCTCGAAGAGAGAGCGACCGGCCGCGCTGTACTTGTGTTCCTCCAGGCGCTTGAGCTGGACCGCAGACAGCGGCTCCGGACACGCGCACATTATGATCGCTCTTTTGGCAGGGTCAATGCAATGGTTTGGTCCTAATCCCCAAGTGACCACATAGAAGACGACATTAGCTTGCGGTGGTTACGTGTGGAGAGTCATTTTGATGAGCGGAACCGACAGGCTCCTCCGTTCCTAATAGTTGAGAGCAGATAAACATAGAGGTGCAGGAAACTGCGGTCCGGAAGAGGACACAGCCGGGAAATTTAAATGGATGCGGTATCGCGTCTGACCAACAGGGGCGCAGATGTTGATGTTCTCATTCACATTACCAGGCATTCTTGTTGTTATTAACATATCTGTTAAATATGTATTATCTATTAAAACATATCTTATATATTTAAACCTTTTTCTCTTATTGAAATAATCTGAAATAAAATATAAATATTAGATGAAAAAATCTAACTTATTTCGGTTAGTTGCGAAGGCAACATTTCTAATTTTGGCTTAAATCGAATTACTAAAACTTACATAAACATTTAAATGTTTTATTTAGATGCAAATAAAAAATAACTAATAGAAATGTGATATGTTGGACATTTCATGCACTAAATACAATTTAGGGTCAAATATTTATAGATAACTAGACTGTTAAAAAACATTTTCATGATTTGTTATATATATCGACTTTTTTCCTTTTGCCAAATCAGCTTAGACAATTAATGTGGTTCAGATAACATTTTGATTAAACCAATCTCCTTCATTGTATTAACTCAAATGTTTTATTTCAATGAACTCACCTTTTTAAGGCAACCAGGTAACTTACTTTTTTTAAGTTAAGCCAACCATAATTTTTACAGTGAATTTCCTAATGGTTACCTAAAGGTTACAAAAGAAATGGGATGCATTTTTATGAAAATAATATTTAGAAATGATTTAAACCCAAATTTAGATAGAGACGGAGATGCACTATAGATTGATAAATAAAACATATTTTGTGCCCAAAGAACAGTGTTGTCAAATCGCAAGAGAAAAACATAAGCTAAAAGAAAATTTGCAATTATGCATAATGGGAAAAAAATGTTCAAATAAGAAACTTTCTGAAACAAGAAAGAAACAGAAAAAAAATTAATATAGAGACATTTATTCAACTGTCATGCTAAAATGAACATTGGCATGTACTATCAAGCAACCTTCGACAAACCTGTCTCTCTGACACTGACTTATCTGTCTGATGTCTGATCTGCAGTTGCACAGTATTGACATTGCTAATCTAGGTGTATTTCAGTAGATTCACTAAAGAATGATGGAAAGGGGTTGAAAAACTCAGGGGTAAAGTCAAACGGCAGAAAAAAAGAAAGGAAAAGAAAGACAGAAACGTCAAAACCCAGACTTTGGACCACCCTCGTCTCCCAAACCCAGAAAAACGTTAATGAACTGCATCATCATCATACTGTATCTGTAACTGACTGCTCAATGTCTTTCACAATAAAATGTCTATTTGTGGTATATTTTGAAGCTACAATCCAGTTTACTAAAGGCATGCATCTGAGTTTCAGTGGCAATTCTTAAAACACAGCTTTACATGATTTCACAGTGACAGACGCAGACTTTCTAACTATAGATCCATGTCTGAACAAAGCATACCATGCCAAAGACACATATGCCATTATTTGTAGTAGTGACAGGGATTTCTGGGTAATCATTCAGTGAATCAGCCTTCAGTTGGATCCCTTCTTCTCTGACTCGGACTTCTCTGAGGTCTTAGACTCGTTCATGTACTTATCAATGAGGTGTAAGGGAACGCCTCGCTTCATCAGCTCAAAGAACGTAAAACCTCCTGAAAGAGGGGAAGGATAGACAGAGTCAGAGAGATGACACTGAAAACAATGAAACTACGAGATACATGTGTGTTCTTCACAACATACAGTGGCCAAAAGCCATACTTAAAAATGTCTGAAAGTCTTTGTATTATATAAAACATCATACCTAGTGCCATTTATTTTAAAGAAAGACAGCCCACACACACTTCTTAAGCAGAACGTTTCATAAAAAGAAGTTCGTAAGGTTTCAAATGATAAAACAATAGATGAATTGTTCAAAATGTAGACGGTTGTTTACCAAGACACCTGTGTGAACTTGAGGAGAACTGATTCAAAACATCCGGCATTATATTGATACAGAAAAAAGTCTCATAAAAGTGAAGTTAAAAGCCTGAACATCATTTGTTTGCAGACACACTTTTACTTTTTACAAATATATATATACTTCAGCATGACCCTAATGCATTGACATTCAGCCATTTTTAAGTGTGACTTAAGTGTCCAAAAACCTTTTGGGGGCTACTGTGTACAGAGAGAAGTGGTAGAGACAGACAAGAAGAAAAGGAAGACAGTCAAATCAGGACAGGAATTTGTCAGTGTTTGGCAGGTGCAGCAAAAATGTTGAGGCAGTGAGTACAATCAAATCTCTGCAAGCTTTTGCAGCTATTCAGGCGCTCATAACACATTTCATCATTGCATGTCTTATCTTTGCTTGCTGTAGCATGTTGAGCTGCATGAGTAGTTGTTGAATGTGCTATAAATTAAGCTGCATATGCAAATGACCATCGTTATAAATATACAAAGCATATACATGTAGGTTCACAGTGAAAGCACCTGCAGAAATAATACATCAGAATCGAGTTTTGCTTCTGACCGCTTGGTCTCAAGAGAAAAAGGGGTAACATCCAATTTTGTGGCAATTCCTGTGTCTATAATTACTAGGATTTTACTTTAGCAAATTTTACACTATTGTTTCATGTAATAAGTAAAGTATCTGTTACTTGTTACATTTATTTTGTCAAGTAATTAATACACATTACTTTTTTATTTAATAATGTTCACTTGAAATCCTTTCTCTTAGGCATGTAGGGAGAAATAGGCAAAGGTGCACATGTATTGTGGGAGTTGTGTGAACCAATATTTAGGGTTTTAAAACTTGGTAAATATGCCACTTTAAAAGTCTTTTTGTGGTATAAACTGTGTCATTGCATGCAAACTATGTTGGGTGGACGAACACTTAAAGTAGAACATCCTAAAGTAACATTTCTAGTATAAAAAATGCCTGCAAGCCAAGCATTGTGCTTCCGTTCTGGAGGAGAAAGAGTCTCAGTTAGATGCTGTTGAGAAAAAAGTAATTTATAAAAGAATTCATAATTATAATGATTAGCACCAAATTCTAACTTTTAAAAGTAACATTCCCCAACACTGGTTGACCGTCAAAAGCATGCACAGTATAAATTCAGTTTGAACAGAGCAGTTTTCCTGGTCACCACGATTTCACTAAGACATGTTCCTGAATCAACTTAATTTGTTGATCCTGGAACAACATTCCTGGCCAAAAATGTAGTCCTAATCCTGTCCCTACCCCTAAACCTAACCCTACCCATAACTTATCGCTTAAATCAGAGGGAAATAATGGGTGAATAACACTGATGTAGAAGCACCTAACCCTGGTTGTAAGCCTACACTTGACATAAACTTGTTCCTCAAATCTGATTGGTTGATTGGAATGTTGTTCCAGGATCAACAAACATGTTGCGCTTGGTGAAATCACATTCACCCAGTTGTCCTATAGAACCTTAAACTGGTTCATGGAGTTCTTGTAGAATCCTGTAAACATTCTTGATTCAGGAATATAATTCTCCAATTCTAGAGCATTACACACCAGCAAAGAGCATAAGCAGAATTATTGGCAACCAAGGGATGCAGAATGAATGAAAAAATAAGCTTCATATGCCCGAAACCATATGAAAGCTTACCTTGAATGAGAACAACACAGTAACTATTCCTGAGTGATGACTGGGGGAGAAAAGAAAATACGGATTAAACCCAAAGTTTACATGAAGGAGTTATATGTGCCTCAGGGTCCATCGCTGACTTAGTCATTACAGATTTAACATGAAGGAGTTAAAGGACATACCACAGTCTACCAAAAGGGAAACACAGCTATATGACAATGTATGACAGAGTATGAAAACATGTCAGCAGTACATGATATAGGCCCTAATATGCAAATATTGGTGTGTATTCCGAGTTTTTATCAGGTCTAGGATTTTTCATAGACCTGCTAAACAATGTGCAATGGGTGTGACCATGTCAACCTGCTTTCTACAATCTGTTGCATTATGGGATGTGTGGTCCAGTGGCAGTGGTGAGATGAAATTGATTTGGATTTTCTGCATGTTGTTGCAAATTCAATGGAGTTTGCAAATACAAAATACTTAAATGGTTATATTTTGTTGAGAGAAATCTTGCGGAAAGATCACAGCTGTACTAAATGCACATACTGTACAAATGTGACAGGAGACAAATAGCTCAAAATAGATTCTTAACAAACTCGGCTTTGCTTGTTGTCTAAACAAAATATGATGAAAAGCTACACAGTACTATTATAAACAAGTGTGACCATGTAAGAGAGATAAGCCATGTAAGACCATGTAAGATAGCAATATTATCATATTGTTCCAACACAGTACTTACCCTTGAAATCCACAAAAGAGATTGAAACATTGTTCATATTACCAGTTTAAAAGACATATGTAATGTTGTGCACAATAATTGGTTGGTTAGGTGTAAAAACAGCGTTTATGTTGGAAATGAAGCTATATTGAGGCACTCTTGAAGGCAAATGAACCCCCTTGTCAGGCTCTTCATTCAGTCTTTTGTTTAAGCTCTTTTGGTTACCTCATTGTAAACGACTGAGGTTTGAAAGCACTTACAGTATAGAATCAAACAGCATTCTACCCAACAGTAAAGGCCCGATATACTCATACACCCTGATTTTCGTTCTTCACTTATAATATATCTATAAAAAGAAGTTTGAAATACATTTGTAGCGATATTCTGTTAGTGAACACAGTAACGTCGTTTAGATTAATATATAAATACGTGAGGCGTACCTTCCTCTCAATAACAAAATAAACGCACAACAAAAATGAAAGCGGTGAGAAAACAGCAGTTAAAGCATCTGATTATAGAGCTCTGCAATTCGCCACTCCAATCGTCACGTCATGCTTATTTATAAACCACTTAATACAATATATTGCCTTAAAGTAAGCGGATTTACAGTATTCAACATAAAAGCACCTCTCCAGTGTATTCATGTTTTACTCGCGTACGTCTGACCTCGACGGTCTGAATAGAAGAAATGAACCAGAGAAGATTTCCATGTCAAAGAAGGCGGAGCCCCAGAGCCACACCTACCATACGTATTATGTAATTGCCACGGACCAATGGTAGTTTGAAGGTGTTTACCAGCCAGAGTGAACTTTTCTCGAAAGTTCACTTTGGCAAGCTGTCTTGAACGCCTGAAACAAACTTTTTTTGTTCTGATTTTTTTCAAAATGACCAGTTCGTTCTTCAATTTCGCTTGAAGTATATCAGGGCCATCCCTATAACATCCATCTTCAATAAAAATCAGGTGTAATATTCCCTATTGAATCACTTCATGACTATATTAGCCATGTATCCCCTTAAAGGAGTGTTCTTAAGAAGCTACATCCATATTGATGATCAAATTAATGCACAGACTAACCTTTGACCTCTAGTTTGCAGTCCACGTGAGCCTCTCCAAGGTCATTGACAGCCTTGCAGGTATAAACCCCTCCATCAAACGGGCTGGGCTTTCGGATCTCAAGCGTACACACACCCTGGTTGCTGAACATGCGGTAACGTGGGTCGTCTATGATGGTAATCTTGTTTTTCATCCAGATCACCTTAGGCTGAGAGCAGTTGTGGAGTATAGTATGAATACACAGGAAACAACAGATAACATCACTAGTGAAGAGGAACCAAAGCAGTATCAATCCATCAAACACACAGTGTCATTGGAGTGAAAACTGCTACTCTTCTCACATGTTTTAGTTACAGTAGAGGATTGAGTTATTGACATTAATACAATATTTAGGATCCAGTGAGTCTGTGCTCAAAGATTATAACTAGCAGGTGCTGTTAAGCCCATTGGGACTCTCGCAGTTCAGGCCACAAAGAGCTAACTACTGGTGTAAAGCCATGAGCACATGGTTGGTGCCTAGCAGAATCACCCACAACCTTGTGTGGTTTCCATAGGATCATTGGAATTCGTGCAATATTTTTTAAATGCTTGTCAATTTTAACCCTATTTTCTGTATTTGGGCAGATTACTTAGCAGGGATTGAATTTCTTTGACCCTGTTTAAACCTGGTATTAGCATCTATTTAATGGACAGTACTAAATATAGATTAAAACAAATGTGTAGTGATTAGTCAAATTATATTCGGAGGTTGTCAGAAACTCATGTGACCGACCATGTTGCATTTGTTTTATGAATGATTATACTGTACATCCGGATGTGTCGGTGAAAGACCGCCTATCCACGTCAATGAACTTTTAAAATGCAGCTGAAAAGAAAAGAACCATACGATCGAAGAGTTGTTTATATAGCCCTGACTCATTATGCTATATTCAGTGACACAGATCATTGTGATCTGTGTCACTGAGTTGTTTTTAATAAAAGTGTCTGCTAAATAAAATGAAAACAAAAAACAAACAAAAAGATATTAATGTTTTTATTCAGCAAGGACGCATTAAAGTGATCAGAAGTGACAGAAATCTTTTGTAAAATTATAAATGTCTTTACTATTTTAAATAAATGCTGTTCTTTTGAACTTTATATTCATCAAAGAATCCTAAAACCAAATCTATCACGATTTCCACCAAAAAATATTATGCAGTATTACTGTTTTCTACATTTACAAAAATGTTAAGCAGCAAATCACCGTATTAAAATGATTTCTGAAGGATCATGTGACTGAAGACTGGAGTAACGATGCTGAAAAAATCAGGTTTGCATCACAGGAATAAATTATGTTTTAAAAAATATTAAAATAGAAAACAGTTATTTATAATAATATTAAATAATATAATGCTTTATCAAATGCAGTAATATAATGACATAGTAAGTGATATCAGGTGTAAACGGGGCCTTTATGTCTTCTGATCTAAATTAAAGTGTGCATGAATAACGGTTGAAAATGGACTTGGCAAATGGAAAATGGAAAATGGCAAAAGCACACTTTTTAAAGGGACATTTTTTTACAGTCATCTCAATGGCCAAAAAGTATCCCAGATGATCTGAATTTCCCATACCTTTCTAGTAGAGTGTCCTGCCAGTCACTTACCCTAGGGTTGGCACGCACACTGCAGTTCAGGGTGGCGTTGTACCCAGCTATGGCGAAGGTGTTGATAAGCGGCTGAGTGAAAGTGGGCGGCTCGGTGAAGTCGCGGTCATTATACTGTGGGTTCTTCAGTTGCAGGCCTGATTGAGAGTGAGAGGAAGAGCGAGAGGAAGAGGAGGAGGAGGAGTGAGAGGGGAAGGGAGAGTGGGACTTTGCATGATACAAGCCGAGAGCTGTATCATGGGGGAATATCCCTTATGTGATGAGGAAGAGACAACATTTATCATCAGCATTGGCAAGACATGACACACAGTCTGTTAAAGATTAAATCTGCACTTGGGAACATACATGGTTACTGTCACCACAGTAATTTGTGGCTAGCAAACAAATCTTTGTGTTTGTAGTATATAGTGACGCGTATCAGGGAGAATCATCAAATTGTGAAGCTACTTTAAAGTGCAGAACATACCTTTAACATTCCAGGAAAGCCTTTAAAGTTCCTTTGAGTCAAAACTCAGACTTTACACCAGGAGTGTGCAATCCTGCTCAAAAACCAAACCTTGATTAACAGGTTCAGGTAGTTCATGTGCTAAACTCTGCAGGCAAGTGTCCCAATTTGCATATTTTCCATTATAACACCACCTAAGTTTATGATTAGTGCATCCTAAACAGTGTTATTTGAGAATTATTTATATACTTTTATAGTTTATTAAGATTTAGAATTAGCTTGTATCCTTATTTTCATGTATTTTTAGTAATTGTAATGGCATTTTAGTCATTTTTATTGAATAATTTTAATTCATTTTCAGTTCAGTTAGGTTTTTTTTCATCATTAGTTTTAATTTTTCTTTCTTTCAGTTTTTCTTTTTATTTCAGTTATTTTTCTTTCTTTCCGTTTTTCTTTTTATTTCAGTTATTTGTAGTGCTTGGTACTTTTTAAAGTAAGTTGTAACTCTTTAGAGATTTTTGTTACACGTTACATACTTACTATAGCAATAACAGTAAATTCTGCATAATTGCATGCAACTAACCCTAAACTAATCCTAAACCAAACCTAAACCTATACTGCCCTACAAAGCAAAAAGGCAGTAACTACGCAGAGTGCAGAACAGAGAAAAATGACTTTAAAGTTATCCTGTCATCCAGCCTAAGTAGTTGTAGGTAGATTATTGGACATGTGGCTGTTTTGTTACTTTATATTAGCTTATTCTTTGTACATATCAATCCTCATATTTAATTTGATATTGTACCCCTATTTTGCAGTTACTGTATTCTTGCTTTGTATTACTTACCAAAAACGTGGCACCATACCAAGGGAAAAGGCAGTAACTACAGATTCTCCAAAAACTATTTTGCCACAACTTGGGCTCTGAGTCTGATACACTGTGTTTGAAATAATTGGAACCATTTGGACAACATTTTCAAAATTTTTGTGTTGTGAAACTAGTGTTGCGGAGCGGGCGTGTTACGGATATGTGGTGTAAATTTTTAATAATCAAAAATCATGTCTAATTAATTGAAATCATGAAACTTTTATTATAAACTATTATTAAACTTATACAATATTTTAAAAACAAACATTTTTGGTCAAACAACATGCTGCACAATGAGCTTTACTGTTAAAATTAAAACATTGAAGAAAAATTGTGATTATTCCTTTAAAAATTAAGTTTTAATCTTAATTTATTTGTAGTGTTAGTATTATTATTACATTGAGACGTTTCTAAATTCTACTGTACAGCAGTAATATTTCTTGTCAAGTTAAACCGAACTTTTATTTTGACGGGTTGCCGTGAAGACCGTGTCCTCATATAGGCAAAAAAAACAGCTCGAGCGTCACACACGTGCTTCAGCGCGCGCGCGTGTGTGTGTGTGTGTGTGTTAGTTTGGTAGGGGAACAATTAGGGGAAACACTGCATCTCAAACAAAATTTGTGTGAAGTTAGAAGCGTGAAATCGCAAATGTTAAAACCGTCCCTTGAGGATGCCGCGAAATCAGCTGTGTGTTCACCATGGCAACATTAACTACACTGCGCAGCAACACGGTTATTTTTTGTTAGGTAAAACATAGCAAGAATACAGTAATGGATGTTACTGTACTCTTGCTTTGTTTCACTAGGGCTTTTTGCAGTTACTGTACAAACGACTACCATTTTTCTCCAAAACGACACACATTTGAGATAAGATGTTTTGTCACATAACAAAGGATGCCTTGAATGTCATGAAAATGATAATAACTAATTTTTGACCAAAAATGCAGTTACTGCCTTTTTGCTTTGTAGGGCAGTATAGTAAGTACATGTTGTTCATTATTATTACTCAGTATTTAAATGTTTAATTACACTGTGACAAGGATAGGAAGTGTAACCAAATGTTATTAAATAGCTTATAATAATAATAATAACAACTTATAATTTATTTTAGTTAACAATAACAACACTGGTCCCAAATCTTAGTATGTTTAAAACAGTATGGAAGAAGGGCCCGGATGGTCTAATATTTCTGTTGGATTCTGAAGTGTGAATTTGTTTAGTTTTTGCTTGACATTTGAGTTATACTAAACTTTTTTAAAGTTTTTTTTTTTAAGTGAGGCTTAAGGCTGTGAATTTAGCAAATTCTAATGCTTTCATACAAATAGTATGCAGTAAGAGGGCCTGTGATACTTGCACACTGTAAATACTCAAATGATGTACTTTACATTCCCAGCAACATACATACTTTTAATGTATATTATACGTATTCAAACTGAGACACATCCTTCATCTCCAAGAGCAGGATTGAGCAACCCTCCTTTACACCATGTTCAGGGGCGTGCATTTCAATTAAAATCCTGACTAAATATATAAAGACCAAGCAGGACGTTGATTAGTAAATTAGTGTTAATAGGACATCAGCTCTCGGGTACCAAGGCTGTAAATTCCCCTGCGATTTTTTTAGATTATTAAAAAAAAAAAATCACACAAATCCACATTAGCAAGGCCTAAATTACCACTAAAAAGCAAATTTGTTAGACTTAAGAATTTTAATTAAAACTGCTGCAAGCGATTTCAGCACCACTAGCACACAGTTTTATCCAAATCGACATAAACTGCAATCAAGGTTTACTTTACTTTACTTGACTATTTTTTCAACACTTCCCCTAATAGTCCCACCCCAAATTAATGCCATTGGTTGAGGTTGGCTGAAAGCGAGTTTTTAGATTGGCTGAAATGCAAAGATTCTGTTTTGCTCTTTACAGGTCTATCATAGCTTAAATATGCCATATTTTGCCCCTTTTCAAAGTATTGATTTTGTTTTTAGGGTATACTAGAATGTTTTCATGCTTAAATGTTGAAAACACATTCTTTTTCACATATTTACATTGTTGCAGCACCTCTCTTTCCAGTCTGCCATTAACACTGTTTAGTTCCTGTCTCTATGAATCCCCTCTTTCCGAAAAGCGCAATGTGCTCTGCTGGAGCGGCTGGATCAGTGTGTTGTGATTGGTCAACCGTTTTGAGCGTGTTTTGGAAATGTCACACCTCTTACCCCATGCCCACTACTAACGTAACTCAATCAGACCTTGTCCCCTTTTTTTGTATATCCTTTAGGTGGGAATTATTTGAATGAGGAATATTGTGCTAGGTACGTTCCTGGACGAAAACCGAAGACTACAACTGAGACGTTTCAGGGATTTTGGAAACAGTGCTTTCTGATATCGAGAATAATGCTGCCTTCACTTGCTATTGGAAATTTCCTACTTCCCACTTCTCAAGTTATGATTATGACCTCATCGCATTCAAGTACTTTGTTGTCGGAATTATCAGGAATCATGGAGGACACCAGGCTAATTCTTATTAAATCTTATTAAAGTCAAAATGATATTTAGCTCCCCATTCTGGTAGCCATATAAACATTCACCACATTATCTATCTAGTCAATTCTGGAATTTCAGTCAAATACAGGCTATTTTCGCAGTGTTTAAAAGATAGAATACGCTTCTAATGTCAGTTACAACAGCAATCGTTCTCCCCTCCGCCATGTTTAAAGTTTATGGCCCAGCCAACTCAGGAACTTGGGTATCAAAATTTTCCCAGAGCCTCCCAGTGGAAAATACAACTTGAGCGGCGATAATGTCCGATTTGTAAGTAGGAAACTTGTATTTATGATAAATCCAATGCAAATGAAGGCAGCATAACTACATTTGTAGTGGACTTTGAGCTTTGTAACTTTGCAGACCTTTTTTCATGCTCAAAAATGTAAAGAAAGTTGAAAATGTACAAAAGTATACAGTAATAGGTCTTTAATTCTTAGGACATCTGAACATTTTATAAATTGCATCCAGTTAAAAAAATCACTTGCTGCAGCTTTGAAAAGGATTTACGCAAGCAGTTAATTTACAAATGAGTAGAGCGGAGTAGAGTAGAGCAGAGCCTTACCTTCCTTCACGATGAGAGCACTGTCTTTAGTGGCAGTAGCATTTTCACTTAAGCCCACCATGTTCTCAGAGTAGATTCTGAAGAAATACTCGTTACCCACCACCAGATCTGAGATTGTGATGCAGGTACGATGGTAGTGCTCCACGCATGTGTACCACTCCTGTGCCACACACACACACACACACACACACACACACACATATGCTGGTCAGTCTTTTTGCCCTCTACACTTAAAATATTACACATAGATTTTTTTTAAACAAAAAAGTGTATGTACAATATATGTGCATAACCCTTATAATAAAGAAAAACCTTTTACTTTATTTTATACATGTTTTAAATTTGTGTTAAATATTAGTATCATAGAAGTACAGTGAAAAGACAACCAAAGTTTTATTCATACCATTGTCTTTTTATCTGCTTTCTGAATGGTGTAGCCTGTTATGGGTGCATTGCCGCTGTCCTTGGGTGGGCTCCAGTCCAGTGCTACATTATTCCCCCAGACCTCTTCGATCTTCACAGCCTGTGGTGGGCCTGGAAGATCTGGGACAGACAGCAAAAGAAAATGTTCAATGGTGCTGTGATGAAGAACTTGGTGGGCTCAGGTTAGCTCTACATCATACAGTGGATATAAAGTCTATACCCATGTTAAACCACCTGGTTGTAATGTAAAAAAGTAAACAAGGATCAGTCATATCAGAACTTTTGCACCTTTAATGTAAAAATTACAACCCATCCAATGCCAATGAAAACCAAAGTGGCGCATTTCAGAGAAAAAAAGATAAAAATAAAAACTTAAAATAACCTAACTGCATGTGAGTGTGCACACCCTTTTATAAACCATGCTATCAGATTCAGAATTAACTAATCATCAAGCTCATGTGAAATAGTATACAAAGTATACTAGACTTTTTATATCCACTGTATATTTCTCTGAATCACATATATTAAATATCATATATTTCTTGAAATTGTACAGTATATTATTAATCTGAATTTTAACATTATCAATATTCAGTATTGTTATTGTTAACTGCAACTATTAAATATCATTTCATAATTGAAATAAGGCTGAAACAAAATAGGAAATGTTGCTTTGACATACTTAAAATAAGTACTAAAATTACTGAAACTGAAATAAAAATACATTTTAGATAAATATAAATATAAAAAAATGATAAAAATGACAAAAGCACATAACAAAATTAATAAAACATAAACTGAAATTAAAATGAAATGAAAAATGAAAATATAAAAATGAAACCTAATTTGAAAATATGATTAAATACTAAAATAGTAAATAAATTATACTAAAATAGCACTGCCAGACTTTTTTTTTTTTCAGAAAACTGCATTTTCCTTAACTAACCGACTATCTGGATGTCCAACATGGCTGTGTCGATATGATTCTCCACTTGTACGCTCAGTTCATATTTCCCAGAATGTTTGCGCTCAGCTTTGCGGATGAACATGATGCTGTCACAATCCGAGTTACGAATGCTGATGGTTTGTTCAATCGGCTGACCCTCTTTCAACCAGTTGACTTTTGGCCTTGGTTTACCCTAAAAGACAAAAAAAAAAAGGTTTCGACATTTTCTGTCATGAGCAGGAGGGAAGAATTCGAAAAGCTTGGGGTTTGTTGTCATGATCTGTTGGCTCACCACAAATGGCACGACGAGGTTGACGACTTCGCCAACCTTTCGAATGTACGTCTGCTTCAAGTGTCGAGGTATGCGAATCTTAGGAGGCTCTGTGAGATATGTGTTATTAGTTTACATTAACTAAGGTGTTTCAAATAGTAAAATGAAAGTGGTAGTTGACCCTCACCGATGACCTCTTTCACCAGTATGGAGTGTTGGGTGGTGCGTGGTGCACTGGCCCCAGCAGCATTTATGGCCTTGACACGCACTAAGATCTTGGCCTCCACTGGCAGACCAGTTATAGTGTACCTCGTTTTTTCTGTCAGCTCTTTATTAGCAGGAATCCATTCGTCAGCTGTAAAATAAAGTATTGCATAAGGTACAAAATGGCATGAACAGCCACCAGTTGAGAACCACTTCCTCAAATCATATATGTGTGTAGTCTTACTTCCTTCAATGCAATATTCAATTTGGTACCCATCAAGTCCTGCGGCACCGATTGTGTCTGGAGGTCTCCACTTCATAGTTACTGTGTTATCTGTGACGTCATCCACCACCAGCATTGTGGGTTCACTGGTCACAGCTAGTAGGAGTTCATGAAGGTAGTAATTATTGTTGCTGAACATTTTCAGTCAATATTTTGGATAATTTGTTCTAAAATAACTAGTGTGGTTTACCATATAAATATATATATTTATATATACAAATAAATATTTGTTCTAAATATATATCTTGTTCTATATCTGTGTTTTTTCCATTTATTTTGTTCATTAAAAATTGATTCTTGATTCCCACATTCAAGAATGTTTGATACATTCTCAAGACATAGATCACATCTATCCTTAAAGGGGCTATATGTAAGAATTGTCATGTATTAATTGCATTTTGTATTGCCAATGTTTGAACAGCTTGTAATGAAACGTATAAACGAGACCTTCTCCGACTGCCTAGGTTGTCTATAAAAGCCTGCAGACTGATTTTTATGTGAAGGACTCAAAGTACAAAGGATGTGACGATTACACGCGTTCCAGAGAGCCTCTCTGAAATGAATGCTTACACTGTAAAAAATGATCGTGATTTTAATGGTAAAAGACTGTAAAAATGCTACAGTGAAAAACTGTTAATTGGTTAACAAAAAGTTTCCGTACTATATACGGTAAATAACTGTGATAGATCTAATGGTACATTTAATGTAATTTTACTGTAAAATACCGTTAAATTTACAGTTTTTGAAAGTGAAAAAGAGCAACTCATTGTATAATTTACAGTGAAAAACTGTAAATTGACATTCCCACAATTCCCTGCATGACACTTCACATTTGATGTATTTTTGTTAAAATAACTTTCTTCATAGTTTTCTTTTTCTAATCAGTTATGTACATTAGGGTTTCATGTTATATTTAATGTTGTTAAATTAATGTTTACTGCATTTTTAAAATTTCAACATGTTACCATGATGGTGTTTAGTGTTAGTGTGAATTACACTGTGCAGCTTCTATAATAGCATTAATTCTGTTGTGGAAGAGCTGCTTGTGATGAGCTTTTGTTAATCATGTGACTCTCATTACTGCTGAGATTGGTGGTTGTCAGTGTATTACAATGGTATAAAACAGATATTAATACTTCAATAGGACGGTAAATTAACATTATATCAGATAATAAAATACGGTTTATTACTGTAAAATTTAAGTTAAGTCTGTAAAACTGTAAAAAATAACGTTGCTACCGTATTTTTGACGGTAAAGTTCTGGCAACCATAGTTGAGTTTATTTTTTACAGTGTATACAATGTTCAGGATAATGCCGAAAGAGCTATTCTTGTCAATTCTTGTCATGTCAATGTGCCATGCAATATTCAAAGAACAAAAAAAATCTTTGCCGTGTGTAGCCTATATCAGGGCATTGAATCACGTTCAGTCTCGTGCACATTACCTGTGCATGTTTCTTTCAAATTCACCCTTAGATGCATAATTTCTTTTATATTCATATATATATATATATATATTCGATTCATATAAGAATTAATGTTACTGATTATGTTTTGCAGTATTTTTATTAAATTTGTTCTCATCGTTACATGCATCATTTCTATTTTTTACTTAGTTCATATTTTCTTTAAAACTGAGCTTGATTCACACATTCAAGACTGTATAATATGAATACATTACACTTTAGCCTCTGTGACCATAAATGAATTGAAATCAAGCTTTAGATAAGTCCAGTTGAAGTAATAATTTACCTAGATTATAATTGTTTTCTTGTTTTTCATATCTGCATTGTTTACCCACCCTGTTGTTGTTCCAATTTCTTTTTCATGGAACATAAGAAGAACTATTCTTTTAATCCATAAAATAATGGCCACACGCGTGTACCTCCACACACGAACACATGTGAGAAGAGAGGATCACCCTGGTATGTCATGAATTTCATGAGGGGTCTCATTTGTCTGGACTTTTCTATTTTCGCACAACTCTTCGTGTTTAAGCTGTGACTGAAGTAGAGACAGTATCTGATCTCATAACATAATAATCCGCAGATGAGTTGGCAGCCATTATAAAGTCGTACTCAGTATCTTCTAAATCTCAGGCTTCTGCTGTGGAGGTCACAGGCTGAATGTTTTGGATACTGGTATGAACACAGCAACACCTGTCGCATAGGAGCCCAAATAGGAACAGACAAGCTTTGGCGTCTCTGCAGTGCTTTTTGTCTTCCTTAATGGCACATGCCTAAATGACCATACTGCGTGTTGTGTTGCGTAATAGAGATGGTGCTCATGACATAACTGATTCGAAGAGACACAAAATCCCATTGATAGTACAGATGAGCCACTTGTGTACTCACCCAGAGGAATGAAAGATTTGGAGGGTTCACTGGGTTTGGAGACACCGATAGCGTTAACAGCAAAGATGCGCACCTCGTACGGCACACCTTCAATCATTTTTTTGGGCTCGAAGGTGGTCTCTTTGCAAAGGTCAAAGTTCAGCCTCATCCATCGAGAGCTCTGTTTCTTCTTTCGCTCAATGAAGTATCCTGTGGTATATATTTAAAAAAAATCATGCTTTAAAGACCTTTTATGCTCTTTTTACCAATCAGCGCATTGTGCTTTTCAGAAGGAGGGGTGTGCTAAAGCACATTCTGCTTCATTGAGACAGGAACTAAACAGTGTTACTGGCAGACTGGAAAGAGAGGTGCTGCAACAATGTAAAATATGTGAAAAATTATGTGATTTTAACATTCAAGCGTGAAAACCTATTCTAGTATACCCCAAAAACAAATTAAAGACTTTGAAAAGGGGCATAATATGGCCTCTTTAACTTATGCATAACATGCATATGTTATGATAATAATAAGAGCCTCAGATGCACAACTGCATATTTAAAGCAGTCATGTCATGATTTTTTTTTTTAACTCATTTCAGTTTTTTTCCCCAGAGGTCTACTTATATACTGTAATCTACTATATAATCTACTATACTGTAACTTTCTGAACTTTACTAGCATTATGTTTTATTTGTTCATCAGGGAACAATTGATTCATCATGATGACTAATTATGTAAAACAATGTTTAAAATGGAAGCGTAATGGAGGAAATGATTTACATTTAATTGACAAATTATTTTACATATGTTTTATATTAAAATAGAAAACAGATATTTTTAATTATTTGTAATATTTCACAATATTGCTGTTTTTACGAATACAGCCTTGGTGAGTATAAGAGACATAAAAAATATAGGTAGTATTAGTGTAATGAGATTACAGAGAAATTCCAAAGTGTTTTTCGACATATCATTTAAAATAACTCAGTCTAAAATTAACAGGCTTCTAAAATATAAATATGATGCCGTTTTTATGCACAGGAGGTTGATTTACCAAGAATGGGGGAACCACCGTCATAGCGTGGAGGTTCCCATGTCATAGTGCACCAGTCTCCACCCACATCAGTAACCAGAGGAGCCTCAGGGGGATCTGGGATATCTAGATGAAACAAAATTTTGAGATTTACATCATATTAATGTCATCACCCAAACAAATATTATGTTCTCTCAGGGGAGTGTCTTACCCACAACTTTGACCTTAACACAGGCTGTGTCTTCTCCAGCTTCGTTCTGAAGGACGATCTTGTAGTTTCCAGTATCTTCTCTTTCTGTGACATCAATAGTTAGGCTGGTGTGGTCTGCAAATGTCTCTGCACGAACTCGACTTCCTGTATCAAGGATGACCTGAAAAACCCATTAGCCTAGTTTAATCCAGGTGTTTCTGGTTCAGAAATATACATTTTCTGCAGAAAAGGTTGGTCATCGCTCACCCTTTCTCCCTTCATCCACACCACTCTGGGTGCTGGTTCTCCACTGATGGGAATCTCCAGGCGGAGTTTGTTTCCGGCCACAATGGTCACCGTGTTGTCCTGGACATTCAGTGCCTCTAAGTGCACCTTGGGGGGATCTGCAGAATTAATCCAAATGGGATTCTTTCAGAGAGCCTATTAGCAGAAGTACGATAAGAGTCAGAGAACTTCTGGATTGTTGCTGGTACCTATGATGTGCACTTTGGCAGACAGCGTCTGTGTGTATCCCTCAGGAACAAAGGTATAGTCGCCGGCATCATGAATGGTGGAGCTCTCAATGTCGAGGTTGTGATTCCTGTAAATTGAATATAAAGCACAAATGAAAATGAGGATATATATAAGTCATCCTTCACTCCCCTATTGAGAAGCACTGTTATAGACCATCTTGGACCTGCAACAACAGTTAGCACCTGGCCATACCAACTTAAGGTGGTCAGGATGGATTTTGGACCATGGTGGCTGGTCGACCAGCTACTGACCAGTTAGAAACCAGCTACCATGTTCCACTGCGATTAGATTAAGCTTGATTTTCCCATAGGGGCCTCCAGTTGATACAGTTCTAATTTTAGAAATGCTGGCAATATTTTATTCACATATTTATTATAAAATATGTATGTGCAGTATATGAGCTGATAACCTGGTATGATTGAGGTTTAATATTGAATGTGTAAGATGGCATACTTGGTTTTGTGGAAAATGTTGATATGGTCATTAGGCTGGATCAGCTGGCCGTTCTTGTACCAGCGGCCCGGGACATTTCCGGGGTAAATCTCACAGTTCAATTTAAGAGGCTGACCCAACAACACAGTCACACTCTGAAGATCCATTAAAATCTTCAGAGGCTTAACTGAATCCACCAATCGCATGTGACAGGAAGGAAAAAAAGGGGGAGGGGACAACATTTAATGAACAGGAGAGAAAGGGATGAAACAAAGATGCTTTCAATAATTATACAAAAAAAAAACAATATTATCATACGGTCGACTTGAACGTGAGCCTGACTGGTGCCCCCGGTGGCCATTAGGGAGTAGGTGCCAGTGTCGTCCTTTGAGGCGTCATCAATGATCAGCCAGTGTTTGGTCCCCTCGCTTTTCACACGGTACCGTGATCGCACTCCTGTGGGAACCTCCACTCCATTCTTCATCCTTTACCAGACCGTCAGCATAATAGGTCAAGGTTTTTTACTCGTTTTACTTTGTGTGTCAAACGCGAACATAAACATCTAAACTGTCCATCACACATACCATTTAATTTTTGCTCCTTCCTCAGACACCTCACACTCCAGTTCAATTCTCTCATTCACTGTGGTTTTTACGGGCTCCAGCTCTTTCACTATGTTCACAGGCAGTTCTATAGGAGGACCAAAGGAGACCAGGATTACATCATCAAACACTGGCAGACAGTGTTCGGGAAAGATGTTATTGATCAATCCCATCACAATTAACTTCAAGTATGAAATCGTCTAGACTGGTGGGTGGATGTACCTTTCACAAACAGTTCAGTGGTGCACTTCTCTTCTCCTGCAGTGACTGAGTAAGCAGCGTCATCGCTCATCTGACAGTTGTTAATAACCATTATCCTTTGAGTGCCTTTATGCTCAAAGATATACCTGCACAGTCAATTCATTAGTTACTGAAAGATAACATTTCAAAGGCTAATTTTACTTTACATTCTTAACTTTACATATAACTGTTCCGAAGTGGAACATCATTTATGGCACGATCAGTTAAATATTGACAGCAGGATTGTCAAGAAAAATATTTAGGTGTTGCGTCAAAAGCTAAAAGCTTTCAGCAATGAAGCAGCATTATTTGTTTGTTTGTTTATTAATCCCGTCTTTATTTATTTATTTCAGTCATTTATTTATTTATTCATTCTGTCTTTTAGTCATTCTTGTTCAGTCAGTCTTTTGCTATCTCTTTTATTAATCCTATTGAATTCCACTATTGAAAGTCTAAGATAGGAAAGAGAAAGCAGAAATAATTGATATTATACAGGTAGTTCAGTTCCTTTAATTTGGTTGATCTAATTATGTGCTCATAGATACACAAAGGTTGATCCTGCTTTGGCTTCTTTTATAAGTGTTTTCGTTGGCAGAAAAAAAATTGACACAATAACTGTCCATGTGGTGTGTCAATTGTGTGTGTGCTGATATTCAGTATGGCAGCACTCTTGCTTTTGTGATAGCTCAATCATTTGTAGATTTGTTATTCTCATTCCATTGAATATATGCAATATATTATACATACAACATGGAACTTAAACCATCAGAAGTGATCCATACAGCAGAAATGGGGTCACTCCTTTGGTTCAGATATACAAGACCGTCCCGGGGACTGGCTGACTTACTTCCTATTACTTTGTGGTGAATAGAGGAGCCAGAGCAGCCGGAGAACAGGATGGAGTAGGTGGGAGTGGAGGTTATAGCAGACAGGTGGGATCACCATTGCATAACAGACAGAAAGGATAGATAGACATCATGCCTAGATCAAACAGGACTGGAAGAGCTATTAGTGTTATAGAGAGAGAAGAAGAAAAAGAGAGATTCCCCCAAAAAGCAGGGAATCCCTGGGATGACCATCGTTGAAGATAAGCAAACAGAAAACTGCATGGACCACCCAAATGGCTTTAATTTAATTGCTTTTACAAAGAAAAGTGGGTTGATAATATACACTGCCATAATTTTCCATAAGTTTAGAAAAGAAGATTTCAACAAAAAATACATATAACAGCATTTTATAGTTCTATATCATTGTCTTTTACAATTATTAACAAATTAAGCAACATAAATACCATTATATAAATACACTTGCGTTCATGTACTTCTTGCAGAAGTTGTAAGCTGTTTAGCATTTTTTTTAAATAATAAAGATTGAATATTAAAAATAAGGTCATAAAATTGTTTTATTTTTTTTATTTAGCACTTTAATACACATTATTACAAACTAATATTTTTCTTGTGGAATATATGCAAAAATGTATTATGCCAAATAGCTTAATCGGTGCAGTGAAAAATATAAAAATATAAATAAAATATTAATAATACAAATTAAATAAGATGATCAGTTTTTTTTTTTTGTTTTTTTTTTTAATAGAACTATTTGTACAATATTACCATAAAACATTTCTGCATATCATAAGAGATAAATATGCATTTAATGTAAAATATTCAGGTAGCTTTTGCAACTCTATTAAAGTCCTGTGAGGGTGGTGGTGCCTTTTTCCCGTTGTTAATTTCTCATTGTACACTACATTTAAAACTTCAAATGTAGCTTAAGAGCTTCACATTGGCCTTCACTCACATAACGTCCTTTAAACATTTCTGGAAGTTATCATAAGGCACAGATTAATGTTTTAAGAACGTTGTGTGTTTGCCGGGTATGAAATGCTGATGGATCACTTGTGTGTGTATTGTGCAGAAGGTGTGTTTCTGCATCCCCTGTGACCAGCAAGCCAAAGAACACAATAAATGAAGGGTTTTTAAACAGGTTGGCATTTACAGAGGGTTTCATATGAGCGTGTTCCTGAATGAAGCTGTAAAAAAGAGTGTGTAAGAATAGGAGGCGACATACTTTGGAGTAGGGCGGATCTCTTGTCCGTTCTTGTACCATTTTAACTCCACAGTTGGGTCAGCAAGATCCACAATTAACCGGATCTTTCCGCCTTTGTCCGCCTGATATGCAGGATCCAGTCTCTTGGCAAATGCTGCAGTGGAAAATGAATGCAGATGAACAATTGTTTTTCAAGTGAAGAAATTGGCTCTGTGGCATTTCCAAAAGAAACAATTTAAACAGTTAGTTCACCCAAAAATTTTAATCCGGTCATTATTTACTTACCCTCATGTCGTTCCGAACTCGTCAGACTTTTGTTCATCTTCGGAACACAAATGAAGACATTTTAAATGAAATCTAAGAGATTTCTGTCCCTTCATTGACAGTCTACGAAACTAGGAAGCATTCGCTTATTTTTGAATAAAAGTCTAAACTCAATCTATTCATCACATAAAGTGACCGAGTCTCTTCAGAAAATTTTGACTAAACCGCTCGATTCAAATGGATTAGTTTTACAATCTCTTTAAGAACTTTTTGAAGCGTCAAAGTGGTATTGCGTTGCTGTCAATGGAGGGACAGAAATCTCTCATATTTAATTAAAAATATCTTCATTTGTGTTCCGGGGATGAACGTAAGTCTTATGAGATTCAAACGACATGAGGGTGAGTAAATGATGACAGAAGTTTTATTTTTGGGTGAACTATCCCTTTAACAATATATACTGCACATTATCAATCTAACAAAGGTTAAATTAGCACCTTCACTCTTTTTCTCTTCCTTTTTGGTTTTCTTCAGTCTTTTCAGCAGGCCTCTGAGATCGGTGATGCCATACGTAAAAGCAATCTTCTCATATTCATCAGGTCGGGCCTTTTTCAAAATCTCCCACACGTCCACATCGGGAGTTTCCTCTTGCTTGTGCTCCCTGACATCACAGAGCAGTAAGACAGTATGAGGTCAGAGGTCATGGCTAGGGCTCTCTCAACATGTGTTGAGGGACCAGATCGGGATGTTCCACTACTATCCTCCTTATTTCTAGTTCCTCAAGACATGTCACACAAAGAGATGGGCTGGAAAATCCCTGCTATGTCATTGGTAACCTGTTACAGGGAGAGATGCCTCACTAGTTTTTAGCTACACGGTGGATCACATGATCAAGGAAGGGATGGTACTGTTTATGATTGGGGACACGAATTTAGTGAGAAGCTATTACTATTCAATTCCACTATGATTGGAAAGGATAAGTGGAAAAGTCAGTGAAAAGGGGAGAACATTGGGTTATCATGTGGTTAACACATGATCGTGCTCATGATGGATGTACAAACCAAATCATTTACTAAAAATTTAACATTTGATTCAATGTATTATAATGAAAATTATATTAGGAAAATTTATAATTAGAGCTGTCAATGTAAAATTAATTTAGGCCTCAGAATGCGTTATTAAAAGTTTATCTGTTTCAACTTGATATGGCATAAAGACCAGCAAAGTAAATAGACCAACAACAAAAAATTAAGTTTTTTTTAATTGTTGGTCTATTTGATATATAAGTAAATAGACCAACATTTAAAATATGCAGAAAGAACATTATTATTGAGATTATGATGACAGATAGATAGATAGATAGATAGATAGATAGATAGATAGATAGATAGATAGATAGATAGATAGATAGATAGATAGATAGATAGATAGATAGATAGATAGATATGAATTAATCGACAGCCCTAATTATAATTCATTAATAGTAATCTGTTGACTCTGTCCTGTAGTTTAAACTGTACCCATCTCTTTGTAGAAGTCCTATCTAAACGCATTTGTCAATGTAGTTGTTTTCTTTTATATTAGGGTTAGAAGTCAGGGTTTATTAGGAGTGAATATTGTTGTTATACATGATCACAGTCCTTAAACATGATCAGGGTGTGAGACAGTTAAATTAGTAATCATCAGCTTTTGTCATTCAGCCCTCTTCTTACACAGACATTTCCCTGAATGTCCGGAGGTAACATTATTATTTTCTTGTGTTTAATGTGTGTTTCAACAAGTCTGCAGTTGCTCAGGCAAGTATTAAGAACAGCGAAGGTTTGCAGTTGCAGTTGCGTGTCTTGTTTCTCGAGTATAAATCAAGATTACATTAACAAAAGTAGCGATAACACTATTTCACAGCTTCATGTAGAAGTTTTCCACCAACAACTCGTAAATGAGTGGAAAACGTGCCCTTTTCGTCAGGTTCTGAATACTAAAGGTTCGTTTCCATCATTGCTGAGTGTTGCTGAATCTTTAATGAATGCTGTCTTTAAATAAAGTGTTACCAGACTACAGTAGGCCAACACTCTTGCTTATACAGTTCCTGTTCAGGTCATGCTTGGGAAGCTAAAGGATTATAATACTTACCAGTGATAACGTCTAATCGTTTAATTACCTACGATACTAACCTGCCGTGTCTGAATGCGTGAGGAAGAAAAAAAGACAAGCCAAGATAATTTTCAAACTTTTTTCTCTATTATGCAGGAGTTTAACTTCTGCTATTTAGCTAACAACAAAATACTAAAGCAAAAACCTCACAAAAAAAGAGGCAAAACTCCAAAAATAAGTTTGTGTGATTGATGATATTTTGTCTGATTCCAGTATTTCCTTTATGTTGGCTACAAAATACACTTGCACTTAATTATATGCCAATATGTGTATTAATAATAACAATAAATGGCACATAAATATTGTTTTCCACATTACAGGATGGTTAAGGGCAGAGTGGTTTCTTTGTCGCAGTGAATGACATGAAGAAATAATTTTAGGAGTGTAAAAATATATTGTTGGTTTTTAACAACTGTGTAAAAGAAGGATTGAAGAAAAAGACACCCCTGTCAGGGCATCAGAAAAAAAGGTCCAAAAAAAGAAAGAAAGAAAGAATTGGACCCCAGTGGGGGCCAGACTGGAGTTCTCACCTATGTTTGAGAAGCCCACTAAAGTCAAGCTCGCCTGCATCGTCCTGGCCTTCACTGCTGTTGTTCACAAGAGATTAATGGAAATTGAATCAGAAAAGTCACAAACATCAGAATCAAACAATGCTAAAAGAACAACGCAAGAGCCTGCAATCTCTGCATCCAAATGAATGCAGGATTGAGGTGCACACAATAACCTTTCGCTTGGCGGCCGAGTACCAGAGCACTGGCGTTGGGCGAACTGATTTGTGCACAAACTACCAAGGGTGTTCTCATGACAGATTCTCCCAATCTTACTTTGGGAGAACAGTATGAGCTTGGATAGTTTGCGTTGCTTTCTGACACATTGTTGGGGTGGAAGTTCCCAGTGCAAGCGTTGGCCTTTGAACAAGTTCAACACATTGGTTTGGTTGGTTTCGTCGACGGGTTGATTTGGTGGTAAATATATTTGAAAAAATGGTTAACTGAGAACTTTCTGGTAACCCAGCCCGTCATCAAACCATGTTTATACATCGGTTTGTTGAGGATTACTGGAACAGAAGTCCTGTTTTAATTGATTAAACATTCACAGAGAAGATGTCACTGTAATGCATCATTTATGTTGGAAAAGAATATTTTATGTTTTTGAAAGTCAAGTAGGATTTACTTTTGAAGTTTGAATGATAGCCTGTTGTAACATATAATTTATATACTATATATATATATATATATATATATATATATTGTAAATGATATATAAATGATAAATGATATTTTATTTGATATATCACTGATTTATTTTACCTTCATATATTCACTATACCAAGAATTTAGAAATGGTATACTGACATAAAGTAATATTATCATTATTTTATATTTTATAATGATTAATTACAGTAGCCTACTTACTAAACCGCACTTTTTAAAAACATTTCTATATATTTCTCTTTAAAAATTATTTTGGGGGAGGATGGTCCCCCTTTACCTTCTTTTGAAAGCTGAGCGAATATCAATGCTCTGAGAACCCTCAGGGATTTCTGAGAAGAAGAAAAAAGAAAAAATGGATGAAATACGATAAAGGGAAAAAATGTACACTGAAAGTTTGAGGTCTGTAAGATTTTTTTATGTTTTTGAATTATTTTTTTATTTATTTGATTAGTAAAAACAGTATTGAGTAAAAACAGTAATATTGTGAAATATTATAACAATTTAAAATAACGGTTTTAATTTAAATGAATTCCTGTGATGGCAAAGCTGAATTTTCAGCATCATTAGTCCAGTCTTTAGTGTCACATGATCCTTCAGAAATAATCCTAATATGTTGATTTGCTGCTCAAGAAACATTTCTTATGTTTATCAATGTTGAAAATAGTTGTTGCTGACAAATTTTTGTGTGTGAAATCATTGATACGTTGTTTTCAGGATTCTTCGATGAATAGAAAGTTCAAAAGAACATAATTTATTTGAAATATAAATCTTTTTTAACATTACAAATATCTCTGTGACCTTTGGACCATTTTGACGTGTCCTTGCTGAATAAAAGTTTTTCTTCAGAAAAACTCAAAAAATCGTAATGACCCAAACTTGGCAGTGCATGTGTCTTTGTGAGTGTTTGTTGTGTTCAATCAGAAAACAAACCTTTGACTTCCAGGTCAAAAGAGCAGCTATCAAATTTGTCTTTGTAGGTGACCTCACATCTGTAATTCCCTGCATAGTTCTCCTTCGCCTTAATGATGTGCATCTCAAAGGTGTGAATCTAGAGGGAAAAACAATGCCAAATATTGCTTAAAGAATGGGAAAGTTATGCAAATGCTTCTTTACAATACGTTGGTTGAACGGGATCACCTTGGAAAAGCGATCAAAAGATTCTTTAAGCTGAAGGTGCTTCCCAGTCTTGCTAGCCAGATCCATCCACTTGCCCTTGAACCACTTAATGGTTGGTTTACGAAGCAAGTCTTTGGCCTCCACTTTAGCAACAAAGCTGATGTCTCCACCTTTCAAACAACAAAATAAAACATACTGCAGTTGTGTTTGTTGAATAAACATTGCGAGATCCTAAAGATGTGCATTTTAAGATGAGCTTAAAGTGCCTCTATTGTGCTATTCTAAAAGTTCCTAATTTGGTTTCGGAGGTCTCCTACAATAGGTTTACATGCATCCAAGGTCAAGAAAAACATTCATAATATACATTTCACCTCATTTCTAAAAGAGTTTGAAAACGGTTCGTTCCATGATTCAGTCTCTCTAAAACCCTCCTTTCCGAGAGCCTGCTTTGCTTTGGAAGTGCATGCAATGTGGACTTGCTTTCGCAGCCAAGAAAACAGCATCTTCTCGACATGTTGAAAACACAAAACAAACTCTTCCAGGCCTCGGCTAGCGTTTAAAGGCGGATCAAAGTAGATGTTGTTTACAGACAGCCAATGAAGGCCATAGGCAGGCATTAGACAAATTTGTTACAAACCTTGTGCTGGAAGCAAGACTGGAATTACTGACGACAGATTCAGTTCTTTCTCTTGGGAGAAAATAAATCATTTTTTCGTGGACTTTGATCTTTGAAACTTTGCAGACCTTCAACATTCACAAGCATCTATGCGACACACTATATGAAAGGTCATTTCTGGAAAAAAAAAAGCATAATAGGGGCACTTTAAGAATGAACGGGAACCGTTACAAAGCTGCGTTTACTGACCTACAGTGATGGAGCCACCCTGGGGCCTTTCGATCAACAGAGTCGAGAGCGGTGGAGTATCAATCTGTTTGTCAATGTCCTCAGGAGGCAGTCCATCCCCCAGAGACCACACTGATCATTTAGGAGAAAGAACACACTTATCCCACTCATAGATTTTTGGTAGCTTTATAATAACTTTCATATTATGTGTAAAACTTTTTAGATAATTAGGTAGTGCAAATTGAAATATTAATATTAATGCCCATCTATATTTCTATTCAAATATATTCATATTTTTAAGTGACTTAATGAAAGTTATTATAAAGTGTTTTAAATCCATATATATCTTGCAATCGTCCAATTGCCTGTACTGACACACATACTCAACAAACACACAGTGACACATCGTCATCACACATTGCTGCCACAAAGCAACATGGAAAGCATAAAGACACTGAACAATGACCTTTAAGAGGGAAAAGAGAGAATCAGTTAACATATGTAAATGTACATTGCGTAGCAAAATCATTTCGGAAAATATTCTGATTGCTCAATGAGATTTCACAGATTTTTTTTAGTCAATGATCAATGAGATTAAATCTTGTATAAATAAAAAATGAACTGTGCCATTCATTTTACAAAAAGCAGATGATCTCCCAAACCCCTCCAGTTTCTTTCAAAATGGGGTTTGGGATTATTACAATCTATCTGTTTACCGGTCCCATTTGGCTGTCCACTGTGGGAAAATGAGGCAGTGAAAGCGTCTTATGATGCTTTGACTAGACCTATTTCGGCCTTTGTTTCTGGTTTCTAGGGATCCGTTAAAGCGTCTACTGTAGTTATAGTATTACCTGAGTCTTTTCTCCCCCTGGTTGACTCAGGGTCGCTATCATCTAAACAGAGAGAAATTTACAGCATATTATAAGAAATAGTACTGTAAAGTCCATTGCGGCCAACACACTGTAACACACAATTGCACATATAAACATGAACTGAAAGCAGGAACAGATTGTTAATGTCATGCGTCATTCCGTACATGTTCAAATGTCTTTTCAGGAATCATTGTGCTCGATTGCAATAATAATAAAAATTGTATATCTACATACAACTATTCGTTTTTAATTTGCAATTACAGTTATATCTTTAATTTTATTATAAAATGAAAAATATTACATTTTAGTAATGCTTTATGTCGTAAGAAATATGTTTTATGGTGACATAAAAGACAGAATTTCCAGCATCCTCAGAGGAATTTCCACTTATGTTGCAATGGTGCACTGGAAGTAAATGTAAATTCACAGGGCAATGATCTCTGTCTGCTATAAGTAACCTCCTTAATCCTGAACCTGTTTGCTCAAATGAATAGATTCACATATAATCTAAAAATAACCCCCTGGATCAAGAGTGATGAGGGCATTAATTAATAAAAGACTCTTACTAGGAAGGTCAATAGAAAGTTTCTTGGGTGTGCTGCCATTCTCTGTGAAAGAAAACAAAATATTATTCATTATGAGTATCTGTTTCGCCAAGGAAAGGGTTGTTTATCGGCCTAAAATAGAGAAAAAAATTAAATTTAATAAAATGTTGTATACTATGACAGATTAAGCTTTTTTTATAATATTTTTTTTCCTTTTTAATTAGCTTTTCCTTTGACTTTACTATACATTTATAACATCATTAAAAACATAATTGTATTATATGCAAAAACTTTATGCATGTTTGCACAAGCATAGTATTATGTCAGAAATCAGACATGATCAGATGTCAACTCTTCCTTTATAAAGATATATGATTATATTTTATATAAAGGGTCTAAATGCTTAGGAGTCAGGCAAAATCACAAACATTAAGTGCATATGTTTTTGCATACATGCGTACCTTTGCGAAAATGTATTTAGCTTGTTTTATCACTAACATGTTCATAGCAACAACATTAGTAAAGAACAACAGTGATTTGATGAGGATGGGTCATCATGGCTACCAACCTGCTGGAGGTGGAGGTGATGGGGTGCTGGCGGTGACATCATCATCTTTATCTGAAATAAAGGTGTGATTGACACATACACCCACCTATCACTGAACTCCATTTCCAGCCGTAGACCAAAACACAGCATGCTTTTGCACAGTCAAACATGAACTTTAAATTCACCATGAACCCGCTTACAAATAAAAGATGGAATGCTGGCAATGTTTACATGTGTTTTTGACAAGAATGAGATGAATGGCATGTTGCATTTGTGTATACGTGTGTGAGGATGAAGTGCGATAAAAGACAGAAGCAATATGTATACGACCACATGCTTATCTGATGGCCTGCCAGGCCATGAAGCAACACATGTGGATGGAAGGAAGTGTGAGGTTATATTTTGGCTTCGGTGAAACCCATGAGCATTATTTTGCAATACACAAAGAAACTGTTGCAGAAGATTCATTTTGTTGCTGCAGGAACAGATTTAATCTTCAGCAACGTGTCTGTACTTAAATACTTGAAAAAGCCACATAATTAAAGCTTCAGAGAAAACAAAAGCATACACACATCTCCACACAAAATGCACATTGACTGATATACTTCTCTGTGTCTTCCATTGGCATACCTTTTAATGGGGTAACTATTGTCTTAGCAGACTTCTTCAGTGAAGATGCTGATCAGTATAAATTCAAATGTTAGAGGACACACAAATATATATAGACTACTTATAAACTGGATTATGTCTTAGTCTGGACTTTTCTTACTCTTTTGGACTTGCTCTGGGATTTACATCACACACATGCACGCTAAAGGTCACATATCTTACAGGCACTGTCAGTACAGAGCTTAAAGGACTACAGAAAGTAGAATTAAATGTAACATTTGCAACCTAAAGTTGTAAAAAAAAAAGGATCTTTGAAAATAATTTGATGTGAAGGACTTTCCTGTACAGGTTGAAGTGAGAGAAAACTTTGAGTCTTTGCATGCTATAGTGAGAGATCTGGTATAGCCTACTGTAGGAACACCTGGGTCAAAACATGTGGTGCCATTATAACATTATTACAGATCTGTCTATATCAGATTTTTAAAAATGTATGTATTTATTTTGAAAGGGACAATGCACATTATTCAACATCCAAATAAAAATGTACCCAAGTTAGCTAAAGGCTAATTTCCATTGGCAGTCCCTTTGCCTGATGTTCTTAGGCAGGAAACTAAAAAAATATTATAGATATTTAGACAAATATATATCAACAAAACAAAATAATGATGGAAAATACTAATGGTTACGCAGAGTTTAATGCTTGTATTGCTATCAGTGATTATGAACGTTTTGCTTGAAATCAACTTTGCTGCCCACATGTACTTGACCTGGATGGTATTGAACTTGCAGTGTTGGGGAGAAAGTAACTATAATATTACTCACTACAAACGTTTAGCATTGTAACAGTAGCTCAGCTAGAATCGATGTAGTGCAAGTAGAAGAAAGAAAGAAAAAGTGCAAGAAAAAAATACTGGTTTTTTTTCCAAATAAATGCAGCCGTGGTGAGCATAAGAGATTTCTTTCAAAAGCATGTGTTTGTACAGTAAATATTTTGTTTTAAAAAAATGGTTCAAATGAGAAAAATGTAAGTATGTTTTATACAATAATGAAGACTTTTAAAAAAAGCTGTATGGAGTGGGTTGTCTTGGGGTGGTAAACTATTTAAAAGTCACATGACCAGATGAACATCATCCATCTTATCTCAATCATGGCTGAATGTGAACAGAGCATTCGCTACAATAATGGTCAGTTTTCAAAAACATTGAAATACCGCTATGTTTTCAAGCAAGTTAAATGTTGTTGCCCAATTGCAATCCTCATTGTTTTTATGTAGCTACCTTGTAGCTTTGCAAACTACAGTTTAAAGGTATAGCTTCCCCAACACTGACAACTTGTTATTGGAGATTTACTCTTAGTAATACTCACCAGGAACTTTTGAGGTGCTGGGCTCCTCTTCTTTTACCTCAGTCACCTCCACAAGCTTCTCAGCCCGTGTTGGCTCTGGCTCATTGTGCCCATTCTCTACAGGCTCTGTCACTATTGGCCCTGTGTCTGTGACCTCACCCTCTACTGGCTCTATTTCAGTCACCACAATTATTATGGGTTGTGGCTGTGGAGCCTCAGCAGCAGGTATGGGTACGGCTGCCTCTGGTTCTGTGACAGTCACTATGACCTCTGTGTCTTTGGTTGCCACTTTAGCCTCTGTACAGCAAACACAGCCAGGCTAGAGCAGCAAGACTTCAGGAACCCAACTTCAACCCAGCTGATTACACATGCACACTCTCATATAGATGTACAGTAACTAAACTGGTCAATTAAGTGCAAAAATAAGTCAAATATGTGTTTATTTATATGAAATGTTATGCTAATAATATCTTTTAGGCATTTTTCAGGTCCATTTGAATTTAGTCAGGTGACCAAAACAGATCTAGTCACTGTACATCTATGAAACTGTAAATCCCAAAAAGAAGCAAAGTACATCCAACTCGGCAAGCATCTGTACACTTGTGCAAGATTAAAAACAATTCAAAATTCTATTCATTATTCTCATACACAAAAGGTTTGCAGATGTTTTAGTATATATTTATTTCAAATATATAATTTAGTAATATTATAGGCCTAAATATATACATATATTAACAATGTAAATATCCATATATTTGTGCACACCAACTACAGGCATAACGTGAATTTAGCATTTCTAATGCAGTCAGCTTTATTTTGAAAGCACAATAAACAGTTGATGCCTACAGAGATGTCTTTCTCTGGGTGTCATTTGCTTCTTTTAATATACTATACCTTCACATCAAACTTCTCCATATACAGATGTGCATTTACTCAAGAAAATCCTGTCATCCATAAACCAGAACAGGCATTAGTACTGACGGAGGTGTGGGTTAAGGTGTGTGGACCACCGTAAGTGTTCGCTTGAACCTTTTGGGCCATGAGGTGTGTGTGTTTACCGTAGTTTGTTCTGTATGTGAGATGATTTACCTGAACTGTTGTGGTCACAAAGGGATAATTTGGTGGAAATCACAGTGGCGCAAACACTCTCACACACGTGAGGTAAGAGTGCCGTGGGTGAAACTGAGAAGCGAAAGAAAGCAAAGGGGGGATGTGGTTGAACACCTACCTTTTGGTGTGATCTCAACCGAGTTCTCAGATGGGGCGTCACCAGAGACTGGGGCAACATTCTCTGAGTATGTGACAGACATAGCGGAGGAATGCAAGAGCCTCTTTCAAAGCATGAAGCGTCAGCAACACAAACAGACACATACATATGCTGAAGGACAGGAGACGATACGACATACTCACTCACAGACACTTATATACATTTATAGCCTATACTACAGATATAAATGTCATTACATACACAAAAAAGACACAGTGGACCTCCCTCAATTATAAAATACAAGCAAAAAACTTCTGCTTGTCTTTCATTTAGGAAGTCCACTGTCAGGACAGAGGAAAATGGAGAATTCCCCAAAAACATTCCTGTTTTGGAGAGTAAAAGAAAATGAAATGATCTCTGAAGCATGAAATGGACATAATTTAACAATGATTATTAATTTTTTCATGTATGTTTCAGTACACTGGTAACATGGGCCAGAAATGTCATCTGAATCAACAACCCATGATCGTCTGGACAGAATACAGGGATTCAGACCATGGTTGATAACTGATCAAGGCATAGCATTGACTAATCTGTTCCCATTTACACTGCTGTGGCCACCATGTATGTTTGCACATTGAGCTATACCAGTGCTGTGCGCTTATGACCTTATTGAATGTGTACTTTGCTGCTTAAAGCAGAAATACCCAACTTATGTCATACAAAACAGGTCCACATCAAAGTACTTGAAGCCTTAGACACTCACAGAACTCAAACGGAATCAACCGGTGGTGTATTTGTATCAAGAATGTAGCCACTGTAGATTATAATTAGCCTATTTATTCACTTTATTAGGTAGCCTATGTGAATCCCTAGAATACTTCAATGTTTTAGTCTCTTTATGTGCATCAAGCCAGCATTAAATGATCAAAAATACAGAAAAAAATTTAATATTGTAAAATATTATTACAATTTAAAATAATGGTTTTCTATTTTAATATAGCCTACTTTAAAATATCATTTATTTCTGTGATTGCAAAGCTGAATTTTCAGCATCATTACTCCATTCTTCAGTGTCACATGATCCTTCGGAAATCATTCTAAGATGAGTTGATTCTCAGTTAGTATCAATGTTGGAAACAGTTGTGCTGCTTTGTATTTTTTTGGAACTTGTGATAGGTTACTTTTTTTTAGGATTGATGAATAAAAAGTTTAAAAAGAAAAGCATTTATTTCGAATATAAATGTTTGTAACAAATGCTGTTCTTTTTAACTTTTTATTCATCAATGAATCCTGGAAAAAGTATGACAGGTTCCAAAAAAATATTAAGCAGAACAACTGTTTCCAACATTGATAATACCTGAGCAGCAAATCAGCATATTAGAAAGATAGAATCATGTGACACTGAAGACTGAGGAGTAGGCTAATGATGCTGCAAATTCAGCTTTGCATGAATACATTAGCCTATATTTTAAAGTATAGGCTATAGAAAACAAATTGTAATTTTAAAAAAAATTAAATTGTAATAATATTTCACAATATTAGCTGTTTTTTTCTCTCTGTATTTTTGATCAAATAAATGCATGCTTGATGTGTATAAGTGACTTATTTCGAAAAACATGAATGTTTCCAAACTTTTGACCGATACTGTATTGTATAATGGTTTTTGTATAATTTCACGATTATTTAATTATTAATTATATATGGCAAGAATAAAGGTGCGGTAACGTTTACCTTTTCCGGCAAATTTTCGCGGGCGAAATCCAGTCATTTCAATAGGAATCCACGCGGTCGTGAATTTCTCAAATTATCGATCGACGCAGTGAACAACTGAAAGCTGCTTGATTTGTAAGTAGGCCTAACATCTGTTTGAGCTCTTACATTGCTACAGTGTTGATAATAAACAATTGACCTTTTATTACCGCGAAAAATCAAGTCTTCTAATGTTACCGCACCTTAAATGTTTTGGCCGCTAAACTTTCTGTTTCACTGTTTTTAACTGTCACGCTGCTACTTTCACGTGTATCTGTCCACTTTGACACTAGTTTCCAATTCACTGTTAGAGAACAGCAAATTGGCGCCATCTTTTGACTCAAAACAACCAGACTAGTAATGCCCTTGGATTACTAAAGTATTGATTATATGATAAGAATGAATGTTTGGATATTTGAGCCCCCTTTTAAACCAAGAAATACATCGAGCTGGATGATAGAGAACTGTTACACTGGAGCTAAATATATTACTGGTAGTTATAGCTTAGCTGCTAGCTAGTCTAGAATAAAATGTGTTCTTTCTGTTTTCTACTCATTTAAGTAGCCAATGATTTCTAGTCAGACTCTGTTTAAAGTTTTTTTCCCTCCCAACTATTGAATCTCGTTTATCCATTCACTCATAAAAACCTATCCAGGGTGAGGCAAACAAGGTTTTCTGAAGAAATTCGCCACTCACCTTCAGGTTGGCCATCATCTGTCAGGAAAAAAAAAAGAAGAAAAACAGCTCCATGAAGTTTACTTTATTTTAGGCAGGCTAAGCTTTAAATGTTTCTACAATATTGGATGGTAGGCTACTGGCCCCCAATTATAATTTTTTGACACTTGATGTCTGAATATCTTTCCATTAAAAAAAAAAATCCAAGTGTCATTTGCAAACAAATGTGCTTGTGCTGTCTTTAAAATAAAAGCCACTTGATTTAATATTTTGTTATAAAATATAATGACATTTTGCTGTCTGTATACTTTTTGGGCTACTGTACTTATTTGTACAGAAATATATGAGCTTTGTTTGTCTTTAAAGCATTCAGGTTTAAACTGGGTTTCAGTGTGCAGTATTGTGTTAGTTGCGGTGCATATGTCTAGACGTATAGCAAACAGTTTAAAGAAGCACATGTTGACACAGAGTTACAGTAAACCCAGCAGAGCATGATGAAAGTGTTCTTACAGATTTAATGTGATTAGAGGAGTTAAATAAAAGCCTAACAAGATCAATGAGCGCATACAACCCTTGGTATGATAGTTCTAAAATAAACCAGCTGTTTTATTTATAGATTACCATAGCATGGACACGTGATGGGCACCTGACTAAAGCAGACAAAGCTGCAAATGATCTAATGTCATCTTTGAATTTACTTAGAAAGCTGTGATGCTAAATTTATGCATATAAAAAGACAATCATTTTGAGTTGCTGGATAGAAACCTGAACAGAAGTAGGCTACTATAGGAATGCAAATTCACAAATGAGATCTCTTTAACATTTCATTGCTTAAAGGTGCTCTAAGCGATGTCATGTGTTTTTTAGGCCAAAACATTTTTTGTCACATACAGCAAACATCTCCTCACTATCCGCTGGCTGCCTGTCCCCTGAACACACTGTAAAGAAACGCGATCTCTGTAGACAGCCCATGCTTCACAAACAGCACCAAAAACAAACTGCAGCGACCCGCTCCCCAAAACATAACAAACTGTTCCAGCCAATGACCGACAAGAAGGGTTTGGGGGTGTGGTTTGGGGGGTTAGTGTGCGGATGAGGAGGAGGGAGGGTCTAGCTAGCCTCCGTTTTGTTTGACAATAGTTCGAACGTCAACAAGAAGTGACGTCACCCAGGATCGCTTAGAGAACCTTTAACCCTCTGATGGTCTTAAAAAAAAAAGTCACACTCGTGGTCTTCGGGGTCTATTGGACCCCAGACAACAACATTTAATTTTGTAACCGAACAATATATTTTTTTTTTAACAAATATAATTTTACTCTGTTTATTAATGTTTTTACTCAACATTTGTGCAGTTTTTGGAGAATTTATGATTTTTTTTTAAAAAAATTCTATAAATAAATAAATATTTAATTAAATAGGATTTTTACAAAAAAAACAGCATTTTATGTTAAATAAACTTTATAAAAGACCCAGATTTCTAACTTTCATTCCTGGGGATACCATGGATAATTTTACAAGGTTTAATGTAAGATTTTTGCCCATTTTTTGGAAAATACAGGTTAAAATTTGTAATAAATCACTTTAACCACTAGATGGCTATAGAGCTCCATTATATGCTATTTGCTATTTGAATTACTGAAAGATATAGTTTCTAAAGTTGGATTCAGTTGGATTCATATCTAAATATTATAAAATCACAATTATAACAAAAATAAAATAATTTTTGTCAAAATTTACCATTTCTTGTACTGAAAAAACACTATGCCGCATGACTTCTGCAGACAGGGTTGGAGCAGGTTTGGCACTGCACTGTTGTTGTTGTTGTTGTTGTGTGTGTGTGTGTACATTTTATTTTTATGTGTACAGTGTCACCAATTTATTTTTGTGGTGGTTCTTCATTTTGTATGATTTTATTTGACAAATTATAAGACTTTTTATAGCCTTACAAATGTATTCGTGTGTGTGTGTGTGTGTGTGTGTGTGTGTGTGTGTGTGTGTGTGTGTGTGTGTGTGTGTGTGTGTGTGTGTGTGTGTGTGTGTGTGTGTGTGTGTGTGTGTGTGTGTGTGTGTGTGTGTGTGTGTGTGTGTGTGTGTGTGTGTGCGCACATTTTCAATGCGTCTAAGTGTTACCAATTTATTTTTCTGGTGGTTCTGCATTTTAGATTATTTTATTTTACAAATGATAAGAGAACAGTTTTTATAGTCTGTATGTATTCCTGTATAAATGTATTCCTCTATATGTGTGTGTTTGTGTGTGTGTGTGCGCCTGTGGTGAGCATGATAATTTTGGATTGTGGATGTTTTTTGCATTGTTGGAAGTGTGCCACTTTATTTCTGTCATTTCTGTCTATGTGTTCTACGTTGTTTCTGATTTTGATGATGTTATTTTGTCTATTTTGATTGCGGGGTCCAATAGACCCCGAAGACCACGAGTGTGACTATTTTTGTCACGCCAACATAAAAACAGATATCATTAAAAAAAAATTGTTTTTTTTTGTAGATCTAGAAAGAGTTGAGAGCCGTAGCAAGTTTCAAACCATTTGGACAAAGAGAACATTTTTTTTAATTTGAGCAAAAGTCATTTGGGGTCCAATAGACCCCGAAGACCATCAGAGGGTTAAAGAGCAATGAGAGTAAATGGAGACTTTTGGAATATCCTGCTTCTCAGATTTTCAAAAACACCTAATCTTACATGTTTCTCCTTTAGAGTTTCAAAGGAGATCTGAACTATGTCACAAAATTTGACAATTTTTTAAAGTTCTCAGAAATCTGCACTCAAAGTCAGTGATCTCAAACTTCCAGGGATGTTTAGGAAGAACATTTGAGACCAAGTTGAACTTGGACCATTGCGAACTCCTCTAGGTCTCCTGAACTCTTAAAGAGCAACAAAACCTTCCTCTGGGTTATTACGTGATGTAAATGTCAGCAGCTTTGTCTCAGAGACCCGCTCCTGTTGCCTTGGCATGGGCTGCTGTGAATTCTGTGAGGATGCCAGCCTAGTCTGATCATGGCACAAAAGGATCTCTATGAAGCACTCGAAGAGCGACCGCTCCATTCCTGCCCCCTGCTGTCAGGAGCCAATGTGAACACCTGTGCGTTTAGCTTATTGATATTTTTGACATCTCTCAGCTTTCAGCTCCCTCGTTTTTTGTAGCGACATCATGTCCTATATTGCATTGTCTCCTCAGTCGTCATCATATGGAGTAGCTAAAAACTTCTCAAAAGACTCGTCAAAATGCATAAAGTTTGCTTGAATTCATGAGACTTGACACACAATTATATGGGACCATCAGAAATGTAAAGAAACATTTAGATGGTCTAACTAACATCTGAGAGTAGGGATTTGATCACTAAAAAGATAATAATAATAATAATAGTAATAGTAATCATGATTATTGTAATGATCTCACCACTAAACAGTATGTAATTAATAATTATTATCTGTATAAAGCTTGTTTTTATGCATGTTAATGAGTCTTTTGAGGCACAGAATTTGTTCACGTAACTATTTTGCGTGACGTGACAATGCAAAAAAACTAAATTTTGATGTTTTTTGCATGTCTTTTGAGACACCTAATCCTTATTTTATTCATTTACTAATAATAATTATTAATATTTTACATTGAGATTTTTTTTTTGCATGAATAAGTCTTTTGAGACACCTAATCTTATTTTATCTCCCTCTTTTTTGTCTTGTGCTTATCGTGAGAAAAGCACTATATAAATGTAATAATATTAAATCAAGATGTTTTTGCAAGTGAGTTAGTCTTTTGAGATATCTAATCTTATTTTATGTCTCTCTCTCTTTTGTTATTTTGTGCATGATGCCATCCTACAGGTCATGTCTTTTGGACACCTTAGCTGAGATTTGGCAATGACGTGGGTCCTTCCACCCATTAAAGAGTCATTTATGTCACCGTTAAGCTAGCTTGTGTGGCATTGTGCCCGTTTCGAGATCCTCCCTGGCTCATCCAGCAATAACGACAATTCTGAAAGGTATTGTTTTACCATCGCAGTGCAGCACAACAGTATGCAGGTATGTTCAGCTGTCCCTACTGCTGTCGTGAGGACAGACAGGCTCATGTTGACCCCCCCCCCCCCCCCCTATTTTATTAAAGAACATTTTCAGTTACATGCTTTTTAATTGATAAGCGAATGCACTGTGGCTAACTTTTGATTGTCACAAATAACACAGACTGAAAAACTTCCATAATCAAAAGGTTAAGGGCATAGATGCAGCTTTTAGTTTGAGAATCAGTCTTTTTTTTAATTGTTGTAGTTCTACAGAAACAAAGTACAATTGCACGTGGAAGTCGTGCTAACTTTGCTGGCACAGATAATGACAGACATCAGAGAGCAAATGACAGCTTGAATGTGTTGTTTCTCTTGGTGTTGATTTATGAGTGAGATCTGACATGAAGGAATGACACTTCGACTACTTTGAATGAGAAAAAAAGTGAAAGTGAGACATGCAGGGTCCAAAAATGAACACTCACTCAAGTAAAAGTTGCCAATTGGCTGGTAACTTTATAAGGAACTGTTACATAATGCACAATAGTTAAAGTTATTGACGTGCATAATTCAAAACTAATGGCATACAGACCATCTACAAATAGGATACCTAAAATGTTATTTTTACTTCATATATTTAAAAGTGGGATATTTTTCACATAAAAACACTAGAAATAAAATAAAACAAGGTCTCTTAAGTTCACAGAGAGATAGAGACCAGGTCATTTATGATGTTGCGAGTGACACAATGACCTGATCTGTTTCGTGTTTCTCCATTCACCCACCATTAGCCGGTGAAAAAGTTAATTTTGGACCCTGGATATACGCCACCCTAATGTAGGATGGGTTTAACATGGGGATTATTTCACCTTTGACTGTATCTTTAAGTCATTAGTCAAAGGGCAGCTATTACTCTGATACGCCTCCAGAGATAAACTTTCACTGATACAGGCTACTAAAGTTTTTGTTTCCTTCCATTGTTGTTTTCCTGTGGGATGCTATTACTATTTGCTGCTGTCATATGTGGAGAAAAGTCATAACCTCCATCCTTTGATATTATTTATCACAGAGATCAAAGTTCAAACAAACAAGAGCTCAGGATTCTCAGCATGATGGAGACATAAAGTCACTGGATGAAAGATAGGACTAACAGAGAGAAGAGAGAGAGAGCAATGGGGATTAAAAGTCTGCTCATTCTGAACTATTCCAGGGGTCTGGAATCCTGTTCCCTGGGGGTCCAGCCCTGTTCATCCCTCATCCAGCCTTTTAAAGCCTGGAGTCAACGCTCCACGGCAACCCCAACCTCCCCCCATCAGCTGTTCCCTCAAATTTATGAGAACAATCATTTCATTTTTCAAAGTCTAATACTCACTCTCTCTTGAGGTTATTTATGAAAGGCATCTACTGTATATGAAATCCATTGTACTTTAATTATTACAGTTGGCACATCAACTACTTTGTTTTCATCTTTCACAGTAACCAATTCGAATTCTCATTGTTTGTTACTTGAGAAAGGAACTACTTGTACTGCAAAAAGCATTTTCTTAATCACAATTTGGTGTCTTGTTTTCCGGTAAAAATATCGAAACAACCTTAAAACAAGATAAATTTACTTGAGAAGCTAAATGGTAATAGTAAAAAGGTTTGTTTTTATTTCTTGTTTTAAACATTAATTTTTGTAAATGTTATTATGTTAATGCTAAAATCAAGGTACTTTTTAAAATTAATAATATTCTAATCCAATTTTATTTATCTTGTTTTAAAGGGATAATTCACCCCAAAATTAAAATTCAGTCGTCATGTAATCAACCTTATGTCATTCCAAAACAAAACCCCTTTCAGAATATTTAGATGTTTTCACTGGAAAACAAGACAAAAATACTGATTAAGAAAATGATTGTAGGCCTTTTGCCTTGATGGACAGATGGTTTTAGCCACCATGTGCATCCTATCCAAAATCTTTTCATTCAAGACCTTAAAAATCTGCACAATCAACTGGATGGCATTGGCGATGGGCGACGGCCACGTCTGCAAACCATTTACAGAAATGAATCGCGCCACCTCCCTGTTTATGACCATGTTTATAAGCATCATCAAAATAGCAGCCATAACATCAGTCTCCAAGATCGCCCTCATTCTGCTTCTTAATCCCTATTGTCCGTTGGTGGACGGATCCTTCAAATGTGAATATGTTTAGAGGCAGATATTAAAATATGAGTCATCCTCAGACAAAAGCTAAAGCCTGACCAAAAATAACATTTAAATGTCAACGGTGCTTGTCAAGAATGATGAAATCTCATCGCATAAGAGCTGTTGTGCTCAGGGGAACGCAGTTTCAAATGTCCAAATCTGTCTGGTATAATAATAATTTTCCATGATAATAATAATAATGCAATGAAAATCAAAGGACAAGAACACACAATGCCGCATCCTCATATTTCTCCATCCATCCATTAGGCAATGGAAGCTGATCTCCATATCATCACCCCTGAAATATTTGTCCATCTGGAGGCGTAGCATCCCCACTGGGCCATCGCCGGCATTGCATCATCCATCAGCGATGCCTCTGGCACCGCAGTAAAGCTGGGCTCTAGGACTTGTAACCCAGCGCCGGGTAAGTCACCACCATTCCATACCCAGAATCCTGTGTAGCTCAGCTGACTGTGCTCTCCTAATCGCCTTTACTATGTGCCATCCATCATAGCAACAGTCATGACAATAGTTGCTTTGTATAAAGTTGTTTGGATCACCTCATCATCCAGCACAATGTGAATCCCAAAATCGCTCCCAGAATTCCTGATCGTCCCTGAGCTTTTTATGTCTGCTTGGGTCATTCTCATGACTGTAGGGATGCAGAAAAGCAGCACATACTTCTAACCAACCACCTTGACCTATACATTATACTCTATATTTTGTAGTACATTATATTCTGTAGACTGTTTATTTCATCTCACACAACTGATAATACACAATTATCTGCATTCTTTACTTTCTCAACTTTGTATATGATGTATGTGTGTCAAATGCAGTTGGGCAAACTCACCAAGGTGAAGTCCATGTTAGTTCAAGCCTATTTGGCTCATAAACTTTAGATTAGAATCAAAACAGGTGAAGCAAATCAACAACACAGTGCGGCTAATATGTTATCAGCATGTTTGTTAGTAAGGTTGAGGTGATATCACTCATAAATGTTGTTGAATGTCTTGATTTGGTAGAATAATGATAATAATGTCTTGCCATCCTAAAACATTTCTCTACCATTTGCTCCAGTTTTCCCATCAGACTACAAGATCTGTGGCGTGATGACGGACAGAATTCGTTCTCACCTTTCTTTGTGGGCTCAGGCATGTTGAGCCGTTCTCCGGTGGACCTGGCACCAGTTGGAGGGATTCAGGGGTGAGTCTGGGCTGCCCAGTGTGTGTGGCAGGGGGTGTCCTTTAGCCAGGGGGTGTTATGATGGAGAAACAGAGGTGAGGAAAGCTGCACCAGAGACTGTGGAAGCCAATGAGGATGAGGGCAACGCAGGAACGTGAAGGAGATAGTAACAGATCTGGGGGTGATGAATAAATGGGGTTTATATAGCGCTCATCCTAGCCACTCCTCTCTCTCTTAATAATGGAGCCCAAAAAGAACACCTCCCTCCCCTTCTCTCCTAAAGTCCTGGGGATTAGATGTGGCTCGCTGTACCCTGTCTCCTCACCATCTGGAGTCAGACAGGGAGAGGGGCTTTTGCATAACGTTGCATTGCAGAAAAAAAGACGGTATTTCTGTTGACAAGTTGGCATTGCTTTAAATCAAAATGATAATGTATAAAAATAAAATTCATTTATTATCTAAGTGTATTGTGGCGAGCAGGACGAGGTCGAGGGACGTGATTAATGATGAACGACACCTGTGAGACGCACCGGTCTCGTATCTCTCACGTCCCTCGACCTCGTCCTGCTCGCCACATGTATAATTTCATAATTGGCATAATTGTACTGTATAGAACGATATATTTCATAATTTATAATCATATAATAATAAGATATATAATAAATAATATTTAATAAAATAAAATGTACAATTTTCAATGCATACATTTTTAAATTATATGAAATATAAAATAATATACAATATAATAAAATGTAATCAAATAAAAATATAGAAAATATGTCACATTTTCCATTTATTTATTTTTTAATTTATAATAATATATAATAATAATAATATAAAAAATAACATTGAATAAAATCTAAAACTATAAAATTCATGTAAAATGTATATATATATATATATATATATATATATATATATATATATATATAATTTAAAATATTATATAATAAGAAATTATACAATGATAATAGTAAAATATAATATAATATATTGTTTTTATACTTTTAAATGATTTTTTAAACATAAAAAACATCTAGAGTAATATACTGCCAACAATGTGTTTGTAATGAAGAGACGACCCTGCCACAAGGCCCATGTCAAGGGCATTGACTATAGGGTGAATGAAATATTATTATTAGTTGATAATGAATTATTAGGTGATGCTGTCATCCAGGGGTTCCCAGTGTCTAAGCTCCACCGTTTCCCTAAAAGGCCTTTGGGTGATATTTAGGGCTTAGTGAGAAAAATAGGAAACATTCACTTCACCTTGCAGCCAAATGCCAGAGATGATGTGGATGTAATGTGAATGAGGGTGATATGAACAAACCAGGACTATAAATTCTGCTAAGATGCCTGAGCAATGCTTTTAAAGTCTATAATTAGAAGGCCATCCTGAACTCTGACTTTTGACATATGAAGCATGGAAAGATGGTGGGATTGTTGTCATTGTCAAGACTCTAATTATCCTGTTAACGCTTTAATTTTCACTATAAATCAGGCCCTGCTTCTTGCAGACGTGACAGCAATTTACTCAGTGAGTCCCCAAAGCTTTAATTGTCTTAGTGAGCAGTTACATTTCATTTGATTTATTATTTCCAGAAATTTGAAATGTATCTCAAATAATAAAGAAAGATTTGAAATCAATCTGCTTGAAACTAATGGTATTATGCTAATTGTAATCTATTAATTTCAGAAAATACATTAAATTTCATATTCAGAAAATCATAAAATTCATACTGATATTTTTTGGTGTGCATAATGTTAAAAAGTGATACAAATGTCCTGGTAACAAACATCAAACAAACTCAATTATTAAAAAGAACCGTATTCCTTATAGTTAGTTTGGCATAATCTGTGTGCCAAGCAAGTCTCTTAAAATATCAAATCATTTGTCCTTTTTATGACATGACAAATTATTTCAGGTTGTAAGATGTGGTGTGACTTTTCATAACTGATATTTATTAGTTACATAAACATTTTTCAAAAGCATGTTAAACCTATATGAGCACAAAACATTTCTAAGAACGTGGAACTTGTGTTGTCTGTGAACTTCTAGTTGAACTGCTGATATGAATATGGCAAAGATTGAGAAAAACAATGTCAACTTCTCAAACGGTCACATGAACGGCAGCAAGTCATATAAGATGGTTCTGCTGAGCCAGTAGCATATTACATATTAAGCCAGGAGTCTTCTTTAGTAATTTCAGTCTGTTCTTGTTCTGAACGACGGGAATGAGTCAGGAGTCATTCTATCCGTAGCAACACTTGCCATCAAAGAAATCCATGTTTAGAATGGGAATTTTTCACCAAACCATGTCACACCAAAAGTATGTGGTCGCATTAAAAAAAATTAAATTGGAATCTCTTTCTGACCTGGCTGTGTGTGATATAAGGAGGTTATGAATGTTGTGCCATACTCTTCTATCACAAACCATCTTGACTGATTTTAAGCATGATTTTTTGGCCTTTATTGGTAGCAGAGCCTCCAACGAGGGGCCCATTTATAACCCTGTTCTGTACAGCTCTTAAGACAGGGTGCTGGGGAAGTATCATGTGGGCCTGCCACAAAGTTCACACAAAACCATTTGGACCAGACTGCTGGTTAAAGGTTCATGTCGCCCATGGGGATTTAGCTCTCACGGTCACCATAAAAAGCTCAGACGAGAGAGTCACAGTGGCACCTGCCTTGACAAATGCACACACACACGCACACACACAGATAGGAACCTAAACAAAGACAAATTGATATCGCCTCAGAATTTCAGCATCTCGTTAAGATTCAGTACGTTCAATAGAATGGAGCTTCTCCCTGTGGAGCAGGCAGTGGTTTAGATATAGTGAGCCAGTAAAGCACGAATACTCACTGCAGAAATAGATTTCACTCCTTCCTTTGAATAAAACACTGTGGGACTATAAAGGGCGAGAAACGCCATCTCTGAATGGCAAATTACAATGTGTGAGGAGGACCCTGTGGCTGGTCAGTCAGTCAGAGACCAAACCAAGAATCTGTCTTTTAGTAGGCCGGGTGCTGTCAACAGCTCTACGTCCATCTACACTGATGCCAGTGAAGAAGAAAACACGACAGCTGCTTACAGTGCATGGCTCCAAAAAGCATTTGAATGCTTAAGCCAGGCTTAAAAATGTATGAATTGTATTGCAGTATGCAACAAAATCTCAAACCGAATGCCATTTATTGTAAAGAAAGACAGCACACTTAGACAAGTTCACAATGTCAAAATATTAGATTATGCTCAAAATATTGCCAAAAAGTTATTGTTTGGCTTCATGCATTCACAAAAAATTACCTACACTGTAAAAACAAATATTTTCATGATTTGTAACCTCAACTTTTTATCTTTTGTCAAATCAACTTAATTATTGTGGTTCAGATAACATCGTTTCTATTTATTATACCAATCTCCTTCATTGTATTAACTCAATTTTTTAATTTCAATGAACTCAAAATAACTTATATACTTTTTTAAAGTTAAACCAACAATATTTTTTTACAGTGTAATTGGACAAATCGATAAGAAAAAGTTTGTTCTGAGAAAAGCATAATTTGTTTGCAGATTTCACTTGTTTTGAGATTTCAATGTATTATGCAATAACATAACATTCATACATTTTTTTTATGTGACCCAGGTTTGACCCACTGAATTTGAACCGGCTTTGTTGTTAAGTAAATCTAAAACTAAAACTGTTAAAAATAATTTTCGTTAATTGAAATAAAGCTGAAATAAGATACAAATATTAGATATATCATGTAAACTTAAAAAACAACAACAGATGAAAATGACAAATGTGCCCTTGGCAAATAACTGAAATACGTTGAAGTTAAAGTATTAAAAATAATAAAATGAAAGCTAAATAGAAATATAAAAATGACAAAAGCACATAATTAAATTTCTAAAAAGAAGAAGATTGACTATATATGCAAATGTACACAAATACAATTTTATTTATAAAAGACAAGTTTAGAAAACACATACTTTTTAAATGCATCAATATATGAAAAATCTAAACTTAAAATAACAATATAAGTTAAAGCTAAATGGAAACCTTAAAAAAGAAAAAAGTTCAACTTAAATGGCTAAAACCTAAACTAAAATACTGTAATAATAGTAGTAGTACAGTATATAAATAATACTAAAATAGCACTGAAGTGAACAAAAAATATATAGAAGATGGTTTGCAATGATTTTTGCGGATTTGTAATGTACAGCATCAATGATTGTTTACTGTAAAAAAAAAAAAAAAGAAGTTGTTAAAAGTCCAAAAAAAAGCACAACTGTAGTGAATCACTGAGTGACAATCACAATAATAGCAGTGTAGCAGCTTTGCCACCTACTGGGAACAAATGAGCAGTGCGGGAAGAAGCAGACATTTAGTCTGTTTTTATCTGGTTTTGTTCTTTTCAACTGCCAGCTTAAAAGCTGATTAAAAAAATAGAAAAATATCAAAAGAAAACGATAATAAAAAGACATGTTTAAAGACATACTTTATGTATCAAGATATGCAAAGAACAGCAAAAAGTACATAATTTCCTTAAGAGTCTGTTATACAAAACACCATATTTATCACCTTCTTATGAAACATAATTGAGCAAGAAAAAAATAAGAAACTAATTTTACCCTTCTCCTCTTACCAAGGCAATTAAGATATCATGAGAGCAACAAATAATGACCTTAACACACTGGAGACAATCATTCAGCTCTCATTTCGATGCTTTCTTTATACTATGTTGATTCTGTAAAGTAGAGAGGGTAACAACACTGAACTGGTAAGTCAGTTTCTTTTTCACTTTAATGATCTCCCCCGAGCGGGCGTAATTGCGTAGGGCACGGGACATTTTCTGGTAGGTCATGGGCATTCTGTTGCCCTTCCTCTGGCCCCACAGCTCTGCCACATGCTCCTTGTGCCTTGCAGAAAAGCGAAAGACGCCAGCTGAGGCCGGCACCCAGGACACGCAGTGGGCCATGCCTGGGTCCTCCAGCATCTCGAACAGGAAGTGGAAAAGACGTAGCTTTTTCCCTGCAATCATAGAGACAATTGCGGTCAAACAGCGTTTATGTGTGTGCAAGGGGTGGCCAATGGCCTATGGAAACTATTTCCCATAAAACAGGCTTGTATTATGATAGGCGCAATTAAGATAAGCATCTCTAAAGCATCAGTGGTGTACACAAGACCAGAGAAAATTAGAGAGAACTGAGATTCTATTTGGCAGTTATGGGTAGGACGAGCCGCTCCCGAGCTGCAGTTCCCCTAGGTTATTCCTCACCTTTGAGATAGCATCTAAATAAACCACAAAAGCAGAACTGACCTTTCTCTGCAGGTGTAATGCTGGGCAATGATTCGGCACACTTTTCAGGTGTTGTATTAGGAGTTAAAGGTCTCTCTGGTCCGTTTAGGGCATTTAACACTCGCCCGTCGGGTGCATCGTGAAGGACAGAAGACTGGTCGACCACGGTGTCTGTATACGAGTCAGATCTGTTTGCTTTGGCCAGAGATCCCATGACCTATTCATTTGACAAAAGCTCTTGGTTTTAAAATTGAAAAGAATGAGTGCAAAAACAACACGACATGTTGAACTGAATAGTTCACCTGCTCAGAAAACTGCAGCTGGGACTTTTCTTGCTCTAACACATTGCTGAAGTGCTCCTCACCAGGTAGCTTCTCTTCAGACGTGTTCACAACTTCATCAGTTGACATGGCACAGAGATCCCTCACTGCCATTGCATTACAAAAAAAAGTTAGTTGTGATAAACCCTAAACAGGCCGTCCTTACTACTAATGTCAGTGTTTTTTTTGTCCATGCAAATCAGTGGAGTCCAATGTTTTTTTTTTTTTACTCCATTACCTTGTGAAAAAGAAGTACACTTTGTCATTAATTAATAAGAATGCACTTAAGAATAAACGTACATACTTAATATATAAAGGAAATACTTAAGTCCAAACTGAATGTTTTAATTGTATGTTAACTGCAATAAAATGTGTTTATATTACATTTATATTATTATATTATATGACACACATTGATAAACTAAAATATACTTTAATGTAATTTCTATTTAAACTTGTATGTCATGTATTCAAAAGGTTTGTAATTACACATTTGTAATTATCAAATACATGTGTTTAGTATGATGGTCAACACATCGGAATAAATAATTCTTTTATGCATGACAAAATGATTTAAAATGTACTTTAAAGTAAAACTTTGACTATTAGCAGTTATTAGAAATTGTTAGAAAATATGTTAAGAAACAGTGTGTTAAGTACACTTAAGTGGTCATTTGTTTCATTAATATTACCTGCAAGTACTGTTTATATATATATATATATATATAAACTACACACTACACATGCATGGATAGGGGAAAAAAGTTAAAATTCTTCAAAATATCATCTTTTGTGTTCCGCAGAAGAAAGAAAGGCATACAGGCTTGGAATGACATGAGGGTGAGTAAATGATGACATGATGATTGATGATTTTTGGGTGAACTCTGCTTTTAAGCTTTTTTCTTACTGTTCCATATGGCTTTTCTTCGAGATTCCTGTCTGTAGTGCTCCTCAAGAAATTCCAGAATCACCTCCAAATCAGTTTGATATTCCTGCGGACTGTTCTGGTAAGAAATATAGATTTTTTTTCCCCCCCATACACAAGTGGGCCCCCGAAACATATTTGGTTAGATATAATATATATATTGACATTGATACATTTAAAATTGTCCAAATATGTTTTTGCTCCACTGTAGATTAAAACTATACAACAAAACTGTAAAACATATCAGTTCTTACCATGTTAGTGTTACTGATGTGATCCTTATTGAATGTATTGCTGTTTCAAGTGCTGTTGTATTAATGAATAACCAATAAGTAAAAAAAAAAAAAGACAGATTTGGTACTATTAGTGTGCTTTTCAAACAAAACTCTCTCGTTGAAATGGCTCAGACTCGTTTTTATCAGTAACAAGGGGCTGGGGGAGTGAACAGGCCTCTCTGGAATGATCTACGACCGTACATAAATAACCATCCATCTTTTGACCCAAAACCACAGTTTCTTTTGGCCCAAACACACACACACACACACAACCTGATCTCCGTCTAACACACATCTCTAGCATCCTTTATGGAACCAGTAACCACATCCTCTCTTTACTCTTAGAGATAACAACCACAACCAGCTAACAATGGCACGCAGGCTCCACATAAAAACACACATTCATTTGTGCTGAAATGATCGAGAAATTTGAATTCATGAACAAAATATGAAAGCAACATAGATGAGAGAAATGTAATGGTTAAAACTTCAATCATAAAGTCTGAAAGAGCGCAATTGTTATGAGACAAGTGTTTATTGTCCAGTATGAAAATTATACAGCAGCACTACATTAGTGTTTGATTGCTATCTTACAAAGAGGAAGGTGATTTGAGATCAGTTTGTAATATGACACACAAAGCAGTCCCAAAACAATCTTCTCGCTGTGAAATTAGATAAGCTTGGCCCAATGCATTTGCAAAGAAATCAGCGCAGAGGTTTATACAGCGGCTATACAGTGTACATACAATGGAGAGTTTAACAAACAAACCAAGTTAAATGGCAAACTTTATTTGAGCACAAATACAATGTACGCAAACAAGTTGAAAAGGGCAGATATAAATATGAAGATAGATCTTTATAGCAGTAGAACAGTAGATAAACAGTAGTCCCGAAAAGCATGTGGACTCTTTTAGACTCTTGATCATGTAAGAGTGTTTTTTAATTGCATACAAAATATCAAAATATCTTTTCTGAACTATTTTTGCAGTTACTTTTAACCAACTGGTCCTGAGGTGATTTTTTTTATGGTTTTATGAAGTTCACACAGGCGTCCTAACAGAGTAATAATGCATATTTTTCTTCTATTTACTTTAAGAATTTGAATTTTTGTGAAAAATAACACAATAAAATAGCGTAAAAAGAGTAATATTGTGAAATATTACCATTGAACTGTTTTCTATTTGAATATACTTTCAAATGTAATTTATTCCTGTGATTTAAAGCTGAATTTTCAGCATCATTACTCCAGTCTTTAGTGTCACATGATTTGGTGCTCATTTTCTTCTTATTATGAATGTTTAAAACAGTTGTGCTGCTTAATATTTTTGTGGAAACAGCGATACCTTTTTTTTTTTCAGGATTCTGATGAATAAAAAATTCAAAGGAGCAGCATTTATTTGAAATAGAAACGTTATAATTGTCTTTACTGTGACTTTTAATCAATTTAATGCATCCTTGCTGAATAAAAGTATTAACTTCCTTTAAAACAAACAAAAAATCCATATTAGTGACTAAACTTTTGAACATTATGTTAACGTCCTACATTTACAAGCATTCACACATTTCTAAAGCACTAGGAAAACAGCTTTATTCTTCTATACATTTTACCATGTCAAGGTTTATTTCAAAGCATCTCCAATCTTAAATAGACAGAGAGAGTAAAATTTTTAATTTATGGAATGTTAGGAATCAGCTCTTTTGAAAATCACTATACAGAAACGCCTATTTTGGGATCCTCATGCACTGTCAGTACAGTAGCAAGATCATACTCGCCCTGGTAAGAGTATTGGCCGTACCAGTAATGACAGTCCGGGAGAGGAGAGCTGTAGTACACGTGCTCAGCAGAGCCTTGCTGATGAAGGGCCATGTCTCTGGACGAAGGGCCCGAGCTGTAGCCTGACAGTGAGCTCAGTCGCTGCAGTATAGCTGGATTAAACTGATAGGTGAGCTTGCGACGCACCTTCACAATCTCGCCCGTGCGGCTATAGTTGCGGAGAGCGCGTGCCATTTTCTGGTAGGTCATGGTCTTGCGGTTGCCCTTTCGCTGACCCCAGCACTCGGCCAGTTTCTCTTTATTTTTCGAGATGAAATGGAAGATGCCGCTACCTCGGTCCGTCCACTGAATGGAGTCACCCATGTTGTCGTCGTGAAGAGCCTCGTGCAGATATTCGTATAACCGTAACTTCTTACGACCTAATGAGGAAAAGAAATGCACAATGCATTCAGCACTTCTGAATTATGATGAACTCAACTTTGTTCAAAATTAGGATATGCACAAGTATTATTTATTAATTAGATCATGATTCCTGAAATCTTTCAGCTGAGTTTACGTCATGTAGTAGGCCTACAGTTATTGCTATGCAGTTAGATAGAAAAATCAAAAACATCCCTTTAGCATCAGCACATGCTTTCCTACATATTGCATTATCACATTTTTAAACACACAAAAAAACTTGTTGTAACGTTGTACCTTTTCCGTGGCGCTGTGGTAAATTTGAGTAAAATACCGGAGGCTCAGCAGAACACAGTGGCCCCAGAGACACATCTGGCACAATGTGAGACCATGGCTGTTGATACAGAGAGAAGCTTTTCTAGTCACAAAACACAGGTAAAAGTATCACAACCTAACAGCTGAAACCATGAAAGTGAAAAATTGTATGAGTTGTAAACCTACTGAGGATTCATTCCAGTCATACATTGATCCTGGAGGCTCAAAATGAGGTGTGAACTGATAGTAAGAGATGGCATGTCTCACAGAAGACTGTTGACTTTCCAAATTCTCATAGGATTTATTTTCTGAAAGAGCCAATCAGCAGAGAATGAATGATAATAATAACAATCATCATCATAATAGTTTATACTTAATAATATTTTATACTTGCTAATATTATATAATACACTTATATCCAATTTTTATTACATTTATATTAATGGTATATTTTTATCATATTATATTATATTATATATATACCCGTGTCATAGTGCCGTGTCTGAGAATGACGCTGAATTACATCAATGGCATCTTGAAAATCTTGATTGATGTCATTTTCAAGAGACCCCTGTAAGAAAAAAAAAGGTACAATTCAGAATTTCATACATATTAAATAATGTTTGTATTAGGGTTCTGTCTTCCCATCAAATATGTAAATAATACATATAATAAATAGCTTATATAGCCTATATATGGTATAATAAAAGTATTAAATAATCTTTGGATCAACAAGTTTACAATAATCAAGCAAATAAATACTACATAAAACAATTTATAATTACACTGGTACACACCTGAGTCAAAGAACTCACCATTCTGGCCTTGGAAAACCTAACACTTCATCTATGTAGATCTCAACTGTTTGAACTGGTAATACCCTCTATGTCTCAGTGATTATAAGTGGACAGATAAATTGTAGAAGGACTTCTGTTTTACTGTCCAACTAACCAATGCGGCCTGTTATATACATGGGTCCATTTAAATTTGCCACGTCAACATAGCATGGAGCAGTCAATGATACTCTACTTCTCTTTTTGGAAATGAAGACACACAAACTTATAGTCCCTCTATTCTATAATCTCCATATCTCCATCCATGAAAAAAAAGATAGAGAGAGAGAAAGAGTGACTAACCACTAGTTTATCCAGGATTCCTTCTCCTTTGTGAAAACATTTGCATTTCAGGTTAGAAGCTGTCAACGGCACTGTGGTTTATTGGTCCTGTAAAAAAGTATTGAGAGACACCAAACAATAACTGCTCTGATAATCACAGCAAGAGAAAAGCTGGGGAATGCTGGGAAATTGCACCCAAGGTGGGACACTTCAAGAAAACGTGTGACAGAAAAATGGATTTTTATGTTCTTTTTACGCATTTCTGTTTTATTAATAAAAAGTTGATAGATATTAGCAAAAACTATCATTTCTTACAAAGCAATCCTACACACGTTAAAGATAATAATGTCCTTCTTCCATTCATTTCACATTCATATTAGTGCGATTGGCAAAGAAAGTACACACTTCCAGTACACACTTTGTTTATCTGTGCCACAAACTTGAGGCAAACGTTAAAATGCAGTCCCATTTTAATACATTTCGTTCTTTTTTTGCCCTGCATATTGTTCTAAGCTCATAAAACAACAGTTAATTCATCGCACATTCTCATGACACAAGTTTTAAATATCAACTGACTGGCTCCTGAAGTTCCCCTTTCAGGTGTGCAGAGAATGAAAGTAAAGAGGCTAACTGATAAAAGATCCAGATACATTTTATGAGACCTCGGTCGACTGAGATTATACCGCTGTGATCTGGTGCATAATCAATATGCTAGAAAACTGTGCTGTTGAAAAATGTATAGCCCCAAACTGTGTAAACAACTCACTGACAATAGTTAATCGGGTATACTGTAAATCAACAGGCAAATGATTTCTGCTATCATTTCCAATAACATAGTCTGTTACGTTTGTTGCGTCTGACTGTACACTTAACATTTATTGAAGCGCTCAAGATAAAGTCAAACATTTGAATATGTAATGAATACTTAGGTGCACTGTTTTGTTAGTGAAAGCTGACAGCATGCATGTGCACCTCCAAAATGAACACTTGTCAAGCACCAATCATGCAAAAATGGGCTTTGGAAAGTAACTTTTGCTGATAACTTTATTAGGAGCTACATCAATAAAGACTAGTATGAATTAGTCCGACTTTCACTAATGTAGGTTACGTGAGGGATTCAAATCAAAGTAACAAAACATCGGTCACAACTTGCAAAATAATACTATCGTTCAAAAGATTACTTACCAAGGCTACATTTATTTGATAAAAAAATACAGTAAAACAGTAATATTGTGAAATATAATTACAATTTAAAATAACTGTTTTCTATTTCAATATGTTTAAATTTATCCCTGTGATAACAAAGCTGAATTACTCCAGTCTTCAGTGTCACATGATCCTTCAGAAATTTGCTCCTCAAGAAACATCTGTTATTAGTATCGTTGAAAAGCTGCTTAATACTTTTATGTAAACTGTGATGCATTTTTCATAACATTACAAATGTCTTTACTGTCCTTTTTGTAAAATTTTATTCATCCTTACTGAACAAATAATGTATTAATTCATTAATTAATTTATATATATATATATATATATATATATATAAATGAATGAATGAATGAATTTTGTTCAATAAGGATGAATAAAATGTATCAAATTATATATATATATAATCTTACTGACGCCAAATTTGTGAATGGTAGTGTGTATGTGTGTGTACATTATTTAATATATATATATATATATATATTAGGGCTGTCAAATGATTAATCGTGATTAATCACATCCAAAATAAAAGTTTTTTTTACATAATATATGTGGGTGCACTGTGTATAATTATTTTGTATATATATAAATACACACACATGCATGTATATTTAAGAAAAAAATATAAATTATATATAAATCTATATACAGTATATACATGAAAATATTTCTTAAATATATACAAGCATGTGTGTGTATTTATATATATAAAATAATTATACACAATGCACCCACATATATTATGTAAAAAAAACTTTTATTTTGGATGTGATTAATCACGATTAATCATTTGACAGCCCTAATATATATATATATATAATTTAATACAAAGTGCAGTTTCATTGGTGGGAAATATTCTCAAGAAAGTTACATTTGTGCAACTGTTTTTTCTGTTGACAGGGTTTAACTGTTCTGGAACATCTGTGGTAAAGTGTGGAATTGTTTCCTGTCTGCTGTGGATGATAAAATGTGGGAGACTGTGCTTGAAGGGTATGTAAACCTTTCCTCCACTGTGACTCACAAGGTCAATTTGCAAGGTAATCTGTTTCGCATAGTGTCACTAGTGTCAAAGAGTCATTTCCCTGTTTGTCATTTTAAATATTTTCATTATTTTCTCTCTCTCTCTCTCTCTCTCTCTCTCTCTCTCTCTCTCTCTCTCTCTCTCTCTCTCTCTCTCTAAATGTTTCTGGGAATTTGTCCATTGGTTTATGAATTTATGTATGCATCTCACGCCTGCCGAAGTATTTACATTTTCTGGCAAAGCAGTAGCGAGGGCTTTATCTTTTCAAACAAAGAGCTGCTTTCCTTCCCCTTCTCTTCAAACCCTATTCAAAAGGACCATTAATACCAAACCCAATGAGGGAAGGGCAGTGTAACCACAACATGGCTCCTATTCAACTTCTTTATTTACTGCATGGCACCCAATCAAAATAAGTTCCCAAAGTGCCTGCACAGGTAAATAGATCACTCAAGCTGTCTGACGAAGTTAGCCCATAACATGGCTTACCAATTCTGGGGAAGAAAACAATACTGCTGAAATTGTTCTTGTTAAGCCTGGTCTGTTTGCTATATATATTTAATGGCAGACTTTTGTGGCAAACCTTTTGTACTCTTCTATTCGAATATACAGTATAACAGCAGGCCCAAACCTTAACTGAGTCATGCTTTTACTTTCTTTGCTTGCTTTGATTACAAAAGCAAATTATTTGTATTCCTTTTAACCTTAAGAGTGGATAAAACATACATTTATTTATTTTTATTTGCTTATTTTCTATTAGGTTTTTTTATTATTTGTTTTGATTACAAAAGCAAAGGTGTTGTATTCCTTTCAACTTTAAGAGCAGCTAAAACATTTTTATTTATTTTTATTGATTAATTGTTTAGATTACAAAAGCAAATCAGCTAAAATATGTATTTCTTTATTACGCCATATTGTAAAGCAAATGTAATATACTGTGCTTTAAAATGTTTGCCCATGATATTAGGATGAGCTTTTTCCCATCAACTGCCACAGAATTCCAGAACAAGAACACACCCAATTATCTGACCTTTTTTTTTTTCCTCTTGGGTTTTTTTCCAGTTCCTGTCTTTTTCATATTTCAGACCCTCCCTAATTGTGCTGTGTTGAGGGGTCCCAAGTGCAGAATTGAACAAAGCTACAATAATCTGTGTTATTATGTACCATCTTCAGATGTTGTTGTTCATCTGGAGCCGTGCTTGAAGGACTGATGTGAGTGATTTATAACTTGTTTATTTGTTGAAGTTTTCATTCTAAAATAACCTTGTGTTGATAACATCCTGTTCCACTGCTGATTGTTGACATCTGTTTCTTGTTTTACAAATTTGTAAATAAACACCTCATCTGTTCTTTTGTCAATTGCATCTTTGGGAGTCTTCCTGATAAGGTACTTCCTGATATCCCATCACACTTCAGTGAGACACTGCTGTTGAATTCACTACATTGTCTGCAGCATAATCTTATGAAGGTACAATTTGCCCATACATTTCGTAAAATGAAGGAAACATTTTTCAGATGCTGAACTATTTCTTGGTCACTAATGAAATAAGCACATTTGTGACACTCATTATGACGATCAGATGTTCTTCCGATGTAGCTTAAGATGCTTTTTGGATCATTTCAAATCATGATGGGAAACATGATCATCAGGTTTTATACAAACTTGTGGAGTTCATGCTGCTGTCATTAAAGCAAAAATAAAAGACAAATATAAGCATTGTAACAAGTTTTCTGGACTGCGTTGTATTAGCATTTGGAACATTGTCCTGCATGTGCACAGTGTTGGGAAAGTTCACTTTCTACATGAACTAGTTCAAAGTTCAGTTCACAAATTTTAAAATGATCTAGTTCAGTTCATACTTCACAATTTTGAACTAAGTTCACAGTTCCAAAAATGGAACTGTATCTTTTTTTCCATATGTTGCTGCGAGCTATTTTTTTTATTATTGCCACAGCCCATATACAACCACAGACAGCAATTATTTTACACTGGTGGCTGGTGTTGCTAGATTGGGTGTTTTTTCTCTACATATTAAGGGCCTGTTTACGGTGTGTTTTAGCCTGGTTTTCGCCTGGAAGGCTCTATAGAAATCTGGCACCCTATTGAACAAATTTTCAAAAACATTTGCTTCAAATCAAAGTTTGTAGTGTTATGATTCATCTCGTAGCTGATTGTCTTGGTCCATGGCTTTTAACTGACTTTTTTTTTACAATCCCTATGGGGGAAATGAATTGAAAAATTACTGTTACACTTTATTTTGATGACCATCAAAAAAAAAAAAACTTTAGACATTCTACTAACTGTAAGTAAATCTGCAACTACATGTCAACTTACTCTCATTAATAAGGTGTAAGGTTTCGGGTTAGAATAATTAGTTGACGTACTTGCAAAGTTACTTATAGTCAGTAAAATGTCTGGACCATCGAAATAATGTGTTACTAAAAATACTGAAAAAGTGGACGGGCACTGTTGTACTCTATAATGGAATCAAAAGTTCCATTTCATGCGGTTTCTAAGCATGTGCTTGCTTGAATTATATATTCAGGCTTAAACCATTTTTGACACTGTGAAATAGTAGAGAACCTAAGCATGGTTGTTAATATTGCTGTTCATTCTGACAGTTCACAAAGCTTGATGAAGTAATTGTTTATTGGAAATACAAGTATTCAGATTAAACTACTGACAGACGTGGTGTTATGCTGCTATAGCTAAAATGTTTGGACAGCCAAATAAATATATCCACATTTACGGAACTACAAGGAGTGTACAATTTTTTTTTTTTTTGTTCAATAGTTATTTATATGAAAATGAATGATTGTACATGGCGTTTTGTACAACTGCCTCAGGTAATTGCTCAAACCTTCCTATTAACATGGAAATTTAACATGATAGCAAAGCGAGAAACAGTAACCGTTTTTTAGGCACAGCTTTTCATTTGATCATATGGCTGCTTTTTTTCTTTTCTTTTTTTTTTCCAGGAAAGCCCTACAGCTAACAGGATCCCCCCCTCCATTAGGAAGATTTGAATAATTATTGCACATGTAAGGGACTTCCCCTTCAAAAGAGCCACTTGCTCTGGTGTCATGTTAGCCGAGATGGAAGATATACAAATTGTGTAAAGGACATGACCACTTTGAATGTTTTCTAGTGATCACGTACATGTGTCAAACAGGTTCTAGGATCTTCAGAAATAAGTTAAAACAGGCTGAAAATCACAAATAAGCCGTGCAGCGGCACTTCATGATAAACACAATTGTGTGTTTTAAAGCCTCAGATTTAAACGTGGAAGCCTTTTACCGTGAAATAGGCTTCAAGACCCTAAATCTTGACTTCATAACAAAAGAAGAGAAAGACTCTTAAAGTTTATAAATGCCAAAATATAGTACAACATGTACTTCAAGCAAGGGCCAAAAATAAATGATGAAATAATGAACAAATGAAAAATATGTTTATGTAAATATACTATTTTTTTTTAAATATATTAAAAAATATACCTGGTCAGGTCGCCATGTGTTAATGTTGAAAACTGTTGATAACATTATGAATATGTTGTGAATGGTGAATTTTGTATCAAGTCAGATTTAGGATCCCTGAACTGAGGATGTTTGGTCCAGTAATGTGTGATTCTTGCAGAAGACTTTTTCGAGGTCATCAGTACTGATCCAAAACACAAAATAGCATTTAAGTTTCAATGAACACAACTGGAAGACATTAACTCAGGAGCAGTCGGTGTATGTTGTGACCATGTTACCCTTTCGCTGTGTGACAGTCCTACAGTGCTGCCTGCTGGAACTGTGAAACCTGTTTTCAGTCCGAGTCTGGTGTCCATTAGAGAACATCCTTTCCATATTCTCAAACATATCATCAAACATGTCGCCACCGAAAGAGTTCTGGAAGTGCCTCCTGTGCCTATGTGCTTCTTCGTGGGCCTGAAAGTGGCTCTCGAAATGTCTTTTATTATGCATGTGAGGGTTGTGTCCATGCATGTCAGAGTCTCTGAATATATCGTCAAAGTTGAAGCTAAAATGTTGACGGAAGTGGTCCCCGCCTCCTCTCGGGCCCTCCCTGGAGAACGGACTGCTCCTTGTCTGGTCGTACTCCTTCCTCCGGTTGTCATCTGATAATGTTTCATATGCTGGGAATGGAAAAATATGAAGCTTTAACAACTGATCAACACTTATAATGTTCAGAAAGGTGTCCTGTGTCGATTTGAATGGGTGTGTTGACTCACCCTCAGCAATCTCTCTGAACTTTGCCTCTGCATCAGGGCTTTTGTTTTTATCGGGGTGATACCGCATGGCTAGTTTATGGAAGGCTTTTTTGATCTGGCGATCAGATGCGTCTTTGGGTACACCCAGGATCTCGTAGTAATCTTTCTCGGCCAGAATCAGCTCTGCGATGAGCAGAATGCTCACAGCCACAGTGAACACTGACTGAGCTGTTGCCATGCCTGCGGTCAAAACTGTTAACAGGAAATAAGAGTCAAGATCACAGTTAATTTGCTTTTGTTTTTTTGTCATGAGAAAATTCACAGTAGTACATCAGTGTCTATGTAATAATGTCTATTAATGTATGTATGAGAATATTAAGAATGTATGTATTTAGGCCCTATGTATGCGATAGATAGATAGATAGATAGATAGATAGATAGATAGATAGATAGATAGATAGATAGATAGATAGATAGATAGATAGATAGATAGATAGATAGATAGATAGATAGATAGATAGATAGATAGATAGATAGATAGCACTGCCTCTAAAACATGATACATGATATACATTTTCCTAAAAAGGGCTTCAAGCAAAATATAACTAGCTATTTCGATAGATAGATAGATAGATAGATAGATAGATAGATAGATAGATAGATAGATAGATAGATAGATAGATAGATAGATAGATAGATAGATAGATAGATAGATAGATAGATAGATAGATAGATAGATAGATAGATAGATAAATAGCACTGCCTCTAAAACATGATATACATTTTCCTAAAAAGGGCTTCAAGCAAAATATAACTAGCTATTTCTTTCTTATGGTTTTATGCCCTGTAGCCTACACGTTCTTGACAGGTTGATACTGGGTTACAAGTTCATTATTCTTAGAGAGATACTTGCAATAGGACATACTTATTATTATTATTATCTAAACAGCTTTATGTATAATATTAAGAATATTAAAGATATAAGAAATCTGCTGGTTTTAACTTACCCGATGGTCTCTGTCCCAAAGTTACATCAACCACAGAACAGCTGACCCTTTTTCTGAGCGCTCTGACAGCGCTGAAGTTACTGTACCACGATTCGCAACGCGATTGGCTGATTCCCGGGATGAATGACTACAAGCGTTTCGATTGGTCCAGATCGGGGAGCACATTCAGAGCGTCACTTCCTGTTTCTATAGCAGGATTTTAGTCTGGTCAGCGTGCAAACTATGGAAGAACGGAGGACCGCCTTAAAAAAAAACAATAAAAGTCTATGTCTGTCTATTAATCTATTTGTCTATCCACACACACACACACAGTATATAGGCCTATACACTATTTACTTTATATATTTTTTCTATTGAATTTCGGTCAGAGATTAGATCAGGCTAAAAAAAATGGGTCAAAAACATAAGTGTACTTGTTTGATAATCGATGGCGGACCTGATATTCTGAAGGTCACTGCTATTCCATTCCCAGTTGCTCTCAGATGTCTTTCCCTATATCATAATTATCTTTATATAGGCTTCACTTTTCTCTAGGTGGTTTTGTGTTAGACAGAAGATGTAAAAATCAAGTTCTGTGTAGATTTAAATGTTTATTGATCATAAACCTGTCCTGCATACCAACCATAGTGATCATACCTGCAGAGCAATCACATGACCGCTCATCAGGTCATCTCCATTCCGGAAATAAAGGCACAAGATGTTACAACTTCACTCGTCTTGTTGCCCCCTTTTCTTCCTGAACTTCCCTGAGTGTTTGATCGTGACTACAGTATCAGAAATTGACGGCAACCCAGATGCTGTAATGGAGGTTGAGCACTCTTATTCTTAATTTAACACTGTGACCAAGATCATGTCTGTGGAGCAAGTGTTTAAGGAAAAGTAAAACTGTAAGAATGAAAGCTTTGCAGGGATATTTCACATAGCCTTTGTATCACTTTAGTATTTTTTATTTATTTTATTTATCAATTTTTTTAGTAAGGTTTTGATACATGTTTTGATACAATGTTTAAAAAGGTGCAATATTTTAGTTGGTGTCATGTGACCATTAACCAACAACAGAAAACCGTGAACATGCGAATGTGTTGTTAATGCACGGCTTATTTGTGATTTTCAGCCTGTTTTAACTTATTTCGGAAGATCCTACATTGAAGCTGTTTGAGACATGTAGGCCTAAGTGATCACTAGAAAACATTCAAAGTGGTCATGTCCTTTACACAATTTGTATATCTTCCATCTCGGCTAACATGACACCAGAGCAAGTGGCTCTTTTGAGGGGGAGGTCCCTTACATGTGCAATAATTATTCAAATCTTCCTGATGGAGGGGGATCCCTTTATGCAATAAAATCAGAATTTGTGTTATAAAATAATATATTTATAAATAATGTTTCATTTAGTTTATTAAAAACATAATGTATTAATATTTTAATATGTAATAAATATATACAAAAATCTTCCAAAAAGCGTCCTTGTCCTATCAGCAGTCTAACCCATGCCTCAGTAGGCTACATTTAGGCTCCCTCGAGGCAAACTGCAAGTTAGTTAATTATTTCTGAAAACAATTTGTCCTCCATGCACAAAGCCTATTTAAAGGGATTTATATAGTTTTGTGGCTTCAAAGAAGTGTGAGGACGTGAAATGGATTTAATAAAACCTGTCTTTCTTTTCATGCATGACTGTAAAAAAAGATGGCCACATGGTGTCAGTGTGGCAGAGGTCATGTCATTATTATAGAAGTGATGTTCATTCACACACTAGAGGGAGCTTAAAAATAGTTATTCATTTGATATGGCTGAGACACAGTAATTAACATGGTTTTGAATGGTAAAAGGTAGCGTTATGTCATTAGGTGCCTTAGAAAAGCACTTCTGCTGAACACAAAAGAAGATATTTTAAAGAATGTTGTCAATCAAACAGTTGACGGTAGCCACTGACTTCCTTAAAGGGAAAAAATAATACTAAGTCAATGGCTGTTTTTTTTTTAAACGATACCGTTATCGCCTCCATGTAAACAACAAAAGTGACGACATGCGTATGCTTATTACGTGTTCAGTCAATTCTTTACAAAGTGACATCGCCGAGTACTGGCCTGGCATTACATGCAGAATACAGCGTTTTTAGTTGTTTTTGCAGATCCGTGTGAACGGGGATCGTTTTGACAACGGATACATCAGTACGCAACGGCAAAGGAAAAACTTTTTCTATTTTTAGTACACCGTTGTCATGTAAACGTACCCTTAAACTAAACACATATGAACTAATAACCCTTATATAGCCGCTGTTCTTTGTGTAAATTACTATGATGTCTATTCAGTTTCAAAATCTGATCTAATTATGTTACTCATTTTCAGAAGCCATTTCCTAAATGTCATAATTTACACCGCATTGTATTTGATGAGGAGCATACAATGCTATTTATTCTCACTTCTGCCTCCCCTTCCACCGTTCGGCTACGAATGGTCTCCACCGTTTTTCATCTGCCTCTAAATATGCTCTAATCCCATTTCCCAACGGCTACCTTGGATACAGGTGCCTTAGGCTTTCATTTTGCCTTTAATCCAAGGAGTGTTTGTGCAGTAAAAGGCTAACCAAATTTTGTTGTGTTGTTCGGTAGTTCTATAAGGCCTAGATACTTTTTGCCTTGTTTTTACAATCATAATTTAAGCATATGACCATCAAGACCCTTCAATGAATTAATTTACCTCATGTTTTCAAATTAAAAAGGTGATGTTTTGGTGCATAAATGGGATTTAATTTTTTGAATATGTATAAGTGCACAATTATGGCCCTGACTTAAAATAAATATATACGAATAAATATTTTTTTGGAATAATTAAACCCGTAAGAGATTTCCCATTCAAAAGATGGTCTGCTTTTAAACTCCAAATGTGTGAGGAACTATATTAGGTGTATTAAATATTCAAAATTGCTCTATTATTTATGGGAACAGAGGTGAGAAGAGAGAAATTCCTGGAGGGAAATATGATTATGAAACTGATCGCTGAAAATCTTGACTGATGTTTGTATGAATCCGGGTTTCTCTGAGAAGGAACATTCCCATTTCATTTAGCTTTATTTAGGGATTCAAACGGATTTCACAATGTGTGAAGTGACTTTCACAGAAAATAGGCTTTGCAGTACAAAGAAATTTGTGTGCGTGAAAATATGAGGTCAGCACAGTGACAATGGAAACCGTCACACAATTTTAATCCTATAGAATTTTTTTATACACAAGCTCCTTTGCATTTTTGTTTAAATGAGGAATGGAAAACAATGAAATGAATTGCATTGACCAAAGGCCAATCTCTAATTTACATAGATACGGTAAGGTCTACACAGTGTATCAAAAATGAAACAAAAGACGTGAAAAACGTGACCAAATACAATCAAAGACAATCACATATGCTGCTCATTTGTCTGCATAATGCATGCTGGGAAATAATTACAGTAATCATACCTTGATTTTCATTGAATGGGAGCCATTGTTTCTTGATACAAAGATGTTATAATGTTAGTGAGTCAGTTATGGCAGAAAGGCTTGTATTACCTGTAAATTATAGGGCATATTTTTACACCACAAGATGAAGTGCCATTACCCATATCATCGGTCAGAAACCTCATTCTATGAATATGTACAGTTACTTACATTTGACGGCTTAGTGCAAAAATGAAAAGAGAACAGATCTCCTTCATTCTCTTTAGCAGTACAAATAGTAGATTTTTTTTTTTACAAATTGAAACAAATGACCATGGCAAATTATGCAACAACTTTCCATAGGCAAAATCACTTCACTTATTTAAAAATGCCAGGGAAAGTATGCTGAGACCATATTCATGCAGTCTTCAGCAGCAAGAACTTGTTGTCTGTGAGGTTCTAGCTGTAGTACAGGTAGATCCATGGGTTTGTGCAGCTGTTAAGACTGGCGAGGAGCATGATAGTGACAAACACTGGCCCTGTAGAACAGAAATGAGAGTGTAAATAAAGAATCACAAAAATAACAAATTCCCCCTAGGAAGTGTTCAAACGTGGAACTTTTCTGTGCAAAAATATTAGCTGTGTGCACCATCTGGTGTCTGCAGGCAACCAAATGCAGTTTAATCTGATCGGGTCCTTTGTGGGCCAGTGAATGGTTTAACTAATGGCTATGTATCTTGTAGATCTGCAGCTGTGGGGAAATAGATTGTTAACGCAACAGAATGGTTGTGAGTAATCATATGCACATATACGATGGCTCATATACATCAATGGTCATTTAGTCACATCTGTTATCATAACTTTGTGGTTATATTCCAGTATACTGTGAAATGCATATTTGTTTCTTATCATTTGTATTTTATTCATCATATTACCATATATCATAATGCCATTATTATATAATTTACATTAAAACTATTGCATTCTATTGAAATGTTTTAGAAAAAAAGTCAAAAACGTGTAGAAATATTGACAAATAGAATATTGTAAAATACTTTTTGAAATATTTTATGATAATATTTAAAAGACATTTAAGATGCTGCACTTTTTCTACAGGTAGGCGGGTCAGATGTGCGTCACTGACGTTCAAGATGCTCTTTGGATCATCTCAAATCATACTGGTTTTACACAAACTTATAGTTTATGCTGCTGTCCTTAAAGCAAAATTAATTTTAATAATTAGTCATCTTGTTAATTTTTCAATGCAACTTTACACTCAGTTATGTCAATTATTTGTATCGAACAATTTTGTATTAAATCATATAAATGCAAAATAGAAGCATCTCAGAGTGACTTTTGGACAGCTTTGGCTCACCTTGTGTGGGTGCACTGCTTGGACTCCAAGCCGACCAGAGCTGGACCACGAAGAATGGGCTCCAGCAGAGGGTGTACACCAGGATGATAATAAAAGTCATTTTGACAGTCTTCAGCATTGCGCTTGATATCCCTTTAGTGCTGGAGCGCCCATCACCTGTGCTGCCCGGCAAGGCTTTCCTCTTCATGTTGAAATAGATCCCTGCGCATATCTTTATCTGACAATACATCAAGATTACGGCTGGCAGAACAAACACGGATAAAGTGATCCACGTTATGTATATTTTGCCTCCCCAGGGCTCAATAAATGTCGCCCAGCAGTCGAAAACGTCCTTCTCAACTTCTTGGAGAGAGAAGATGAACATCTGCGGAGCGCTGAACGCCAGTGAGATGAGCCAGGCGGCGCTTATGGCAACATACCTGCGGAAAGACCCCCTGAAGAACGACACCATGGGTTTGCAGACCGCGTGATAGCGATCTATGGTCATGGCCACGATCATATACGTGGACGCAAACATCCCGACCACTTGAAGATACTTAACTGATCTGCACACCAGATCGGAGCCTTTGAACCGGTGCGTAATCTCCATGGATAACTGCGGCAGGACTTGGAAGAAAGCGACAACCAGGTCAGCCAGGCACAGGTGCAGAAGAAACAGCTGAGTTCGAGTGTGTCTTTTTCGTCTTTTCCAGAGGGCATGGAGGAGGAATAAGTTGCTAAATGTTGCCAGCACGAAAATGGACCCCAGAACTGCAGCTTTCACGAGCGCAAAGTGTCCATCGGATAAACCAAACGCCTCGTGCGCACTGGAGAAGTTACTGCTGCTGCAATTAAGGTTATCAGCCATTGTTAATTTAATCCTACCTTAGTACCTGACTAGTTCATTTGTTATGTTTCGGGCGTTTGACTCCTGCAGTTGTTGAGCACTGACGCAAACGGCGCGGTGCGCTATATGGCACAAATTGGTCAAGACTCCAACGCGACTACCTGTGTTCACGCACGTCAGGCATTTAGTCATACATCAGATAATAGGTTAAATAAACACTTGAAATCATTTACAATCAAAATGGGTAGGCTATTGACAGCATGACATTTTTGTCTAAATACCCTACTTGAAAAAAGAACCAGCCTTATCATCTGCAATATCGTAAGCTTATACATTCGTACTCCAAAAATATGTAGGTCTAATTTAAAGACGTATTTGAATTGCGTATACAATTTTCATCTTTTCGAATTGCAGTTTTAACATATGCATTTAATGTGATAGGCCTATATTTGACTCAGTCATACATATTTGCAGGTAAGATTAATATTAAAACCGAATGTGTTTTAAATAGGCCTATACACAATAACCAGGTTTATCATCAATAAATCCGAATAGGTCAATCTCATAAATTTCAACTAATTGCTATGTTCATGCGTTTTAACTGAATGTTTCTCTGCACAATGAACATATTTATACTGATTCTAATGCATTTAGAAAATATGATTATTTAGATCAAATCAAGATGCAAATAGTTAATGGTATTTTTGCACATTTCATTTGTGTATGACTGACAAATATGCATCACATTAATGTTAAAACGGTCTAATCTAAATTTTATATGCAATTCAAATACATAAATCGAGTGTAATTGAGTGTATATTGCATAACTGAGTGTACTATACCTAAAATATTCATTAAAATCACAAATAGACCAATATGAACTGTAATGAGAGAGAGAGAGAGAGAGAGAGAGAGAGAGAGAGAGAGAGAGAGAGAGAGAGAGAGAGAGAGAGAGAGAGAGAGAGAGAGAGATTCATAACTAAAGCCTCATTTAACAATACATTTCATATTGAAACTGCATATTGAATCACTTGAGGTCACTGAAGTAAAGTCTGTCTTTTAAGCAGCATTCAGCCTTTTCTGTGTTTATGTTGTAACAGTAACTTACAAGAAAACACTGCAGACAATGAACTGACTTGATTGTATTGAATATTTTTTTATTTTTCTATTGATACTCTAGTAGACATGTTTTTCAGTGCAAAGCATAATGATCAATGATATGGGCTGCTGCACAAAGTTTGCATCGACATCTGTAGGCTATATTATAAAATAAGAAAATAATATTGTGTTTTGTACATTTATTTTATTGCAGACAAAATAGCTATATTTAGAAGTTAGAACACATGCATGAAAAAAATCATCAATTTATCTTATCAATCTTATCAATTTCATTTTATATCAATTTAGGCTATTAAGAACTAGGCTATAAAAATGGAATAAATAAAAAGTAAAGAATGATCAATATTAACAATTACCAATTAAAAAAACGGAGCTAAAATATAGGCTATAATGCAATTTAAGGACACTTTATAAGAGATGATAATAAATATATTAAAAAACATTCTTATCATTAGTCAATTTGAAAGACTAAATTATGAAATTCCAAGCAAAAATAAACTCCTTTTTTATTAACGATGTTCGATGTTAATTCTGAAGTTACTGCCATGTGTTTGTCTGCCTAGTTACAGCATAGAGAGTTACAGTCATATCAAACTCTGCATTACCTCAGCAGGTCACGTGACTTCATGGCGTTTCGCTATTGGTCAAGGCGCACCGGGGAAGTTGTTTGTGCCAAAAAGCAGGAAGCGCACATTTTCAGGGACGGACAATTGGAATGCTTTTTAAACTGGATTTCTTTGGAATGTCTCACTCAACGTCACTGGTCTCAGTCTAGCAGGAAATATTCTGTCATGTCCCATTATTTCTCCGCGAAGCACAATATCTGTAAGTATATGCATGTCTTTTAAATTTAGATTTTCTCTCCCTGTCTTAACTGATCGGAAGTCAGTTATTAATCACTACTATGGGCTGATGAGCCACACCTGAGTCTATAAATTAAGCATGTCGTACACATTTACTGAGCGTCCTAGTAGGTTCTCAACTAATAGGCTCTGGAGTAATATATTACGTTTTCTAGACGCACGCCGTTGTTAGCATTAATTATTCACTACATTCAGTATTTGTACCGTGAGAGACAGACCGTTTTTGCTTCTTATTCAGCGACATGACAGTAAGTACGTACGAGTATTAACGTTACCATGTCCACACCATAGATAGAGCGTAAAAAACACATCTGTATTATTATTGTCTCGGTATGTTAATGAAGTCTTAGTTTTGGTTTACTTTTATAATACTTGTTTAGCGTGTTCTGCTCATGTTGTTCGTTATATTTTGACCTGTTATCTGATTCATAACTTTGATAAGGCCTGTCATGCACTAACGTTACCAGGTAAAAAAAAAAGTTGTGGACACACTTGACTGAGTTTGTTTATAGGGTTTAAAGCAGTGGCGTAGGCAGAAATTGTATTTTGGGTGGGCCAGTGAAAATGTGACTGGGCCTATATTTTTGTCTAGAAAAAAATGACTTCAATAATAATAATTATTGAAAAATGACTTCAATAATAATTAACATTAATAGACAAACTGAAAAAACAGTTACACCTTTATATTCGGCAAATCATCATGTTCAACCAACAGAGCTCAATAAAGGCTGGACAAACCAGTATAGACACAATAACCTGTCTATTTTATTCTATTCAGCAGTGCAAATACAGTTCACCCGAAAATAAATTAAAGTAAGCTAAAATAATAATATCACAGTTAGATCGGCGGATAAACCCGCGTCAGGCTGACGGGGAGAGAGGGAGCAAGAAGCGGCCGGCGCCAGCACCTGACTAGCATTCTCCTGGGGAAATGAGTCGGAAGAACTGGGCTGGGTGGACTCGGAAGATGAAGGCAGTGGCGTGTCTTCTTCCTCAACTCTTGCTTTTTTTCAAATAGCACATTAAAGAAAGTTGTTTAGCCATTATTGTGGCGCCGACGCCACTGAGAGTTTTCCTATCGGAACCCCCAGCAACCATAGCAACCAATAACGTTCCGGAGAGAGGCTTTCTACAACTTGCTTCACCAGTTAAATTTTATTCGAAAAACAAATTAAACACACACAGCAGTCAACAATTAATCAGGTAAATATTAATATATTTTCATAAATACATTTGAATAATAAAAATAAACAAAAAAAATATTTTTATCAAACTTTCCTGGGCGGGCCAGTGAGTAATGTGGGCGGGCCAGTGCCGCCCTGGCCCAATACTGGCTACGCCCCTGGTTTAAAGGCAGTTGTTAGACACTGCTGCTTGGCATTTGTAGTAGCCATTACCAAGTTCCATATTTTATATAAAGCAATGCAAATATTTAGGGTAATTTGTGTTAATAAGGGTTAGTTTATTAAGCAAATTTATTCATTTCATATTTAAAACAATGTTGGAAATCAGAGTTGACGGCACCCATTGACTTCCAAGTACTATATAGTGGGTGCTGTGCTGTCAACGGTCTGATTACCAAAATTCTTCAAAATCTTTTGTGGGTAACACTTTAGAATACAGTTCCTTCGTTAATGAATAACTACACAGGAACAAATGAGTAACACAATATTAACAATCTAGTAACTACTATTAACTAACAAGAAATTCTGATTAACGAATTAGTAAGTAACAGCGCACAGATGAAAGTGGTAGTTCACTTTTAACTAATTGATAACTACTTTTTTTTAATGCTTCCCAGAGAACTACTGAAGAAGATTAATAGTTCATGCAAAACTAATCAATAACTAATGCAGGACAAATGACTAGCATTACATTAACATTAATAACTGCTGTAAACAAATACACAAGGTTTATCAATATGTAATAGCATAGCAGACTTATGATTTGGGTAATAATTAGCCTATGCTCTCTCCTAGAGAACTATTTATCAACTGAATCATTTTAAAGAAATGGCTTTTTAAATGCAGTTGTCGGGATCTTACTTGTCCTGTAGTGATTCAATGCCAGTCCAGAGGAATGCCAGAAAATTGGCCAGAGTCACGGTGACGGCTGGAACATATTGAGTTATCGGCCATCCAAATACCATATACAGTGATTTTATTGTTTAACCTATACCTCGAAAAAAAAAAAATATTTTATTAATGTCTCCTACCTCATACGTGTGTGCAAATATCTTGTGAAGGATTAGAAGATTCTACACTTTAGGATTGGCTTTTCATGTAAGAATCATGATAACTAACTAGTAATGACTCAAGTGTTACTACATACTTCTAAAGGAATGACTAATTATTTGGATCCGTATTCTAAAGTGAAGATCATGGTAACTAACTAGTAATTACTCAAGTGTTACTACATACTTCTAAAGGAATTGCTAATTCTTTGGATCCGTATTCTAAAGTGAAGATCATGGTAACTAACTAGTAATTACTCAAGTGTTACTACATACTTCTAAAGGAATTGCTAATTCTTTGGATCCGTATTCTAAAGTGAAGATCATGGTAACTAACTAGTAATTACTCAAGTGTTACTACATACTTCTATGGGAATTACTATCTAAAACTTCACCAAAAACCTCAAAAGCTTAAAAGAATTAGTAATTCCTTTAGAAGTATGTAGTAACACTTGAGTAATTACTAGTTAGTTACTGTGATCTTCACTTTAGAATACGGATCCAAATAATTAGTCATTCCTTTAGAAGTATGTAGTAACACTTGAGTAATTACTAGTTAGTTACCATGATTCTTACAGTAGTTCTCTGGGAAGCATTAAAAAAAGTAGTTATCAATTAGTTAATAGTGAACTACCACTTTCATCTGTGCGCTGTTACTTACTAATTTGTTAATCAGAATTTCTTGTTAGTTAATAGTAGTTACTAGATTGTTAATATTGTGTTACTCATTTGTTCCTGTGTAGTTATTCATTAACGAAGGAACCGTATTCTAAAGTGTTACCCTTCAGGGTAACATTTTATTTTTGATACACTATCCCTTTAAGTGTATTAAATAGTAACAGTCACTCAAGAAATAATAATAATAAAATGTTAGTTTAAGAAAGTTCATCCTTGTGGCATCTTTCGATAAAAGATGGTGCCTGGCTTAATTGAACATTGCTATGCAGAAATCACTATTCACAGACTAACTATTTAGTTGATTTTGTGCTGACCAATCAGAAGCCAGTATTGGAACTATTCCTTTATAGCTTTTATTAATCTATAGAGAGCAGGGCTGCGTTCAGCGCCGACAAAACGTTGCAGAACGTTTTTTAAACAGAAACAGTGATGCGTTGAACGCACTGTTGTGATGACGCAAGAGTTGCAACTACGGCAGCTGAGAAGGCTTTTTGTGTTCTTTGTGAATAATTTTCGGAGCCTGATGAAGTCGGTATAAATATGTTTAATACTACAAAATATGCCCGATGTTACAGTTACTGCACTTGCCGCCCAGAACACAAGAGAACATCCCAATCGAGTGAAGGGATTTGTGGAAACTGAAATGGAAGCACACATCTTACCCAATAAAGACTAAAACACATCTATTTAGCCTCACATACTGACTTTATTTGTTGTTCATACTGTTTTATTAATACCCTGTATTTTCTTGAAACCCTGAAAGGCACTTTACATGCATTGTTTATTTCTATACCAAATGTCACACACTTGCAATGAAGCTAAAAATATAAACAACTACATCATTATGTTGATATCCTATATTTTTACAATAATACTTACGACAAACATGTCTTCTAATATCCTCAGTTGTTGCGTATCGAACACATTTGTAAATTACTTCCATTGTGCGAGTTCTCTTTAATACCGTGTGCTTTATATACATGTTGCTGCTGATTGGACTGCAGTTCTGACACGCCCACCAAACAAGAGAAAACGCATCTCAAACCCCGTTGCACACCGGTGCACGCCGTTTCCAGGAAACATGACGTTCAACCCGGAAACCGTAGCAAAACGTTGCGCACCGTTGTGATCTTGAACGTGCCCCAGGTTTTGCCTGAAATGTCCATTTCCAAATGGACCTAGGTGGATACACGACTTTATACTTCCCATTCTTAAGGCAGATTCAAAAAAGGAAGTATAAATAAACAGATCTATATTGATAAATTAATTCATAATATTTTGTCCAAACAACGTGCAAAAACATTGTTTATTCTGTCCTACCACTTTAAATCCTTCTGAAAGTACCGTTCCTTGATAAAACCGTGTGTTATTGTTATACACCAACCAGTCACTTAATTAGGTACACCTGTTCAACTGCTTGTTAACTCGGATCTAATCAGCCAATCACAGAGCAGCATCTTGATGCATGTAGACACAGTCAAGACAATCTGCTGAAGTTCAAACTGAGCCTCAGAATCGGGGAAAAAATTGATTTAAGTGACTTTGAACATGGCATGTTTGTTGGTACCCGAGGGGCTGGTCTGAGTATTTCAAAAACTGCTGATTTTCACACACAACCATCTCTAGGGTTTACAGAGAATGGTCTTGAAAATGAAAGTATCCAATAAGCAGCAGTTCTGCGGGTTAAAATGCCTTGTTGAAGTCAGAGGAGAATGGCCAGACTCGTTCGAGCTGATAGAAAGGCAACAGTCACTCAAATAACCACTTGTTACAACTGAGGTATGTAGAAAAGCATCTCTGAACACACAACAGGTCGAACCTTGAGATAGATAAGCTACAGCAGAAGACACACGGGCGCCACTCCTGTCAACTAAGAACAGGAAGCTGACGCTACAATTTGCATGGGCTCACCAAAATTGCACAATAGAAGATTGCCTTGTATCATGAGTCTCGATTTCTGATTTGACATTCAGATGGTAGGGGCAGATTTTGGTGTAAACAACATGAAAGCATAGCTCCATCCAACAGTTCAGGCTGGTGCTGGTGGTGTAATGGTGTGAGGGATATTTTCTTGGCACTTTTTGGGCCCCTTAGTAACAATTGACTCAATTAAATTGAGCATTGTTTAAATGCCACAGCCTACCTGTGTATTGATGCTGACCATGTCCTTCCCTTTATGAACACAGTGTACCAATTTTCCATCAGGATAATGTGCCATATCACAAATCTCAAATCATCTCAAACTGGTTTCTTGAACATGACAATGAGTTCACTTTACTCAAATGGCATTCACAATAACCAGATCTCAATCCAATAGGGAACCTTTGGGATGTGGTGAAATGGGAGATTCGCATGATGGATGTGCAGCTGACAAATCTGCAACAAATGTGTGATGCTATCATGTCAGTATGGTCCAAAATATCTGAGAAATGCACCTAGTTGAACCTAGGCCACTAAGAATTAAGGCAGTTCTGAAGGGAAAAGGCGGTCCAACCCGATACTAGCAAGGTGTACCCAACAAAATAGCCAATGAATGTAGTTGTGGCGTGGACTTCCCTATTCTGAATTTGAACGGGTATTACAACTTTGTTGTTCTAGTTATTGTCCTTGGTGTGAACAGGCCTTAAGTTAGGATCTCAAAAATGCAATAACTTAGATTCTAACAGAAATCACCATGGTACAGATCAGATGGTGTTTTTTTTGATTGTCTGTAATATGGCCCCTGTTTGAGTAAATCAAATAATTTTATTTTTGTACTCTCTCTCCCACTTAGTTTGATGCAGACTGCCCTGTTGCGCTAAGTAACAGTCAATCAACTGCAGTGTTCTTCAGAAGAGCGGCGCAGCTTATGTGGAGATGGAGGAACGTGCTCGCAGCTGTCTGCTGCGCTCCAAAGCCACTCTGGAGCAGGACATCAAAGCCTCCTACCTGATGGACCACATGGTCAGCGATGGCGTCTTAACGAATGATGAAGAAGCGACGGTGCTTAATAAGGTCTGTTGTGTTGTTCAAACATGCTGTTTTACTTCTATAAAGAGGGAATTCAAGTCAAGTTTCCTTATTTCATCTCCAGGTCACTAGAAGAGAGCAGGCCGCAGCCCTGCTCGAGGTGCTGTTGAGGAAAGACAACAGGGCATACATCTCCTTATACAATGCACTGATCAGAGAGAGTTACGGAGATCTAGCCAACCTCCTTCACAGTGACCTGCCTCTGCTCAGCCCCGAGGGAGAGAGGAGCTTTGCTGATGGAGTGTCTCCCTCTGGTAACCACTTTAGCCAATTGGACATGTATGGACTTGTCTTTGAAGTAGGCAAGTATGAGATACGAGAGTTTTTGCTTTTGTTGTAGTCCAGGCGATTCTGAGTGACGGTGGGGTGCCTCAGAGACCCGTGGTGTTTGTGAGCCGTCCCGCTCTGCTGAACCTGATCCGGCAGAAGCTGTACCAGCTGCAGAAGACATCAGGCTGGGTTACAGTTTTTGGCATGGCGGGCTCAGGGAAGTCTGTGATGGCTGCTGAGGCTGTTCGAGACCATGCCCTCATTAAGGGTAATAACTTGTGTATTTAGAATGTCATTTGCATAAAAAGCGCACAAACCATCTCCATATAAGGGCTTTCAGCACACGCTTTCCTTGCATCCTTTCGTCACTCTCGTCAATTTCCACTGTTTGCAGACGTGCTCTCGCCCAATCCTCTAGCAGTGTCAAATGTGCCATTCTCACCAGTTCAAACACAATATATTTTATACAGACCCAGATTACAGACCTCTCATTAGCCAGCTGTACACACGTGTGCTATATCTTATTTATATATATATATATCCTGTTATTCAGAGAAACCTCACAGCTGAAGCTATAACGCAGCTTTTCTTACTCTTTAACTGTATATGATGCAGTGTATTTAAGATGAAATGAAATTATAGTGAATAATTTTATTAAATAATTTTAAATATGGATAATATTGCTTAATACAATTAATGCAACATACTTTAATATGATTATATTCATGTTAGGATGAAATTTGTTTTGATTTTGATTCTAAAATTTCACGCACAGATTTTTGCGTACGCATGCTAGTGAATGAGACCCAGTATTTGTTTGAAAATAAGTGGATGAATCAATCAATTAAAAATAAGCTGTTTAGAGTGAAAGTATGTTTTTGAGTATTTTCTTAAAAGCATTTTTCTCTTCTTTAGAGTGTTTTCCAGATGGTATTCACTGGCTTTCTGTTGGCCAATGTGAGCGGGCAGACCTGCTAGTAAGGATGCAGTCTCTATGTTTCCGATTGGAGCAGGGTCAAAGTTCAGAAGCCAGTCATCGGCCACCCTGCTCTGTGGAGGAGGCCAAAGAGCGCCTGCGGTTCCTAATACTCCGCAGATTCCCCAGGTGAGTGCTGGACGCATATGGTCTCTTTTACTTTGACACTTCAAAACTAAATAAAAATTGTGATTTTTAAAAATACTTGCCTTTCCTTTTATATCAGCTGTTTCCTCTTATGTACATCCATCAGGTCCCTGCTGATTCTGGACGATGTCTGGGACAGCTCTGTTCTCAGGGCCTTTGATATTCAGTGCCGAGTTCTTCTGACCACGCGCAACCGAGGTCTGACTGACTCCGTAAGCGGTGAGTAATTAATTTTAGTGTGTCCGGTTTGCATTGCATTGATTGATTGACACAGTGAGAGGCTATTCCTAAAAAGTCTAGTTTTGTAAGTGACTAGGTGGATATTGTGCCTGCTTGCGTCTGAGTTTTGAATCCAAGGCAAATCCTGCACTAAATGAAATTACATTAATTACATTAACTCTGGTTTTGGAGATAAGCTAAGGTTATGAGAGAAATGTTCTTTTGTCTGTATTATTGCTGTTATCTTGCATAATTCATTTAAAGTTCTAATTTCATTAAAATGTAAGGTTTCATCCTGTTTCTATGTGCTTTGTTTTTGTGAAGGTACAAGGTCTGAAGTGCCTGTTGAAAACGGTCTAGATGAGGATAAAGCCCTGGAAATTCTTTCTTTGTATGTCAATGGGAAACCACAGAAACTTCCAGAACAGGCCCGCAGCATTGTGAGCGAATGTAAAGGTACAACTCGCTTTTTTTATGCTAAATGTGATCACTGCATTTCTCACCCGCTCATTGTCCTCTACCTCACCTTATGATCGCAGTGTCATGTTCACATCATGAGATGTTGCTGAAACCATTTTTGTCTAAATTTAATACAATTACAAATTTAATGACTTGGTAAATCATCGTGGCCCTATATCGGTCTATCTCCTTTGAATAACAATTGAGTAATAGTACTTCATTACTACAGTATACCATAGAATTAAGTACTATCACTGATGTACTTTAAAGGGCATATTGCAGGTTAGAGGACCCAGCGAGTCAATGTATAGAAAAATAATGTAGGAACTAGATTTTCTTTAAAATATACTTATAAATACGCTACAGAAGCTTCTGGAGTCGTTTTTGTGAGAATTTTACTTCCGCGTCTAAAAATGGGCGTGGCGGGCGTGACGTAACGGGCGGGAGAGCGGTCGATTCAAACAACAGGAAAACAATAGATCGCAATGACATTTCGGACGCTGAGGAAGTACTTACTCGTATGACGGAGTCGGACCACACAGCCATACATTATGAGCCTGCTATGCTGCCAAGAGAGCAGGACAGGCCAGGACTAATGTCAGACAGAACGGTCAGAGACACCATGAGTTGTGGTGTGAGGAGAACCAGTGGAGAACAGGACAGGTGTCTTGGTGAGAGACGTGCTTATAGATATACACGTTTGCTAACGATATACACTGTGCTCACAATATTGTGTACAGATTATTACCATCGTATAACAGGCCAGCAGACTTAGTATTTTTAGGGTAGATTTATACTATTAAATGTATAAAAACTATACTTGGGTATATTTCTATTGTACTAAAAACATACCCAAGTACATTTTTAATACATATTTTTCACCTGGGTTATAAACAGAAAATTAAAGATTTGAATATTTAAACAACCTGAGTAATTTTGTTTTTCAATTACAAGTTGCCTCTATTTAGGGCATGACTACCTATATCACACTATTTCATGCCATTTGTACAGTATTAGACGATCAATATTTTTGCTTCGGCATCCCATGTTGAACTCCATCATATCGCCGGGATGATAATCCTCCGATCTGAAGTGAACGTTACACACAACCGCGTTTCTCGAAGCCGATGCGGAAGAGAAATCCCGTCTCTTCACCTGCACAAACCGCACCAGGCACGAAAGATATAGAGCACCGTCCCTTTTCTTCTTATGGAAACCTGTGGACTCGATGTCCTGACAGGCCGGAGTTTTTGCAACCTCCACAAACAATAAACCATGATGATGATAAATTAAAATACAAAAACTACCGAAAACACACTGACTCACGGCCGCTCTCACTGAATACCAGCCTACTCTGCACTGAGCTGAGGCTCCCTAGCGTGACGTATGACGCGATTTTGAAAAAAAAAAGCCGTTTTTACGAGCAGTCCAAGAAACGCTCACTTTATCTACTAAATTAGTGCCCTTATGTCGTTTTAAAACATTTAAAATCCTGCATTAACTTTTCATATGGTATTTTCATACAAGGTTATATATTAATTTAGATTTTTTTTTTTACCTGCAATATGCTCTTTAAACCCCTGACCGTTGTAAATGTTTCTCCTTCCATTAGGTTCTCCTTTGGTGGTTTCTCTGATTGGAGCTCTGTTGAGGGAGTTCCCTGACCGCTGGAGCTATTATCTTCGGCTGCTGCAGAGAAAGCAATTCAAGCGGATCCGCAAGTCATCGTCCTACGACTATGAAGCCCTGGACCAGGCCATGGATGCCAGCCTGCAGGTTCTGGAGCCTGAACACCAAAATCTATACAGAGACCTGAGCATCATGCAGAAAGACATCAAAGTGCCTGCTAAGGTTAGACAGAAAATCTCGTCTCATTGTCTCTTATTTTTATTCCTAATATATGGTTATCATACTTGCAAGCATGATAGCATTAGAATGGACATTTTAAATAACTTTTTTTTGTGAATTAGTCTGTATTCAAAGTTTATTTGTTGTTTTCTGTCATGCAGGTTCTGTCAGTGCTGTGGGGTCTTGAGTTGGAGGAGGTGGAGGATGTCCTACAGGAATTTGTGAATAAATCACTGCTGTTTCGGGACTGCAACCAGCGGCCGTATCTCTATTACCTTCACGATCTTCAGCTGGACTTTCTCACAGAACAGAATCGTGATCAAATTGCTGTGAGTTATATTGCATCTTTTTTTTTCTTTTTAAAAAGTGACAAACACCAAATAACATGGTCAGAATTAATTTCCCCTGTAGGAACTACATAAAAAGATGGTCCGTCAGTACCAGCAGTTCTATAATGAAAGCTCACCCAGTTCTGGAGATAAAGAATGTTCGTATTGGTACCACTTCCTCCCGTACCACATGGCTAAAGCGGGACTGTCAAAGGTAATGCTACAGTATGACCTACACTAACACTTCCACTCCTTTTGGAGTTTATGTAGGATCTTCTAATGATTACTCTTCCATTATGAACATTACATTTTAATCCTTTATTTTTTAGGAGCTTTATTCACTGATGTTTTCCTTGGACTGGGTCAAAGAAAAAGCTCAGGTTATGGGATCCGCCCATCTCATCAACGACTATGTAGAATATGGTGAAATACTAGACAAAGAGGTATTTATACAGTTTAAGTTAGATTTGCTGATGTTCCTCAATTGTACGTCTTGATCAGAAATGATTTACATTTTTATTGGAAAGAAAAAATGGCCATTGAATGCAATTTGTATAAAAAGGCCTGTAATGTTTTCCACACAGAATAGTGAGGTGAGACTGCAGTTTCAGGAGTTCCTCTCTCTGAACGGACATCAGCTGGAGCAGAGGCCGTTTCCTGACGTAGTGCAGTTGGCTCTGTCTCAGCCCGCTTGCTCCGAGGTTTACAGGCAGGCCTTGATGCAAGCGCAGAGAAGGGCCAGCAGAGGGCAGCTCTATCTGGACTGGGTGTATGTATCCCTCTCAGACTGCCTCATCCAGTGGCTTTCGTGTAGTTAATGAGATTTTGATTTAAAGTGTGATTTGACACTTTTTAGGAACAAAAATAATAAGGACAGTTTGTCCCGGCTGGTCATGCATCCTCACCAGAGGTCCGTCTACTATGCTTGCTTCTCCAAAGATGGGAGTAAGATTGCCTCTTGTGGGGCCAGCAAGATGTTGCGGGTAAATGTTTTTGTGTTCTGACACTGTGCTGTTTTATGTGACTGTTTTATGTGACCAAATATTTGCCTATTTGTCCTCATTAGGTGTTTAAAACGACCTCTGGAGAGAAACTTCTGGAGCTTCAGGCTCATGACGAAGATGTTCTGTGCTGTGCCTTCTCCCCCGATGACCGTCAAATAGCAACCTGCTCCAGTGACAGGAAGGTTAAGGTCAGTGTGTCTGTCTCCTTGCCAATTTTTTTTGTAGGTCAATATCTTTTTGTAGGGCAACAGTTGGCTCCAGGATGATTTTTAATATTCAACCTCATGTTGTTCCAATCCAAACCTCCATATGGTTTCTAATACAAAGTGTTGTGTGTAAATTGTTCAAAAATGAGTCAGGAGAATGAGAAGTGTTTTGTGTGTTGTAGTTGTGGAATGTTGAGCGAGGCATTCTTATCAAAGTGTTTGGGGAGGAACACGAGGAACAGATAAACCACTGCCAGTTCACCAACACAGGCCGACGTGTCCTACTGGCCACCTGCTCAAACGACAAATTCGCCAACACCAAGGTCAGATGTTTTCAGAGTTCTTGAGTTCTGTTTTTACTTTTGAATGTAGTTTTTTTTTTTTTTTTTTTTTTTTTTTTTTTTTTTTTTTTTTTTTTTTTTTTTTTAAGTTTAGAAATTAACAATGTCAAGTCAAGTCATCTTCATTTATATAGCGCTTTTAACAATGAATTGTTTCAAAGCAGCTTTACAGAGATAAACATATAATTTAAGGTAACAGATTGTTTTGGCGTTATAGCGGTTCTTGAATAATGTTACTTCCAGCTAAAGTTAACTTTGATTGATTCACCTCCGTCGAAATGATCAGACTTTAAACGCGAACCTGTGATTAACGCTGACGGCGTTCACATGCTCATTCAGAATTGATTCTATAGTTATGTGCTTTTTAAAATATGCGCGCAGGTTTGTAATTCATACAACCCAGCCTAAACAAACTACTTTTCTTGCCTATAAATTTTGATACAGAATTTTGTTTTATTTTATCACTTCGGGGTACGCGAGCCGGAATTCACAACGCTTTATCTGTAGAGTGGGAAAGGGATCCTCCATAGGGAGAGGATAGTGGATACTTCAGCACTGCATTGTCATCGGTCCAGGCAAAGCTCCCTCGTCAGATCTGGACACGGCCTGGATCCGGCAGGCTGCGGGAAAACCTCGGGATAAACAAAGACACTAATATTAGCGTAGATGCCATTCTTCTTATGATGTAGCGAGTACGTCAAGATTTAAGGGAAGTGTTCCCAGTTCCGGCTGACCTAATCTATGCAGCCTAACATTGAATTAATAGAAGTCTATAATGTATTATGTGTATGCTAGGTCAAAGAGATGTGTTTTTAGTCTAGCTTTGAACTGACAGAGTGTGTCTGCTTCCCGGACAATGGTAGGAAGACTGTTCCAAAGTTTTGGTGCTAAATAGGAAAAGGATCTACCGCCTGCAGTCGATTTAGATATTCTAGGTATTATCAACTGGCCGGAATTTTGAGATCGCAATAGACGTGAAGGACTATAATGCGTTAAGAGCTCGCTCAAGTACTGCGGAGCTAAACCATTTAGTGCTTTGTAGGTAATCAACAATATTTTAAAATTTATACGATGTTTAATAGGGAGCCAATGCAGTGTTGACAGAACCGGGCTAATATGGTCATATTTCCTGGTTCTGGTAAGAACTCGAGCTGCGGCGTTTTGAACTAGCTGTAGTTTGTTTATTAAGTGTGCAGGGCAACCTGTGCATGGACTAATTGTTCCGCAACAATGATTAAATTATAAATTATTTTATAGAATAATTTTACCTTTTACATTTTATAATTGTTTTTTTTTTATTTTACTTTTTTTTTTTTTTTACAAGCTTTTTATATCCAATTTATTGCTAAACCTTTGTGAGTGTGAAACTCTTGACTACACTGTATGAATATTGTTAGTAATTATTCTAATTAACCTTAAGCACTTGTAAACACTAATCCTTCCTTTTGGGGTCTGACATGATTGGTTCAGTGAGTCAGTTCAGTAACCCCTCCAATGACTCCTCTTAAACAATGAGTTCACGAGTCTTTGTATAATAATAATAATATAAATATTCTAATAAAATCATCATGGGTGCATAGCGGGGTGTGTGTTAGTTGTGCTCCAAAGTGTTTGATAATTAAATCCTTATCTGCACTTTTTCTGCTCCATTCATTTCCTCTTTCCACATTTAGAGTCAGATTTGGTGAACATGAGTAATGCGAGTGACAGCTGGTAGGATGCTCACTCGGAACAGCAGAGGAGGGGAACGGGGCAGCCGTGTAATTTTTACAGCTTGTGAAATGTTCAGAGAATTGTGGGAGATCTGTAGGAGTGTGACAGCAGGAGTCTGCAGTTTAGCTGTATTCATTTGAGGGTGCGAAAACGGTGATCGCACGGGTGTCAAAAACGTAATGAGAGCACCCCCATGGTGGAGGCGTGAAGACAAAAGGGGCATTTCGTGGAATATCTCTGCATGAGGAGCGAAAGAAACACCCTGAAATGAGATTTAGAGAATGTAACGGCAGATGTGTTGAACACAAGACAGTTCCTGTTTTTCTCTTATATTAGCTGTCCTGTTCCATAAACCCTGACAGTGTTCAAGACCCCTACACAAAACGCACATCATCCCTTTCTTCCTGAATCCACGTGTCCTGCTTTTTACACTGCTTTCCTTTTTTTTTCTTTTCGTATCTATCTTTGCTGCAGCTATGGAACCCCAACAAGCAGACCTCTCAAAACACTATGTTTGGACACATGGAACCAGTCAATCACTGCTGCTTCTCCCCTAATGACGCTTACCTCGCCACTTCATCCAGTGACGGCACCTTAAAGGTGAGGTCATTTTCAAAACTGGTTTGCCTACCGCTTAGTTTTTACTTTCTTTTATTTGCCTGCTTATCTGCTCATTTACTTGTAGTCTATTACTATAATTTGTATAGTTTTAAATGCATTCATTTATTTGATTTTTAAGAAATATATTTTATTGTAAGTAAAAACAAGACTTCTGATCTACAATTAGACAATTAAATTCACCTGTATCAGAAAGGCTCCAACTGCTGGATCATCTTGAGGTGCCCTCTTATGCGTTTCTTGCACTTTTGTCTTTTGTATCTGGCAGCTGTTTGAGGTGTCGTCTGCGAACGAGTGGAAATCAATCGATGTCAACAGTTTTTTCCGAGAGAGTGACGATGAAGTAAAAGCCATTGTGAAATGCAGCACTTGGTCAGCTGACGGCTCGAAGATCATTTGTGCTGCCAGGAACGCTGTGTTTGTAAGTGATTTTTGCGAGTGTTGTTGTGAAATGAGTTGGCACTGCCACTCAATTTTTTTGATTTGGTGCCTGTAACAGCTTGATTTTTGAAGTCTGATTCACGCCTATCACACAAACTAATTAAAATTATCATAGGAAAATCCTATGATAAATTTCTTTAATGCACAAATTAAAGGTAAAGCTTTAATAAAACTTAACTTCCTCTTACTCAGGCTGTCAGTAAAGATGAATGTACTGTGTGGGAGATTTTGCTTCTGCTTCTCTTGTGCTCATGATTTGTTCTAACGGTTTATTGTCTGTTGTATGCATGTAGGTGTTTGACGTAGAGACATCAGGCATACTGCTGGAGATGAAGACGAGTCGTCTGAGCACAATTCAGTATTGCCACGCATGTCCCAACAGCAGCCTGCTGGCCGTCGCTCTCTCTCATTACACTGTAGAGGTTCGCCACATCACAGCGCTAAAATGTGCAGATTTTGTGCAAGCATTTCCAAACCTATTTGTTCTCTTCTAACTCTGGGTTTTCAGCTGTGGAACTTTGAGACCAGTAAAAAGAAAGCCGAGTGCAACGGTCACCTGAGCTGGGTTCATTGTGTCCAGTTTTCACCCGACGGCTCATTGCTACTGTCCTCTTCTGATGATCAGACCATCAGAGTAAGCTAGCTTTGGTCCCTGTCTCTTCCTGTAGTGTGATTTTTAGTTTTTGCTGTTATTCTGTGAAAAGTATTGATCTGTTATCACAACAAGTGTTAACGCTTGTCTAGCTGTGGGAGACGGACCGAGTTCACACCACCTCTGCTGTGGCTCTGAAGCGGGACACTGATGTTCTCTTCTCCCAGAGCGACGTTACAATAGTGGCAGCTGACAGCAGAAACCGATTACAGGTACTGTCCACCAGAGCATCTATTGTTAGCTTACAGCTGTTTTTTGTTTGATTGCATTTTATATGACATGTGATGTTGCATTGTGAAACTTCAGGTACAGACTGCATCCACAGGCGCTATTCTGTTCGAGAGCGAAGAGTTGCCGTCCAGGATTCGCTGTACTTGTATCAGCAGAAATGCTGTGTTTGTGTCACTGGGAACTGAGGATGGATCTGTACAGGTACTGCAGCTCACCTGTGGGGTATCTTCATCGCTAGTTGTCTCATCCTAATATTATACTTGTTTTGAATGGGAGTCTCTGGGCATGCAAGGCACTCTGGGTAAAAATAGCCTTCAAGATGCTTGGGTGTTTTGACTCGCCTCAGGCAATGAGATTTACCGTGGCTGTCAACTGCACTCAGCCCTCTAATCTCTCGCCCGCCCTTTCTCAAACCCTTCCCTTCTGTCTCTACTGAATGTTGTCGTTCTGGAGGCGAGCGTTGTCCTCCTGTGTTGTAGTGTAATGGATGTGACTGATATGTTTGGGACAGTGGGGAAGCCTTAGAGGAAACGGCTAACTGATGGAATGAAAGTGTGTTCTCCATCCTCTCAGATTAATTACACCCCTTAACTGCCAAACAACCATTTTATTTAGATCCCTCCACTCCATATCGGCCTCATTGTTAGTGTTTAACAGAGAAAGACAGATAGATTTAGAGAAGCAGTTAAATGAATGTAAAATGCATAAAACTTAAATGTTCCAGGTTCAATGCAAAATAAGCTGTTTACAGCCGCTGTGATTGTTTACCACAGGCTATTACAAAAATGAAATATATTGAAATAAAAATAGTTTGTCATTTTTATGTATTTAAACTAACTTTGGTCATTCTAATGTTGAGAGTTGTTGACTTCTGGACTTTCTTTAGAAAAATGTATCGCTTCATCTGCAGTAATGCTAGTACCATTATGAAACATCAGAGGGCGCCAAATGGCTACTGAGCAAAACATTGCAAGTGTACTAACTACCCACAACTAAAGCAATTGTAGTGTTGTGAATGCAGTTAGTCTGTAATGGTGCATTTCTTGCAGGTTCTCCCCCCACCCCCAAGGAGAGCCTGGCATCAATGAGATCCCAGACCAATTAAGAGTTGTAGTAGAAAGATGAGAACTGTGTTTGTGTGCGCAGACAGGAAGAGTGAATGTTAGACAGTTTCTGAAGAACGTTGGATGGAGAACCTTGCAGCTGCTGAACTTACAGCGTGATTTTGTGCTGGGACTAGGGCTAGAGACAGGTACAGTGCAGGTATGGTGAGTGGAAGTGTATGTGTGAAATGTATTATAGGCCGTTCACATTTGACATTTGATATTTTTTTTTCCAGCGATTATTTCAAAGAAATCATGAATGGTTAATATAAATATAAAAATATAAATAAACTGTTTTAAACACTTAAAACACAGCCCGTGCTCCCGTAGCCCCAGGCAGCTTTAAGTTTGTGTTTAAGTTTTAGAGGCAGCAGAGAGGGCCGATAGTTAGTCTGTTGGTCTTGAATGCCTGACAGAGAGGGGCGAACTGACCCACCTTCAAGTGTGCTCTTATAAACCGCTTCGATGTATAGTATTAACTGCCAAAGTTTGAGATTGATTTGTCATTAGTGGTTTATATATTTAAATGTTATCTCGAGGTCAATGCAGGGTACAACTATCTGTAGTCTTTTACATAATGCTTTCCTTACCAAAAAAGCCTTAATTCTCTCTGATTTAATTTCTCTCCTTAGATTTAAGGATTTTTTTTTGTCATATCAACGTCACCCCTCTCCTCTTTAGCCATTTTTATCATCTCATCATATGTTTTTTTTCCCAAGTGTATGTTTTATTTTTTTCTGAACTTTGCTATCTTTTTTTTTTTTAAGTTTTCCTAAATTTTAGTTGTAGTTAATAAACATTGGAGCAGTGCGTAATTGAGCACAAGTAATCACAAATGCAATGGCAATTTGGTTTATTATGCACTGCTAATTTAATTTGTTTTACATTCTCTGAAGGTGTTTGAGGTTCCATCTGGAAAAACGGTGAAGCTCTCAGGTCACACTAGGACTGTTCACCACTGTCAGTTCACTGACGACAGTGAAACCCTCATCACATCCTCAGAAGACGCTACTGTCCGGGTAATTCACTTGCAGCTGTTTCTCATAATTGAGATCATGGGAGGAAAATACTCTAAATAACTAAACTACACATGCAACATCATAGACCTTGTCCCAAATGGCACACTTGTGGTCTTATGGACTTAACAGACATGCAGTGGCCAATTGGCCATTGTAAGTCCACAAGTAGTAGGATGTCCTGTTTACCATTTTAGGTTTCAAAAGGGTGCTCGCGAATGCCCCATTTGCAACCGATAGTGACACTAAAGCGAGCTTCACAGCAGACTTCTACCTGACAGTCAAAGTGGCATTACCTCATGAAAGTGTGGACTCTGAGGAAGACCGCAAGGGCCCAGGGTTCCATTTGGGACAGGGCCATAGTCAAATGCAAAGAATTGTCTATCAGGGAATAAATTCGTGGTTATTTGAATATGTTGAAGATAAAAACACAGATTAAAACACCTGCTTATATGAAATGTTTTTGTTTTTCCCCTTCATCTTATGCAAAGTTTCAGTGTGGACAGAGACATTACTTTGTGTGTTTGGATGTTGCACCTTTTTAGTATAACCTTTTTATTTGCATAATTTTCTGGCTGTAAGGACAGTTGAATGACAACACTGATTTGCAGGTGCAATTCAGTAATTACGCCACATGCCCGCAAACTCCTGCTGCAGCTGTTCTGTTAGTTTGAGAAGTTTTAGGCAGTGGGTTATTACAGGGCTCATTGATTCATTGTGTTGATGACAAGGAGAGGAAGAGTGAGGGGAATAACTGAAGTAATTAATGGTTGTAAACAGCTGCATGCCTGTTAAAATTCTGCAAGAACGGATAGTGACAACCATCAAGACCTTTAGGATGTAGTAGGATGAAAGTTTGAACATTTGCCTGTCTGCAGGTGTGGAAGTGGAGGACAGGTGAGTGTCTGCTGCTGGAGGGTCATAAGGAGCCAGTCAGGAAGTTCCACCTTTTAAACTCCTCTTCCTCTCCTCATCTATTCTCCTGGTCGTTTGATGGCACTGTTAAGGTATTTGCAACCTCTACCTTCTATCCTGCATTCAATTCTCTTCTTTTTCTGAATTTCATTTAAGCACATGCAGAGTGTGAAGGATGACGTGAAGGCCTCATTTAGCTCGTTTCTATTGACTGTCGTTTTTAGTAAGAACCATTATCAAGGCCAAATTATGGACTGAAGGCAGTCAACCGTAATAATTGGGTGATGCATGCGGTTAAATGCTTGTGAACTGCTTCAAGATCTCTGGCAGTAGGTGTTTACAGTTCACCCCAGTTGTAGTCAGGGCCTCCGTGGAAAAAATTGTTTACATGGTCCACAACTTCCTGCCACTTTTCACAAATAGGGTTCAAAATTGGACCTGAGATGCTTAAAGTGGGCATTAAAGGAACCGTATGTAAGATTGTGGCGCAAACTGGTACTGCAATCACTTTCAAATTACTGTAGAGTGGTGTATCCCCTCCCCCTCCCCCCTGACTCGAGGTTGCCAGATAGGCTAAAGGATCCAGCAGGAACGTAGGCTGCTACAAGGAGCTTCCAATGGCAAGTGACGAGTCCTACACAGTAAGTTTTTTTTTTTCCTGTTAATTATGTTTATGCTTCATGAGAGATGTTTTGCAAAGTAAATATATATGGCAAAAATTTACTAATGGCGATTAGCCAAATATAATCGTAAAGATGTACGCTCGTATGTGACAGACTAACAGCTACTGTTCTAACAATGTAGGCTACTAACTTGTACTAACGTTAATGACAGATACCACCGTTACAAGTACAAGCACAAGCCTCTGTCACTGTGTGTAACCGATATCAAAGATACAGCTATTCATTTAGCTGACGCTATAAGTGAAAGCGACCAGCTGTATTTTTTTACTTACCCCGCAGTACACGTCCATAACGCTAAAATATGTGATGTGAAAGATTACGTCATTTGACTATTTTTGGCTGTAGAACTTGCATGTTAAACAAGTAGGCTACAAAACGTTCCAAGGGGGACAAATTATTTACATCATAGGCTACAATGTGCTTTTCATTGGTGTTATGGACGTTAGAAAAAGTTATTTTACCGTGGAATTGCACCTAGTGCTTCCAAACCAACACTAACTTAGTGCATAGCCCAAAAGGTAGAGAATGTTTATTTTGAGGCAGCACTTGTACTGCTCTCACTTGTTTCAGCCTGATTCAGACCTCAGTTATGAGGTGCCTGCTGTCCTAAGTGAGAGACATTTTACTCAACGTTTTACATATTTTTAACGAGTAAGACGTTAGACATTTTTTTTTTTTATCGACACAATTGTAGCTGCAGCTGTGGTAACTACAGCAGAGCTGGCAACCCGGATGCCGCAACACTATTGACTTTGTGATTGGTAGATAGGTGGAGGGTGGTGCATCAGACCAAAACACAACATGACAACATCAACATCAGTTGAGGGCTGCAACTTCACTTTTTAAATGACAATATCCTGGCCGGACTACTGTTGTCAGTGATATAAGTATTTGAAATGAACATGTATTTCAATTAATCACAAAATGGCCCTGATATGTCACTAGACATTAAGAAATCATTTCTTACATACGGTTCCTTTAAACTGAAGTTATAATTGTCTTTTCTTCTCTATTGTGATGTGAAAACGGACTTTTTCCAACATCTTTTTTTTTTTTAACGCAAAGATGTTGCCAACGTGAGTGGAAGCTATTTTAATTACATTTTTAAAATTCACATCGTTATCTTTAATGTAAATAGAAATATTTTATAACAAACAGTACAGTGTTCCATAAAAAAAGATTTTTCAGTTGATGGCCTTTTTCAACAATTGTTCCATGAAAAGAGGTGCTTAACTCATTGATTTGTATTGTTAGGAAGTCAAAGTAAATTATGAGCTTTTCTATTTTCTGTTCTTTTTTTGTAGTTGTGTAACTTTCTAGTAATAAATAATGGTTGGTAAATCAAATACAATTGACTATTTTTTTTTTTTTTAACCAAAATTATCAATTCCTTTTTTGAATCTTTTTTTTTTTTTTTTACTATTGTATTAATATTGCATGATTTACAGTTGTTGGATATAATCCTCTGAGGTGGGACAAAGTTATTATTTTAAGGGGGAAATACAGAAATGTTTAAAACTAGCAACCTTTCATGCTGTGTTTCTTGAATGGATAGTTTTCATTTTTTTTAATTAAAACAAACTATAATCCATGTAATCAAATCACGGGTCATGGAATGTATCTCTTGGCATTTTCAGCAAAAGTAGTCTGTTTCTTTCTGTTGCAGGTCTGGGATTTGAACAGAGGGCAGATGCAGCAAGACCTTGAGTGTCATAAGGGTGCTGTCCTGTCATGTGACGTGTCTTCTGACGGATGGCTCTTTGCCACAACCTCGGCTGACAGGACTGCTAAGGTCAGTGAAAAGGGGCACAAATGCATACATCAGATTAATGTCCCGGGACAAGATATTCTTTACCTTAAAGTGTCAGAGCTTCACCTGCCTCTGTCTAGTTCCTGGGCTCCGACTGTGCAAACACCTGCTCCTGTTACACCGCTAGTTTGTTTACTGTGGGTGCCTGTCTGTGTTGGTACGGTGTAAGGACAGGGCTAGGTGACTATCTGGAGTATTTTTACTGAGCCCAGGGTGCTCGCGTTAACGATGCCAAATACTTGCTAATTAACTCTACGTGAGTGCGGTACAAAGGCGTAGCGTCTTCTGTTTGTGGTATCGGAGGTCAGAGTCCAGCCTGCTCGCCTGAGAGTGTGATGAGATCAAGTTCTCTCAATCTGTGAGACACCGCTTCTACCAGAAGAGCTTTCTAATGAGACGCCATGTTCACGTCTGTCTGCCAGACCTTCTCAATGACCGGAGAGAGAGAGAGGATGGCAATGTGAATTTGGAGCGCTGATCAGAAAAATCCTTCATGCCAAATGGACCCGCCTCAATGACTAATTGTCTAAAATTAGAGCTAGGACAAAAAATATTTCAAGCAGCAGTTTAGCCAAAAATGAAAATTGATGATATTTGCTCAACCTTGAGGCATTCCCATCCCATTTATTATTAGATTTATTAATCTTCTCACAAAGTGATCGCTCAATGAGATTAGATTTTTACACAACACAAAATAGCAGTGTGGCAGACGGTGTTCAGTTTTGCTCCCATTCAGTTTATGCAGTAAAATGGCTTATAACTGCTGGTTTTGTTCCCTAAGGTGTGGAGCAGCGCCTCATGGGAGATGACGTTTTTGCTGAAGGGACACAAGGACTGTGTCCGTAGCTGCAGATTTTCTTGGGACAACAAGCGACTTGCAACGGGCGATGACAATGGAGAAATAAGGGTGAATAAAATCTTCAACTACTTGAAACTGTTTCATCTGTGTTAAGGTATAAAGATCTGATCGGGGCCTTGATCAGGGGCCGTATTCACAAAGAATTTTAAGGCTAAAAGTAGCTCCTAACTGGTGAATTTAGGAGCAACTCCTAAAAATAATGGGCGTGTCACTCCTAACTTTAGGACTCCTAATTTTTTTCACTAAGAGTAATTCACGAAGCATTTTAGCCCTAAAAGTAGCACCTAAGTCTGGGACAGCTTAAAAGAAGTCGAGAGGACTCCTAACTCACTAAGACCTATTCACAAAGGATTCTAGCGCATACACCGCCTCTCGCAGTCGTCCGGGGTCCGCGACACGAGCGGGAATGCTGCATTGATCTGCAAACAAATCCTCTCCCATGTGTTTTGCTTGATATCCCAGTGCCGAATTTCCCATTTATCTTTTTTTTTTCAGCACCAACTGAGCCAGCAGCAGTAATGGTGTGTTCACACCGAACGCGAATTTAATTATTTGCTTGAGTAGATTACATACAAAGTCAATGCAAAGACGCGAATAGATGCATGATTTCGCGCCGGGCGTTGCGAATGACGCGAATTGGGCGACGCGTTTGCCGCGAATGTCTTCCGCGCAAGTTGAAAATTTTGAACTCGAGCGAATGTTCAAGCGTCTAACCAGACGCGATAGACGCGTATTTGACGCTCTATTCGCGTTCGGTGTGAACACACCATAACTGATCTGCGTTATGGGCTTTCTTTTCAGTTTTGGCGAGTTCATAATCCACCGTCATTCAACTATTACATTACTTCAATAGGAGCAACATTTCCTTGCTTTAAGTAGTATTTAGGCTAATAGGATGTCAATTAATGTGTTAATGCAAAGTGTTAATGCAAGTGTCTTAATGCGGTTTTCATTAGGGTATTAGGCTACCTTGATTTAATTTAATTTAATTCACGACTTTTTTTATCTCTCTCTGCCTTTTTAGAATTACACTTCACTGGGGCCTGCAAAAACATGATATGCATTTCGATGACATTAGGCTACTACTATTATTTTGTGTAGGACACAGACATATTTAGATGTCGTAATTCCATGATTTGTTGCGTCTGTGTTGTTCCACATGATGGCCCTGTCATCTAACAACCAATCACCGTGATCATTGCGAGGAAGCTCGTGCATGAGAATTGACGTCATCCATAGCAACGAAGACTCACTCTTAGTTTAGGAGTTGTCATTTTTCCTTACTAAGAGTAGGTCTGAAAGGCGTTGTGAATAACTTTTAAGAGAAAACTCCTAGCTAAAATATTTTAGTGCGATTTAGGAGTACTCCTAGAGGTAAGATAAAATTCTTTGTGAATACGGCCCCTGATTTCAAAAGGATTTTGGTATAATGTGTTACTTGATTTTTTTGGAGGTCAGGTCAGACTAACTTTTACATTTAAGTTTGAATTTCTAAAAAGAAATGGACGCTTTCTAAATTCTTCTCAATTAACTGGTTTGGTAGTAAATCCTAGTAAAGCTACTCTCAGATCTTTGTAAAAAGTCTTCACATTACTGTATCGGTCTGTGTTCCTGATAGCTGTGCTCCCCTCACTTTTCATTTCCATAAAAGTACAAATGTTTTTGTGGAAACTCAATTATTCTCTAAACATGCTTGGTGTGAAGTTAATAACAGCGGCGCATGCATAAGGGACAGTAGTTTCAGTAGGGTCAGTAGTTAAATATGGTTGTAAAGAAGTTTTCTTGGCAAAGGTTGTCAATTATGGTGAATTTTGAAACTGAATGGGTCTCATTCATGAAACATTCGTAAATATGCGAGTGATTTGCGCGTAAAGAGACCTTCCCGAAAACTCTTCTCCTGATTCACAAATACTTCGTAAACGTCAGATGTGATAGTGAAATGTGTGTGTGTGTGTGTGTGTGTTAATGAATTCCAATCAGTCGTAAATGGGATGCGCGTGCACGTTCATTCTCAATTACCATAAATCCCGCCCATTGAATCCGACTGACAACTATATATGGGCAATGGGCATCATATTATGACATGAATGCGAATGAAAAAAAAAAATTCTCAGATGCAGAAAGTGAAGTTTTATTATCAGAAGTTTATTCAAAACGCCACATTTTATTTTCAAGCGTACATAGTGGCGTATCGGGTCCTAAAAAAAAAGGAAGCTTGGCAGCATATTACAGATGCAGTTAATGGAGTTTCATCTGTTAATCGAACATTCCCAGAAGTGAGAAGAAAATGGTTCGACATTACAGTTTTTCTTGATTGTTTACACACATTTTCTGAAAGAATGCCTCATTCTCAGAACTCTACACACAAATAAAAAAACACACACACAAAGGGCAAAACCCCTCAATTCTCCTACAAAATGAAACTTTACATTCAAAACAATGTTATTTCTTCTCAAAATGGTATTTTGTTTTCAAATGACACACACAAACCATCATATGAATAGACATTTATAAGAACCAGTTGAACACTGATGTGCTCAATGTAAAACACTATGATGAATGGAAAACACTTCTTCTCCATTCATCATAATGACTTAGGCCTTTTTTTTGTTCAGTGTTACACTTACTACAGACAGTACATACATAAGTGTGTTGTAAAATATTTGAGAATATTGTTTTTATAAGTGTGTTGTAAAATATTTGAGAATATTGTTTTTATACTCAGAACACACAAATACACGGTAACAAATATACACTCACCTAAAGGATTATTAGGAACACCATACTAATCCTGTGTTTGACCCCCTTTCGCCTTCAGAACTGCCTTAATTCTACGTGGCATTGATTCAACAAGGTACTGAAAGCATTCTTTAGAAATGTTGGCCCATATTGATAGGATAGCATCTTGCAGTTGATGGAGATTTGTGGGATGCACATCCAGGGCACAAAGCTCCCGTTCCACCACATCCCAAAGATGCTCTATTGGGTTGAGATCTGGTGACTGTGGGGGCCATTTTTGTACAGTGAACTCATTGTCATGTTCAAGAAACCAATTTGAAATGATTCGAGCTTTGTGACATGGTGCATTATCCTGCTGGAAGTAGCCATCAGAGGATGGGTACATGGTGGCCATAAAGGGATGGACATGGTCAGAAACAATGCTCAGGTAGGCCGTGGCATTTAAACGATGCCCAATTGGCACTAAGGGGCCTAAAGTGTGCCAAGAAAACATCCCCCACACCATTACACCACCACCACCAGCCTGCACAGTGGTAACAAGGCATGATGGATCCATGTTCTCATTCTGTTTACGCCAAATTCTGACTCTACCATCTGAATGTCTCAACAGAAATCGAGACTCATCAGACCAGGCAACATTTTTCCAGTCTTCAACTGTTCAATTTTGGTGAGCTCTTGCAAATTGTAGCCTCTTTTTCCTATTTGTAGTGGAGATGAGTGGTACCCGGTGGGGTCTTCTGCTGTTGTAGCCCATCCGCCTCAAGGTTGTGCGTGTTGTGGCTTCACAAATGCTTTGCTGCATACCTCGGTTGTAACGAGTGGTTATTTCAGTCAAAGTTGCTCTTCTATCAGCTTGAATCAGTCGGCCCATTCTCCTCTGACCTCTAGCATCAACAAGGCATTTTCGCCCACAGGACTGCCGCATACTGGATGTTTTTCCCTTTTCACACCATTCTTTGTAAACCCTAGAAATGGTTGTGCGTGAAAATCCCAGTAACTGAGCAGATTGTGAAATACTCAGACCGGCCCGTCTGGCACCAACAACCATGCCACGCTCAAAATTGCTTAAATCACCTTTCTTTCCCATTCTGACATTCAGTTCAACCAGTATTCCTAATAATCCTTTAGGTGAGTGTATTTTATTTTTCGCACAAAAACAATGTACACAGTGTACATTTCAACCAACACAAAGTTGCACATACAGTGGTCTACATACAAAACAACAGAAACATTTACTGTATACAGTTATGGTCTTTTATGCTAAAGCTCTGATTGCTAATTGTAAAACTGTGTGAAAGGTGTTTGCCCTTGTGCTGAGTCAGTATGCATATTTGAATGGCAGTGTGTTCCTTGTGAAAACAAGATATTTTCTGCATGAAAATTGTGCCAAAAGCAGAGAATTGTGTGTAGTGTTTTGAAAAAAGTGTGTTTTAGAACTGCAATTTGAGTGTGAAGCAGGAATTGTGCTTGTAGTTTAGCAGAATTGGTTCAGGGGGTTGGTGAATGACTTACATGTTGTGGTCATTGTGTCTCAAGTACAAGAATTTGTGTGTAAACAATTGAGAAAAACTGTAAGCTTGAGAGCAAAAAACGAATTAGTTCACTTCGGAAAAATAGTATTCAAACTGGAGAAGGACCACCATCGCAGATGCTATTACTGGCTCTCATAATAAGAAAAACCGTATGTAATTACTATATATAATATTTTTTTTCAAAATGCTGTGCAAATATGTAGGCTACCCGATTAAGGTGAATTAAAATGCAGCCTTATTAATGAGCAAAACGTTCGGGTGTTAAGCGCACTATTTACACGTGGCTGGGAGCAGGTGTAGACTTCTTGTGTACCAACTAACATTTGGAAAATACGAACATTTTAATGAATCCGAAAATTTACGCCAGAACCACTTTACACACGATTTACACAATTTGTTCTGCTCGTGTTTCATGAATGAGACCCAATGTGTGGATATTATGGCCATGTTGAGAGCAAATGAAGATGTTGGAATTAATGCAGATCTTAAAATAAGCGACATATGGACAAATACGTTTCGATGGCACAATTCTCAAAAGTCAGCATTCCCTGCTGGTCACTTCTGCCAAACTCTGTCTCTACACTTCTGAGCACTGGGGGAAAGTTCTACCTCATCAATTAAAGATGCTGCTTGCAGAGAGAAAGGGGAAAATGGGGAAAGTGAGAGAACCACAAACCGAGAGAGTGAGAAATGCTGTGATGTTATAATTCATGGCCTGTGGTGCTGTTTTTCAAAGCTCACATTTCTATTTAATGCTGTTTACTGCCACTGAGAAACACAAGTGCAAAACGTGCACATCACAGTGTAATATCTGTAAATCAGGCTTTAGAATGGATATATTTGCATTTGGCATGTTTTATTTTCTCAAGCGATTTCTGATCAAATTCGTACAAGAAACACTGATGCATTATAAAAAAAAACACTTTGTGGATCTACTTTATATTGTGCAGTATAATATGAATTTTGATTGATTTTGTGTAACATTAATTTTGTATGGTTTTATGTGTATTTAAGCTGTGGAGCATGCTGGATGGAGCTCTCCTGAAGATCTGTTCCCGGGACACTAAGGACTCCATGGACTCTTTCCACGGTGGATGGGTGACCGACCTGCACTTCTCCCCTGATGACGCAGTACTCGTCTCTACTGGCGGATATGTCAAGGTACACACATTATATATATATAGATGCAATTGCTGTTTACAAGCAAACAATTCTGGGTTTACTTGTCACCGAGTGTTTTTTATTTTTATTTTTTATTCTTAATTCAATGTAAGCTGCATGTGGGGTTATTGTTTAGGGCTGGGTAAAATTTTTGTTTTTCATTTGAAAAGAACTGGTTCGTAATTTAGTCAATCGAAACTGAAGTGAATCCACTGTAGCGTGATTCCTAAAAGAACAGTGTGAATTTACGAGGTAAACATTTGAATTGATCTGAAACCCTGCCATGTTGAATGAAATCTTTGTTAGCCCTAAATTTAGTCATTATTTGAGCAAAAGTAATACTTGACTGGCTTGCATTCTTTGAGATATAGCAAAAATCCGCAAATGTTTTATTTGTGACTTTTAAAGTGCAGCCTTGCCTAACAGGATGAAGTCTCTCCATTCTCTCTAGTTTGTTTTGTCATCACCATTTCATCTGTATTATCAGGCAGACACTTCACTCCAATCGCTCATGTCACAGAGGCACATTATGTCAGGAACAGAGCGAGACTAACTTCCATCAACGATGTCACCCATTATCCATCACACATCGCGACGACTTAATTAATATACTCTGAGCCGTCTGTACATTGTGTAAGTGTCACTGGCGTAATGATGCTTCATCTCACATCAATCCGTCAGTTTATCAAATGCGTCTGCATCACGCTGACCCTCTGCTCGAGCGCGTGAGCGACGGGTCCGTCGGAGACCCGATAACAAGCTCTGATTGATCACCGACTGTCCTCTCACTCAGGATCCCGCTGTCTGTAATATCAAATGATAAATTAATCATCGAGTGCGTCGGTTCCACATCCCCAGCCAAACCTCTTCATCAGACCCAACCAAACCTGCTTGTAAATCTGTTACGACCACACGAAGGAGGTGTGTGTGAGATGTGACGCGTTACGCTGCACTTCCTGCTGAAGATGCACTTGTTCGGATTTGAGAATTTACGTCGCCTGCAGGATCCGGTAATCTATCCGAGAGGATGTTGAGGGATTACCGTTTTTCATTGGGATGGATTGCTTTTGGTCAATTAGCCTACTTGTGTAAATGATCCCTGGACTTATTTCCTTTCCATATTTTATAATTTGCTTTTATTTCATAGAGTTGGGTTGCTCATGCAGTGGTGCAAGTTCAAATCCAGTCCAATCTTGTCCTCTGTCACCAATTGTGTAAATAAAATGTGAGCGAAAGAAGAAAAATGTATAACAGTAATGTAATGACATGGTTTGCTCTGTTAAACTCTGGGTTTGGCTTGTCACTCGGGCAGCAGGAAGAGTCTTGTTTATCTCGCCATGCCCGAGCTTGTTCAGCATGGCAGCTCTCTGCATTCACTTTGAGGTGATCTGCCTCTCAGCCGCAATGAATCACTGCAGGAAAACGTGCGTAGGGATGTGGAGAGTTTGTAACTAACTACAAAAGTGTACAAAAATGACTTGCTGTTGATTGGCACTTCCTGCAGACTGGGTTGTCAAACGCATTCGTCTTATTACCCTGACACTGGCAAGCAGACTCTTTGGCTGCAGGTAGTGCGTCTAGCTTACGCCTACCATGTCCTCCATGATTTTGAGCTGCAGTAGTAGCTAGTCATGTGGCGTTGACGCGTCTCAAGTCAGACAGTGACGTTATGACATCAAAGTACAGCTCCAGCTGGGATCACTGCCGTTTCACGATTGGGTTCATTCACGGATGACAACAATCACATGTTTTGTGTTTGTGAAATTCATTCAATTCCACTAGTGCTCACAGTAAAAGCTCTTAATGTTATTGTAATGTTATACTGTCCAGTTTATCAAAATAACAAAGTGGGGCTTTTATTATTATAATTATTATTAAAAAAAAAAAATTAATAGTTTAATTAAAATAGTATAGGTTTGTTGAACATTATTCTTGTACATACAGGCAGTGCATAATGTAGTGAGTGAAAAGTGTTTCTGCTGTATATGACAAAAATAGCATTTATTCTGCTTCATCTCTGATATGCGAACACTATGGAAAGGAAAAAGTATCTGACTTCACTTTTCTGTTTTCACCTTGTCCCTGACCGCAAGTCGCAAATCTCACCAATCGGTTGCATCCAGCCAAAGTTGAACACGCATATTTGCATTTGGATTTTTTTTATATCAATTATTGTCAGTACCTGTATATTGACACCGCTAACTGAAACCAAATGTAGCACGAGTCGTTAAACTCGCAATCGTTCTCTGTGGACTGGAGACAGGACATGTCCTGTCTCAATGAGGACAGACACAGAGGACAAATCTGCAGGGCATCTGTCTCTTTATACTTTTCCCTTTCAGTCTCATTCATCAGGATGTCTGTAGTCTGCATCCATTTTTGTCTGGCTAACTCATTTTGGCCTTTTCTCTGAGAGGTAAATGTTTTGTGCATGTCAGTGATTTATAAAGGCCTCTCTTCATTTAGCTTTCACTCATAATAAACAATTGGTTATTGTAGCTGTGGGTGTGTGAGACAAATTGTTCCTTTGCATGAGACAGAAATATTTCCTGGAGGACAGGATATTACACCTTTACTGAGGAAGAGGCTCAAACGGATTAAATCACACTGCCTGGCTCTATTTCTCTCTCTCACACACACACACACACACACGTATAGTGTTTCTTCTCTGGAGGATTTGGCTGCTGTTTGGAGACTCCTAGTAATTCACACACATCAGCTCCAGGGCATCCAGACCTTCACCCTTTACCAGACAGAATTCTTATATCACAGCAGTTTATTGCACAGCAGTCCCACAACAGCATTCACCTGCTAATAAGAGACTCTTTATTTCCTTTGTCTGTTTCTACTGTTGAACAATGGTGAGAAAAGCCATTTGTTTTGAAGCGGTAGCAACACTTGGGGCCGTTGGGTCTGGAGGTGTAACCGAGCCAGGGAGATGGACTTGTTCTCGTCCCGCTGTCAGGACTGTTGTTTGTTTCTGCACAGCGTTCACAGCCATCCTGACATTCATTAGATAGTGACTGAAAGGAGAAACTAAGGGAGAATGGATTTGCCAGGGACTGAAAGAGTTGCTGGGTGTTTGTTAATTTTCAATAAACCAAGTTGGAGTTTGAAGTCAGTCAAAGTCAAACAACAGATGTTTGACTTTGAGAGAAAAGTTTTGTTTTGGTAGACATTTGCTCTCAATGGCCTATGTACCGTTTTACACATTTTTGCTCTCAGAATTTTTCCATAATGACTAAAGTTTGACTGGATCTGGTTGAAAGTGATCTGAATGTTTAGCTTCGGGCTGGCAGACGCGTGCGTTGGTGCCGTGACTCAGCGATTTGGCCCCTGACACCCGGCAGATGACCCGTCAAAGCGTGTTCACACGGGAAAGATGCTGCGGAGGGCCGACACCACGGCGTACTCTGTCATACTGTGGTGTGTGTGGATGCCAGCGGAGGATTCCTCCACACACCGCAGGCAGTGAAATGAGAGAGGGGACTAAAAGTACAAAGACGGACAGTAAAAGAGTCCCTTTTCCTTTATTTCCACTATCTCGGTGTCTGCATCAATATTTTAGCCTTTGAGGTGTTAAATGAATAATTTAGCTGAAGTCTTGAGGTGGGCTCTCCTCTTGTTTCTCTCCAGCTCCAGATGTGAGTGTGGTTAAAAGTGCTGTATGAAAATAGATGCTGTGATAATTGCAAACATAAGAATCCCATGTGGTTGTTGGTCCAAAAATGGTTGTAATGGCAATATTGCAAGCTTTTATTTTGTTGATTTATTTTTTGTTACTTGCTAATGAGGACACGAGCAGAAGTGCAGTATGGAAATAATTAATTTACGGTCCTATCTGTTCCCTGGGTCTGAATATCCCATTTCATTAGAAACCGTTTCACTGCCAAAATAAAAATGTATGCCACTTTGTCCGGCAACTGTACACGGTTTTGATAGCCCAGCCTTGTTTGCGGTCTGTAACCCAGAACGTGCAAGGGAGGAGAGCAAACTAGTAACAGGGTTGCTGTATCCACTTCCTCTGACCCTGGAGGTGGTCGAACTTGAGTGAGGCACCCAAGGGTATAGAGGACGACAGCCAACCCCTGATCTTCAGACCTCAACCATCCCTGTCAGCTTCTGTGTGTGGAAATGTTATTTCTCAGGAGATTTACAGTTCATGACTTGTATCAATCATAAATGGGTCACTCCCCCCCTTCCCCGTACTTATTCATGCAACACACTCTCCTTGAACCAACTGAATGTCATGTAGCGGCTGACCAATCTGATGTCTTCCCCTCGTTCTCCTGATTGAGACACTGAAAAGATCTGCACAAGAGTGGACAGGACTCATCCAGACCTCAAAGAAACTTCTTGAATCCGCCCAGTCTGCTTTTGCTAAATGCATAATGATGCTACACGTCAACCCGAGGACAATGTGGCCTTTGTTACAAATCAATGGTTTTTGTCATCTGGCTTGCATTTAAGGTGCACAATCATTCATTTGGAGAAGAGTAGAACAAGATTAGGTGTGTGTCTGTAGACTGTACTACACTACACACTGTGTGAGAAATAAGAGTACGAGACTTGACCTTGGCCAGGTGAATAATTGAAGCAGGTCTTGTTCCTTTTACTCATAATAGTAGTTCTTAGCATGTTGTCTGGGAAAGAGCTCATAACCCTGAATTTGTAGGCGTTTTATGTGCTTGGTGTTTTGTTTTTTTTGCATCAAAAGTGTTTATAGGACAGAAAAGTCCATCTGTCGTCTTTAACTCATTATTCAGTGTCCTGACATTAGCGTAAAGTGCAAGCAAAACGTGGTAATGACTTTTAAATGTATTTTTTTTTTTTTAAACATGCACCAGCATCAAAAGATTATTTAATTTTCGGATGATCTCTGAGCACCATGGGTACGGTACAAAGGTTTTGTTTTACACGGCAACTTTCCTTAACTTTTTAAAGATTAGGCTACAGCACATGTTCATCCAGTGGAAAGATTTAATGTGTGTTAAGACCTATTTGGACATGATTCGATTTTGAGGCTCTCAGACATGTTTGATTTGGAGCGAATGAACAATCACCTGTGTACAAACACGAGCTTGATGAAAGTGATGAAGCTTTTTACATACTGTTGTTCTGTGCATTGTTTGTGGTGACACGAAGCCTGGCCAACAGGGAAAGGGAAAAAGAAATGTCCCTCTCTGACTGCTTTATTTTTGGAGGTTTGCTACTCTGGGCACAAGACTATCAGGGCGGTGAGATTTTAGCACAAAGCCATAAGTTGTGTAGAACGAGCCTGTTAAATGCAAACGAGAGCCATTAATTCACAAGGGCCGCGTGATTAACGAGTCTGTCGGGGGTGCTGTGTTTGCGCATCTGCACGCAGAGAGTGTAAAAACAAGCACTGCGGTTGGAGGCATCTGTTGTCATCACCGCTGACTGTTTGGCCGGTAGCTGCACGGCGGCCTCATTTTGTCAGCTGCCGAAGCGAGAGCGGTGCCGCTTAGGCACTGTAACCCACTAGTATTCAGCAACATTTCTGTTGCTGCTTTTTGACCGGAATAGAGCGTTTGAGCGCAGCTGTAGGGAACGGAGACCCTCTGGTGTGGGTGTTGGGTCCTTTGAAGTTTTCCATGTTGTGCTGTTGGTAAAAAGTTGTAAGTTTCTTACTTTGACCCCCTGGGAATTGTTCTCATTGTATTTTTGTTGTTGCAGTGGTGGAGCGTGGAGACGGGAGAGTCCCTGCAGACGTTTTACACGATGGGAGCCAATCTGAAGAAGATTCACGTGTCGCCCGATTTCAGCACCTTTTTGACTGTGGACAGCATTGGAATCCTTTACATTTTAAAGAAGGTGGAGGGAGGAGGATTGTAGAAGTGCCTTTTTTTCATCTCTAAAAAGTATTTATCAAAATTGTGGGATAGTTAATGTTTTTAAAGCAGGATTTTTTTTTTTTTTACTTGAAATGAATTGAACATTTTAGGAGGTTTTGGAAATGATCCTTTTCTGATGTTTCATAATGTTGATGAATCTGTTCTTTATTATGACAATCTCTTTGAGCGCAAGTACTGTGAACCAGAAAAAGATTTGTTAATGTGGAGCTTGTACACAGCCCAGTGTGGGATTTCATCTGAGCCCATGTGTTTGAACCGATGCCTTAATGTGTCAAAATATGTATGAAAATAATCTTTTTTTTTTTAGTTTGGGAAGCTCAGGTTTTATTTGTGGCAGCGGCGTTTCACGTAAGGGCTTTAATATGGCTCACCAATTAAATGAGGCGTTTGAGATACACTGTGTCCCAAGCACGGATTTTGTATTTATTGTGTCTGGAGAGGCTCACTTGTGTATGATGTAGCACAGTATGCGTGTAGGTTTCTCAGTAAGTTGTCTGAAGAAAAATGTGTAATAATGCAAGTACACCATGGGATTTGCAAAGAGTGAATGTGTAAATGATTTTGGCATGTCTTAATGTGAATATAAATTGAATGAACACCAAGGCAAGTAGTCTGTCTGTTATTGATCAATGTGAATGTATTGTGTGTAAATGGTTAATTTTCTGGTTTCCCCAGGACATGAAAGTAGATGTACCTGTAATTGTTAAAAAAAGGTGTCTGGCTTATTGAATGTGTGTTTTTGAGAGCGAGAGGGAAGGGGACGCTGATGCACGGCAGCGCTGACACAGCAGTGGTCACGCTCCGTCTGTTTCTGACACTTCCTGTTGGCAGCTGCTCGGTGAGAACAGACAGCACACTGTCATGTCCTAATGTCAGTGTCAAGCTGAGCAGTGCATTTGTATGGTTAGAGCTGAAGCTGTTTGAGGGAGATGTGCTTGGAGGCTGTAGAAATGTTTGTCCAGGATTGCATTTAGTGTGAATTTGTTTCAGTGTTGAGAGGAAGTGAAGCCAGGTGAGTTGAAGCATGGTGTGACGTATTTGTGCTCCTGGTCAAGAATGAGTAGCCTAAAGGAAATTGCTTAAATGTGTGATCAAGTTTTCTTTCCATTGGGATAGCTTTTGCGGAACTGGGTGATTTTACAGTAGGTGTTATTGATCTGAGTTTAAGTTCAGATTAGTGACACTTGTTAGTCAGTTCCTAAAAGAAATGGAAAAGCTATCCTAATGGAAAAAGCTGTTTTTGGTGTTTAATGTAGCAAGCAATTGAAAGGCTGGGAATTTTTGACTGGGAACACAGGTGGTGTAGTGCTTCCAATGGTTGTTCCCTGTATCCTAATTGCTATACATAGGAATTGGGATACAGGCAGGGAACAAAGATTGGAAGCACTAGAGGTACCAAACCTTGTCCCATGTATCCCAACCACTATACATTTTGTATATCTCTTATCTCCTCATTGAAATCCCCAGTACAGACTTGAATGAGGTGTGATGGAGATGTTCAAAATGTATAGTGGTTGGGATATATGGGACAAGGTTTGTTTAAGAGGGTTTTTTTTTTGTGGTGTGGGTTAGGAATTAATAATGATGAAGAGGGGACTGTGCCAAGTATTAATACTTAGTAATTTCTTTTTTTTTTTTACCTTTACAAGAAAATAAATGCATTTCCTATAGGAAATGCATTTAGTTCATTGGTGGTGGTTTGGGGATGACAACTAACACATTTACTCCAACTTCCATCTGATCAGCTGCACAATGATCTCCCTGGGAATTCAAGCTGAATACCTTTGACAGGTCATGCTTGTACCTCTGCATTACACATCTCTCACTGAGCTTTTAATCCAATTGATTTAGTGTGGTTCATGTCTTGGCCGATCAAACAACATTGGAACTTCTACACATTAATAACAGGCACCATTTGCTATCTGTACTAAACCTTGATAATGCTTCATGATTACACCATTCACAACTTTATTTTTGCATCTGAGACTTAGTATATTTTGTCACTAGGGATGGCCCGATACCATTTTTTTTCAAACCGATACGAGTACGAGTATTTACATTTGTGTACTTGCCGATACCGAGTACCGATACCGATATTTCTACCGCAAAAGTAATAGGCTCCCAGAAAAGAAGACGACTATTTTAGAACACAGGTTAGAAGACTGTTTTTATTTTCTTCTCTGCTTGTTTTAACAAGTCTAAAAATAAATAAAAATTAGTAAAATAATAAATGTATTAACACACAAACCACTGTTAATTTAACATAAAAGCAAGCAGGCTACTGCGTGCATGGTCTGGCATGACTGAATGCGCGCAAAGTGGGCTCCCTTAATAAATCCTAAAAGCTGACAGTTCATCGCGATCTCACACATCTCTGTTATTATCAATGAAGCTGACTGCACAATCAATCTTTCACAATATCCACACTTTGTTTGTTATAATTAGAGGATTTGCCAGCATACAGAATTCAGCACTGAACAAAAAAGTCCGTTTTGAGCGGTGAGGAGAGTCTATCTTAAATGCTTCTGATTGGCCATTGCGTTCCAGAAATCAACACATATGTCTGTGATTGGCTACATCGCTCAACGCTGTAACCATGTTATGAATAGAAACTCTGTCCTGTAAATCGTTTCTATTTTGTTGTAGTTGTTCTTGTTGCTTTTCTGCAAGAGATGAATAAAAAATCTTTTAGTTTTTATGTTTTATTCATAGATATTTCTAGTTTGCGGGAGTCCCGCGAATCGTTTTATTCCCCCGTAACCCGCACACACAGAGTGAGTGCATTACCGCCTGCGCGCGCGCTCGGCCATCAGATCTATGATGCGTCTTCAGATGTTTAATTAGATTGCTGGTGTTAAACGATGTACTTTCTTTCCCTCCTCTCGACACCTTAGCTGAACATAACTCACACCTTGCTGTTGTCATCATCCCTTATCTTGAAATGAGCCCAAACCGCCGACATTATACTTTCCTATGCGTCAGTTCACCTCGACAAAGCACTCGCGGCGGCCAGTTTCGTTTTGCAAAATGTACGTGGTATCGGTGCGTGGTATCGGCGAATTTTTATGAGTACGAGTACGAGTATATTAGGACAGTATCGGCCCGATCCCCGATGCCAGTATCGGTATCGGGCCATCCCTATTTGTCACTTATTTTCATTCCTTCTATGTAAAGCACTTTGAATTACCATTGGGTATGAAATGCACTACATAAACTTGTTTTACTTCACCACACTGTACGCTCATGAAGCAGCCAACACATTCATTTCATTCCCCTTTTGTGATGTAAACGTCAAGTGGGCCCTAGATCAGCATAAATGACCTTCCTGCTGCCACAGGTCTGTGCAGACCCTTTACCATGTGCTGAGGGATGGAGGTTTGTTCAAATCACACAGCTACATTCTCACTCATTGCATGGAAACAGGTGCCCAATCATGTTCCTGGACAGTCCTCAACCAACTAACTCATATCATTTGTCAAAAGAGGTCAATCATTAAAGATGGGTGTTTCATTGAGGTTACTTAACTGCAGCAAGGTGTACAGGTTAATGTACAGATTTTCATTACATTCTCACCTCTTATGTTCTGCTGAAATACTGCTGGAGGTCAAGTGAAAAAACAAACACACACACTTTCTCAAACCATTACATAACCCATCATAACAGCCCACCCAATACAACACTGAGTTTACTTTTTTGGCCCTCTACATACATAACTGATGTTTGGAATAGGGCAGGTGATGTTCTCTCCTCTCCTATTCTATTCTCAGGATATATTGATTATTCAAGCAAGCACACAGATCATTTTGATTCTGTTTCTCAACTACACACATTTCAAAGCGTTTTTTTTGGCCTGACCACCACAACATATGCATGCCTGCACAAAATTAATTTTCTGCACTGATTGCCCATAAAAGTCTGTGGAGTGGATTTCAATAATATGATCAAATGCATTTACACCAGGGACGTCCAATCCTGCTCCTGGAGGGCCACTGTCCTGCAGAGTTCAGCTCCAGCTCCTATTCAACACACCTGAACCAGCCAATCAAGGTCTTTCTAGGCAGAAACTTTCAGGCAGGTGAGTTGAGGTAAGCTGGAGCTAAACTCTGCAGGACAGTGGCCCTCCAGGAGCAAGATCGGACACCCCTGCTCTACAGTTGTATTGCTAACCAATATTACCTGACATTCAACACTCTCACGTAAGTAACTCACTCGCCACCAAGTTGCACCAAAAAATACCTACTGCAAATTCTCAACCACAAGATTCCTGCTCAAACATTTCATGTTACACATTTTACACAATCCAACTTCAAAGGTTCTTTTTTGAAATCAAACCCTTTTCACAAGATCAGTACCTGCCAGTCGTCAATGGACATGCAGTTTCTACAAGGCTTGCTCTGACTCGCATCATGTGCATCCCCTGCCTCCGCTACCCGAACCTTGGCCTGAGAACGGTTCCTGTCAGCTGCTCTCAGTGTCAGTGGCTACTTTATTGCTCGCTCTCGTCAGGTCAGGTGGAGCGGGGCCAAGCAGAGAGAGAACAGATGCCAAAGCCATGCCTGCGGAGCTTTGGACGCGATCCTGAAGCTGTGCGAGCAAACGTCATTTGCGGAAGAAATACGTGTTGCCTTTGATGTTAAAGAAATGCTTCACCCAAAAAGATTTTCATATTACACATCCGCAGGACGTTCTTTCTTCCGAGGAACGCAAGAAAGCTTTACGGCGGGCCTGGCCAACTAAATAAGCCTGTAGCTTTCTAGCAATCCTGATGACCTTGATAAGCTTGTTCAGGTATATTTATTACAGTTGGAGCTTAGCTCTGCGGGAAAGTGAATTATGAGGGCCACAGTTGCCCTGCCCTGCACTATATTCAAAGTCTTCTTAAACTACGATAGTTTGATAGTTGAGGATAGTTAAGAAAACAAACAAATTACTATTCATTCAATGGAAACCTTGCTGTCCACACACAGCGTTCGTCATCCTACCGCATGGCTCTGCGCTTGTTCGCGTAAGTGTGTTACTAAAGGCCTTTTGGCACTGCAGGCTGTCACCCTGAGCTGCCTTTGGCCTTTAACGCCCAAATGTGTCGAGTCAGGAGTGCAATGCGGTCTGACAGATAAAGGACTCGACCTAAATATGCCTCGTTCTTGTGTTACTAAGGAACGTATGTCCTTCTAGAACGCTCCTTCGGCTAAAAGTCTGCACCCTCTTGATTCACATCTGGCCTCGTTGAGAGATGAATGTAGCTCTTCGGCAGCTGTCGTTTATCTCTCACCTCTCCCGTCGTGGACCGCAGAAGAGGTGAAGCCCCAAATGGGCTCGTGGCCAGTGTTGCCATGGCAGCTGGCTTTAGGATGCTGGGCATCCTCCCAAAATTGCCCTTTCGTCTCACCTCCGGCAGGGGTACCCGATGACTTTGACCCCACAAAAATAACAGTTGTTATTGCATCTGTACTTTCGGCACACGTCAGTGTTTTCAAAGATAATAACGGGTCGACGGAATGGTGAGATCGGGTTCAGAATATACACAACAACAATTACGCCGACAATTTCCACTGCTTCTAGATGCCGACGGTGTTTGAAAGCATTAGTTATTTCTGAAAATGTTTGACCGCATGGGAGCCTCCATTATATCTGTTAAAGGGAGAACTTAAGCAAAAATTATAATTCAAAACTCATTTACTCACATTTGAGCTTTAAACGGGTCCGTTTCTTTTTGAAACAGAGCAAGGTTCATGTGGAAAATTGGTCATGTGAAAGCTGTCTTGTGGATACAAGAGTGCGCCATGGAAGCCAACCGAATCCAGGACTACCTGCAGGCAGGGCCGTCGCTACCCTTTTTACTAGAGCAAGAGCCCCCCTCGCTGTGCAGTGTTCTTCCTTCACTTTTCACCTCTTCAATCCTCGCTTTGCAGTCAGACCATACGACACAGGCACCGGGAACAATCGCACTCAGATTCAGACCACGGCAAACTTGCCCGGTGTCAAAGCCCCCTAACACCGCCCAGGCAACCCACGTCGTCTTCCCTGATTATCGACTTCGACATTACAAAATGGGTTGCAAATGTTGCTCCATGTTGCTCCATCTGTCGGCAAGCAGTCCTTCATCACAGGACATCACTAAAGTATTTTATTGATACACTTAAAATGCTCATTAGCACACAAATAATAGCCTATTTTATGAAACATGTATTGGGTTAGGTATACATATCAGAGTTGTAGCCACATAAGATTAGATGTCGATATAGCTTTACTTTGGAATGATCTTAATGTTCAATATTTGCTTACATTAGGCAAGCACAGTTTGTTCTCTTCGTCAGAGCTGCTAGGTGAGGGTTGTTTTTGCTCCCTACAGTTTGATTTCGTCTGTTCCTAAAGCTCTGGCCCAGTTCTCACATATTCCAGGCTCTCGCATCTCTCTTTGTTCTTTTTATATCAACATGACTGAACTAGTTGAACGATCATAAAGCCTACTTTATTTTGATATCGCTGCAGAAATCTATCTGGCACATTCTGTAAGTGTTAATTAATTGATCTGTAAGATAATTACATAAATGGTTATCCCCTGACGCTTAATTTAGTCAAAGGCTTCGGGATACGCACCATCTGGGATGCGAGACTACAGTTATCCCATCATATCTCTCATTCTATCTTTGTTGTGAGAACTGAAATGGAGAGTGAAGGATATTTGATCAAAGTTGATGTCGGTGGGATCGTTTTCACCTCACGGACGTATATCGCTCTGATGTAAACGGCTCTTGAAATGGCGTCTGATTTATAAGGCTCTTGACAGAAAGATGCAGTAAACGCTTTACAGATTGGGGAATATAACACGCTGCAGGTGAAATCGAGGCTATAAATGTCTGTTAGATGTACATCTCACAGAAAAGCTTTATGAACTTCTCTATTGTTTTATTTAAAAGTTTATACAAACTATAAAGTAAAACAACCAAGTAATCTATCAGCGTAACAATAGTTTTTTTCAGTCTCTAAATTTGAGTAGCAGTGTCCGCTCTTTAGGTGTTGCTTCTTCCGAGCCGATTGTCTTATGCTGGCTGTGTTTCTCCAGATCTATTACTGCAACGTAACCGAGTTGTGTTAGACTGTGTGGAGAAAGATACGAGCTCCATGGAAACAGAGTGCACAAGAAGTGAACCGTATGTCACCCAGCCAGAGGGAGATATTATCCAGAAACTCACACTCAAGCCCTTATCAGAACACATCTTTTAACACGCTCCCTGTCTTTACAGAGTTGTAATTTGTGCCAGCTCCCCAGAGGCCACTGATAAGTACATTCACAAATAAATAATACAAACAATCATTAGATATAGGCCTAGGCCTACATAGAAAGAAAAAGTGACGGAACAACAGGTAGATAGAACGAACGACCGACGAATGGATGGATGGATGGATGGAGATGGAATATCGATGGGTGGTACATTGATAGAAACAACAAGAGGTAGAACAATTCAACAGCAAGTTACACAAGTAGATAAGATGGAGTGGTGCAGGGATGACGGCAAAACCCGGTAGACTAATTCGCCTGGAGATTTTCCAATGGCCTTTCATAATGGGCTTTTTCAATTTATCAGTAAAATAAAGCCTGTGGTAAACATTCCTTGACTTTTTGCTCTACAATGTAAACTGCACACACCCACATCAAAAGAGCACATTTTTAAGCAGTGGTTTATTTTTGAAAATGTATGATTCTAATAAGTGACTAGATAAGACAGTTTGGGGTGTGAGCGTGTGCAGTGTACATCGTACAGCGCGACGTCAAAGTATCATCGAGTTATGTTTACCACAGGATTTATTTTACTCATACATTGAAAACTCCATTGAAAAATCTCCAGTGGCAAATTAGTCTACCGGGTTCTGAAGTCATCCCTGCACCACTCAATAGATGGACAAATAAAATAAAAAACAAGAAAGGAAGGAACACAGGCCACAGAAAGGACAATGGTTCTACAATCCGGATTTATTCCGTGTGCTTTGCAAGAATATAAATAAAGACCAAACTTACAAAATCTGTGTGCTGGAAGCCCAAGCCTATCTACACATGTTAGTCTGCAATGATGTCACAAATCCACCGGTTGCTCATACCTTGTTATAATGTGTTGAACTTTGAACTGCCTGCAAAATTTTGTACCTTGTTTCCCAATGTAATTTATTGGATTTTTTTTTTACATTTTTTTTTGGTTTGTTTTTCTAATAACATATATGAACAATGAGTCAACAAAATATTTATTTACAGAACTGTGGCAAAATTCTACAGTGACAATGAGTGAAAATAAGATCTGTTTTTATATTTTCATCTGAAACACAAGTGGAGCCATCCACACATTCGGTTCCTCTGTAGTACTACAAGATTTTGTATTTTTTTTTCGGATGGCTGCGTATTCAAGCTTGACGCGTCATATAAAAATAATGTAACGTTAAGACAACATCAGACAAGAATTGCACAGTAAGAATAATTATAATAATTGTAAATATTACAGTAATGGTAATATAGTTCTCTATTAAACAGTATATATCAATAATAATCTGCATGGCGCCGCCAATGAAGTTAACAACCATTCTGTAGTGATTTTGGCACGAGACGCATCCATTTCATGGTTGTCCAGTGCAATGAGTTCATTCACATTGTGCATATTCATTTTTTTTTTTAGATCATTAACCACAAACAAACAAAATAAAGAGAGAAAGAAAGAAATAAACAAAGAAAACAGAAAAGAAAAATACAGCAATTCATGTAAAAGTCCGTTTTTATCCCAGTCCAGACATGCCATGGTATTTTGGACTAGATATTTAGTGAAAAGTCAATGTAGTGTGTCCGAGTTGCCGTAGCGAGACCGTCTCCGCGGTTCTCGCCTTTCCCCCGATCCGTCTCTCGCGCGACAAAGTCCCGTGACGGCCGCTGTCCTTTAGAACGCAACTCGAATCGCTGCCTCTTGAAAAGTGTACATTCAATTCCCACAGTCTCCTCCTATTGTTTTTATGCAGTGAGTGTGTATGTGTGCGCGTGCATGCGAGTGTTTCGTTAAAAGGCCACGGGTCCACGTCGGCAGTCCTTGTACGCACCAAGTCCCAGTTGAAAAAGTCCTCGTGCGAATCCTTACACATGCGTTACGAGAAGGCTCCGGTGACGCTTTTAGGTTCCGTATTTGCGGTCCTTATTTGCAATGCATGTGAGACTGAGGGTCCATGTTAGGGGCAGGCTACATTCTCTGAATTCCACTGTAATAGACATGGGCGTCCGCCATTGCCCTGTGAATGAAATCACATCACTTATCCAAAGTGTCCATCAAAAAAAGCCCCCCCTTCTCCAGTTCACATGGACTGCATGCTTTCCATCAACTACACTGCATGTCTCAGGACTGGCTCGGTTTTCTCGGGTTTTCATTCATAGGCAACACCAAAAAAAGGGAAAGAAAGAAAACACAACAGGAAAAAAAATTTTTGGAAAGGAAGGAAAACGCGCGATTTGAGAGACAATTTTTTTTTGCGGATGTCTCGTCGTAAAATATGCTATCTGACAAACTTCTGCGTCCACAAATTACCTTTACGTTTTGACTTACTAAAACAAGCTCGTAACTCTTGTGCCGTTTAAGAAAAAAAGGAAAAAAATCTCCCCTAAAATTTTTTTTTTCTCTCCGACAAGCGCTGGTACTAAAAATGAAAACTTCTCTACGAGACAAAACAAACAACTCAAGCAAAATGTCCTTTGGGTGAAGTCCAATCTCCGCTTCTATGCCAGCCGTTTTGAATGCCCCACCTCACAAAAATCTCTCCGTTTCCCTCGCGTGAGCCTTCGCCCTCGCTAACCCTATGCTGTCTAGTCAGAGAGAAAGAAAGAAAGAAAGAAAGCAAATTCCGACTCTAAAAACAACATTTGTGTTTATAAGGCTTGTAGCAGCATTACGGTTTAAGTTGTCATTCAAGCAGTCGAGGGCGAAGTGGGGAAAGGCTGAAGAGGTGCTTCCCGGAGAAGCCGAGGAAAGAATAGCGAGGAACGGAGGGAAGGAGAAATAAAAAGAGAGGAGATGGGGGGGGGGGAATTGAATGAAAAACAACCGCTTGCAACACTTTTTTGTGTGTTTTGGAGGAGGATCGGCAGCGTGGCGGCCTGAAGGCTGACCTTCCCTTATCGTGCTGCGGCCAGAGAGGTGAGGGGGGGGCGAGAGAGATCAAGAGATAGAGAGAAAGAGCGGGGCAATAGATCGAAGGAGAGAATAGACAGCGGCAGCGTCATCATGCAGAAGCCACGGTAAACGGGCGGGCTTGGCCGGGCGGAGAGACGCGGGCTTGTCACAGGTCACTGGGCCCGTGGCTCCGTGGGGGGCCTCTAGAGGGCGCTCTCTGTAAGGCACACACACAGGAGTGGACAGTATTTTGGGTGTATATTAGAAAATAGTGGTCTCATACTTGGTGTTGGCTCCTCTTTTGGCTTCCTGTCCTGGCTCGACTATCCATGGGACGTTTGCGTGGCCCTTTTGATCCATTGAGGGCTGCTCCATCTGAGGTGCACACAGGAGAAAGAGACAGCAGGTCAGTAGGTGCTAGTAATTTAGGCGGTTACAGGCGCTCACGCTAGATCTTGCATATTGTTCGCTTTCGTTCATGTGTCTTTCTTTGCGTACTACTACAGTTTTGAAGACCTAAGCGAAAAGAAGTTTGACCAAAACAGGATATAAACGTCACAAATTGGCTAAAAATCAAACGTGGGTGAAACGCTCATTTGGTCAATTTTCATTAATGGTTGAAAATAATAATATTATAGGTAACACTTTACAAACAAGGTTCAATTGCTTAACATTAGTTAAACGTCCACCATCAAGTGACAGTGACACTAATATTGGATTCACCGTTTCAAGTTTTGCTGAAGATGCAAGTTGTTTTATGTCAGGGGCAATTATGAGTGAAACTTATCATCATCATCATTGTGTATAAAGGTGAATTTGACGACTTGTTGCGCAGAAAAAATATACTTACACTATTACATACCTCGGGTCACTAACGACCCTGTACACTTTAAAAAAAAAAAATACAAAAAAAACAGACATTATTTTATATATTTCTTTATTGTTATATTGTTTATAATGAATACGTTGAGGAATACTTAAAAGGTTGATGTCTAACTTTTAAAAATAAATGAGGGAGTGTGTAGTGAATGATGTCCCCGGTCGATAAAGACCTGAGGTATCCTGTAAAGGGTTAATAAAAATATGTTTTTTTGGTCATCTTCATTTATAATACATCAACTATTTTAAATTTACACAAAAATGTAGAAATGATCAGGAATCTACATTAAAAATGCTGAAAAAGTAGTCTTGCTAGTTAATGAAACCTAACAAACTAATGTTATATATTATTCATATTAATTATATTATTTACAATAATAATGATGATGTAATAATACGTTTATAGTTATATCATATTCTGTTACTCATATATGTAATCTGAAGTGATTTACATGCTTAAAGGCACGTTCACACCAAGGACGATAACTATAAAATCGTTCTCAATATTAAAGAATAGTAGAGTTCACACCACAGCTATAACGATAACGGCACAGAGAAACGATATCGGGATCAGAGCGATTTTTTTCCAGCTGATGAACGATAAAAAACATTGACAGCCAATCAGAATTCATGCTGATGTAACAGCTCGAGCATTTAAAGTGACAGACAAGCACGCGCTTGGAATAAACAGAACGATATCATCCGCTGGTGTGGACGCTAATATAGTTATTGTTCTTGGAGTGAAGTCTAGTGTGACAGAGAGAGAGAGGTGTGTGATGTGATTGGTTAACCACATAGCAATCTGACTGTCACACCAACACAAAAACAGTGAAGTAACTCCACATTACATAATTCTTATTTTTAAACCTGTAACATCAAACTACTTCATTTGTTATATTAAGTATCGGTGTCATAAAATCCATCTTGCAGATCTGCTGTGGTCAAAACTACCCTACAACTAGTACATCTTTATCAACCAATCAAAACACTGTTCCTTGTTGCCACGGCAGCTCAGCCTTGCTCCACATAAAGCTGAGCTATACATGGCTCAGAAACGTGAATCTCTACAGGAACGAACACATGCGCACACAAACGCAGAGTCCTTTACGTATGCTGTTGGCTTGTCTTGAGTTCTTTATCAGGTTTTTCCATATGCAGCCGCATGAATATTAAATAACATAATCCTCGCTCTTTCTGGCTACCTCTGACTGCTCTCAAACACACACATGCACACACCCACACCAACTTCATTCTTCTCCACATCCAAATGCTTAAAAAAAAGAAACAGTCCCTAATCTTACGCAATAAACCTCTAGTATGAGGCATCGACCTGAAAAGGAGCTTAATGGTTTGATAACGCTCTCAGGGAACGATGAGTTGGTGTCTTGGATAAGAGATGCTGAAATATTTCTATCCCCGTTTAGTCAGCTGATGTTCTAGACGGACAGACCGTCAGAGGACGACAGGAAAGGAGGATTCAGATAAAGAAGAGATCAAACAAACAGAGCAAACTGAACAAAACAAAGTTAAATAATGAATAATGAAATCAGTTAAAGGAATATTTCTGGGTTAGAGAGAGAGAGAGAGAGAGAGAGATTGCCAGAATTTGCGATATGGTGTCAAATTACCTCAGAAAATCATTTCTCTCGTTGCAGTTGGTAAAAAAAAACCCCAAAAACAGTTATGCATTTACTGTGGGGCAAGTTTAAAGCTGTTGCCCCACAGACTTTCATTGTACGTGTATTAATGTTTTCTTTTTTTGTCGTTGTTTTAAGGATGTTACAATTATTTCTTTAACCAGGAATTTTCCTTTTATAAATTAAGTGAAAAAGAGAAAGGTTGAGAAAAATGACAAAAACAAACAAACAAAGAAATGGGCTATCAATTTAGCATTCATTTAGTGTGACTAATTAAATAACACAAATAAATGAAGTCATTGACAGCCCTAAAAATAAAAAGGGGGAACGAAATAAAGGAAAGGAAAATGCAAGAAGACCTGAAAGTGAAGTTTATGTGGATGAAGGAGGAGTCGGGAGGTATGAGGAAGAGGAGAAGGATGAAGAGGAGGACGGTGCGGGGTGAAAATATGCCCCAGGGACCAGCGGCTAGAGAGGGACATGACCTAGAGGCGAAACAAAGAGGTCACAGAGGTCAAAGCTTGGGAAGGTGAAAACACAAACGCGCACACACACATAATCAATCAATCAATGATGGTTGATTCTTTAATTAGAGGAATTTTGAAGTGTGTTGAAATTAAACATTTGCAAGAATCAGATTATTTTGGGCTTGTCCTTTACCCATGACTTTTAGACTAGACTACTTCAAGAACTAGTAGTTCACTGTTTTGAATAAATACATTAAATGCTGTTGTTCACTCTCTTCACTTAATTATACTCAGCTGTAAATGACTCATATAAATTAGAATGGCTATTTTGTTGTATTTAGTGTAAATATATGTTATTGATTTTTAAAATGAGATTTTTTTTGGTCATACTTTAAATTAGTGTCAATTTTTCACTATTAACTACGACTTTTGCCTCAATCTCCAAATTACTGCTAATTAATAGTTAGTAAGGTAGTTGTTAAGTTTATGTATTGGGTAGGATTAAGGATGTAGAATATGGTCATGCAGAATAATGCATTAATATGTGCTTTATATGTACTAATAATAAGCCAATATCGTAGTATATGCATGCTAATAAGCATAAGCAAGATAATTGGACCCTAAACTAAAGTGTTAAAGTTAAAGATTTTTCAAATCGATTGGTTATCTGTATATTTAAATATATCTTAGCTCCTTTTTGCTAGTAGTTTGAAGTGAAGCTAACTACTTTTTTCCAAAAGGCTTGACATTGAGAAGCTTGTAGTAATCTATAGCAGATAGTGAAAGTTTGAAGAGCTTTCATTTTTCAAGACTTCAAGTAGTCAAAAATTCCCTTAATTTTAGAATCACCCATATACAGTGCATTCAACCGACTGCAGGAGTGGACACATGGAGATGAACAGAAGAGAGAAGGATTCCGTTCTCATGGAGCAACACAGCGTATCGTGTCCATATGGAGAAGAGGTACCGCTACATAATGAACAATTTCTCCTACACAAGGGAAAATCAATATCCGAGTACACCACACACAGCCACAGAGAATGCTGTTAGTGTTCAGGGTAACAGCGTGAACAAACACACACACACACACCAACAAAGGGCCTTATTCACAAAAAACAAGCAGAACAAATGTGCTCTAATCATTCATAAATCCATTCTTACGTAAATGGTCACATAAGCACTATTCAGAAGGGATTAGTTGAGTTATTAACACAGGACGCCTGTGATTTCATGAACTGATTCAGATAGATCTTGAGATGAGATCATATTTGTAGTTCGTTTGTGTTACTAAGATCACAGTGTATAATGTCCAAATGTGGGGGCTTTAAAAGGTCAGGATATGTGCGTATATATGATTAATTTGGTACATTTGTGCCTGTTATTAGAGACTACTCCCAGACTAAAATGCATGTTTGACCTGTCTTAACTCAAATAACTCAATATATTAAAATATGTCAGTGCCATTGTTTTGTCTCAAGATGCACACCAGTAGTGTTTTTTTCTAAGGCATGTTTATAAAAGCTACTTAAATGTTACCCAAGTAGCTAAGTAGCTAAGGCCTAATCCTGGCTTTATGTAAGCCCCGTCTGTGAAACCGGGCCTTTATAATATATTCTAAGTTTATACATTATTCATAACATTTTAAATGCCTGTATGTAATGTAATTGATTAATGGAGGGAATTAAGAAGATGATCCTCTTTTTATGTCAGATGGGACGTCAACAGTAACAAACTATTCATTCACCCAGAAAAGTTTCACCAACCAGAAATTTGATAAATTTAGTAGCTTTATTTATAGTATTTAAAAAAGGCCTATATATATATATATATATATATATACACTCACCGGCCACTTTATTAGGTACACCTGTCCAACTGCTCGTTAACACTTAATTTCTAAGCAGCCAATCACATGGCGGCAACTCAGTGCATTTAGGCATGTAGACATGGTCAAGACAATCTCCTGCAGTTCAAACCGAGCATCAGTATGGGGAAGAAAGTTGATTTGAGTGACTTTGAACGTGGCATGATTGTTGGTGCCAGAAGGGCTGGTCTGAGTATTTCAGAAACTGCTAATCTACTGGGATTTTCACGCACAACCATCTCTAGGGTTTACAGAGAATGGTCCGAAAAAGAAAAAACATCCAGTGAGCGGCAGTTCTGTGGGCGGAAATGCCTTGTTGATGCCAGAGGTCAGAGGAGAATGGCCAGACTGGTTCGAGCTGATAGAAGGGCAACAGTGACTGAAATAACCACTCGTTACAACCGAGGTATGCAGCAAAGCATTTGTGAAGCCACAACACGCACAACCTTGAGGCAGATGGGCTACAACAGCAGAAGACTCCACCGGGTACCACTCATCTCCACTACAAATAGGAAAAAGAGGCTACAATTTGCAAGAGCTCACCAAAATTGAACAGTTGAAGACTGGGAAAATGTTGCCTGGTCTGATGAGTCTCGATTTCTGTTGAGACATTCAGATGTTAGAGTCAGAATTTGGCGTAAACAGAATGAGAACATGGAACCATCATGCCTTGTTCCCACTGTGCAGGCTGGTGGTGGTGGTGTAATGGTGTGGGGGATGTTTTCCTGGCACACTTTAGGCCCCTTAGTGCCAATTGGGCATCGTTTAAATGCCACGGCCTACCTGAGCATTGTTTCTGACCACGTCCATCCCTTTATGGCCACCATGTACCCATCCTCTGATGGCTACTTCCACCATGTCACAAAGCTCTAATCATTTCAAATTGGTTTCTTGAACATGACAATGAGTTCACTGTACTAAAATGGCCTCCACAGTCACCAGATCTCAACCCAATAGAGCATCTTTGGGATGTGGTGGAACGGGAGATTCGCATCATGGATGTGCAGCCGACAAATCTGCGGCAACTGTGTGATGCCATCATGTCAATATGGACCAAACTCCCTGAGGAATGCTTCCAGCACCTTGTTGAATCTATGCCACGAAGAATTGAGGCAGTTCTGAAGGCAAAAGGGGGTCCAACCCGTTACTAGCATGGGGTACCTAATAAAGTGGCCGGTGAGTGTATATATATATATATAAATTGCAAAGTGTAGAGAGAAAAAATACTGCTATCATCTCTGCATATTCTTACCCGGGACTGGATGTCTCAGAGGATGCCTGAGTTAGCAAAAACAGGATTGAATGGCACAAGAGAGAAGGAGAACAGGATCTGAAAATGTTGGGAGCTGAATTTGAATCTACAAAGTCCATTTGAGCACCGTATCGCTCAGAGCATGCATGGTGTCTGCTACACCACAGCTCAATTTAAAGTGCCAAATTGGCCCAGTATTTATACTGTAATATCACATTTTATGTGGACAGTGATCTGGGCTTTAAAACAGATAGAGAAGTTAGGCTTCTCATTAAAACTAAAGAGGGTTATGTCTGCAGGCTGGACTCCAAATGCAACTGTTTATTTTCAACCAGGCATCCATCGTTTCTGTCCTGCGTGTAATCCAACTCCAACAGGCAGGGTGTGTTTTATTTTTATGACGAGCTCCCACCTATTCTGGGCCCTTATCCAGAGAGTGGTAATATCCCTGTTGGTGGCAGGGGGGAGAGAGAGGCACCGTGCCCGCTCTGGGGGCACTGGGACGAGGGCAGATGGAGAGGAAGGCTGCCCTGGAGGAAGCCACTTGCTGGAGCTCTGTGCAAACAGCCCTCATCAATCTCTTTCATCCTTAAACGCACTGAAGGGAGAGGAGATGGAGTGTGCCGTTTACAGATCAAACACTCACCTCTCCGTCCCTCAGGACAGGCTGCGACACACACGCGCTGGCGTGCGTACAACAAACAACCTTTCACTGTGAGGACGTAAATCCATTGCAATACTGCCAAACACACATTTCTCAATATTGGTTTTAAAAATTCGCACGTGCTCCTAAACAGACAATCATGCAAACATTGAAATCAATAAATGGCTAATAAGTATGTTCGTCCGTGCGGTTTTTAATTCACAAACTCATTTTAGGATGAGGGCCAGATTGGTTTCCAAATGTTTATAATTTCATTCACCAGAGGTCTTTAGATGGCATAAATATCAAATTGCTAATAAGGAAATATTATTCAAATAACAAAATTGACACAAAACCCGATCATTGCTCTTGGCTTACTCATTTGATAAGCCCTCTAAAACAAAACAGCAATACAAAGTTAGGCCTAAAAAACAGAAACCGTACAATCAATTTAAATCACATTTACTATAGATTCTACTGTGTTAAGATGCAAGCTATAACGTGCAACACAACAATTTAAAGTATTTATCTGTCATGTTCTAGCTAAAATTTGAATATGAAGAATATATCATAGCAATATAATAAAGAATATGGCCACATGTCCACCAAAGCGTTTTTTATTTTCCAGTTGAGATGCTTTGCTTGAAAACAATTGGAAAATACGCCAGCCACGTAAAAGACACGCTTTGGTGGATATGATAAACAAATAAATGTTTTGGTATCATTTAAATATACACTACCGATTTAAAAGTATGGGTTACAGATATGGGTTCAAGGTGTGCAGGTGTACATATGTACAGATGGATGAGGTGAGACGGGCTGCTGTGTTAGGCAAAGTCAAAGGGCAAAGTCACTCACACTCTTGCGTATGTTGACGCGAGGTTTAGGGACAGGTTTGGAGGGTTTGCTGTCGAAGCTCTCGGGCAGAGTGGATGACCCGTGGCCGCTCTTTCTGGCCTGCAGGGCCAACTGATACGCCACCTCAAACGCCTGGCCCAACGTCAGGATAATCTCATAGGCCAGATTCTGTTAAAAAAACAGACATGCAGAGGCGATGAGACGCTTTTTCAAAAATCAACTTGCAAATCACACTTGTGGTGATCTACGCCGTTACAAATCAGCAGAGAAAATGTCGAAAAACCCTTCAAGATTTGAGTTCAATTCAGTGCTACTACATTTGGCAGCATTTTACCACTTTTCTTCCATAATTTCAGAGCTTAGTGATTTTTAAATGATTAAAAACATGCTTTAAGCATGTTATAAATGATTCATGTGTTGTGACTAGCTGATGCACAGACAGCTCTGTGGTGTTACTGTGACAGGCGGTAACACAGAAGACATCAGCTTACTAAACAGACATTTTCCTTAAAAAAAAAACACTAAAGCCTTTTAAGCTAACAAAAAGTATAGTTTGTATTTAAAATGACTATACAAATGTGACATTTAAGTTTTGATGAAGACTTGTCAGACCTACCAAGTGTTTTCACAGGAAATTAGAAAATAGTTCAGAACTTGACACTAGATGTTGATTCTTAAAAAAGGTCAAATATAAAATGAATATACATTTAAATAATCAACAATGAACAATAGGCTACTTTCTGTTTTTCCTATTATTTTGGTCTTTTTTACATTCATTTGATGATTCAGACAAATTATCTTTAAGTCAATAATCAAATACATCTTCACCAATATATTATTAATAATTTCATTTGTATTTATGAAATGTGGAATTCGTCAAACATGGTTTGCAACACTTGCGTAAGTGAGCTTTAATGGATGTTTCAGTTTTATTGATGCTTTATCAGACATGGGTTTATCTATTATCTGCTACTAACCACATCGAAAGCTGTAAACACGTGGCAGTAATGATGGCTGGATTTCAGGTCCTTGGTGATGTACGCAAATGTGGACAGATCTTCAGGGTCCTGCGCGGCACACGAGATATTCCTGATCTCATGCTCGGCTATGATGTTCTAAACATCGGAGAAAGGGAGAGAAATAAGAGGAAAAGAATCAGATTTAAATGCATCTTTGTTTAACAATAACATTTTTCTATTCTACATTTCTACTAAAAACAGCTAATAAATTGCCTTAGAATGGCACTTTTTGTGAGATCTATTCAACGCTTTGTCAGAATAATGTAATGATCTTTATCTTTATTTATTTAATGACATGCAATTTATTGTGATTGATTATTCAATTAAATTTTTTATTGACTGACAGCCCTAATTTCTGTCTTATAAAGGAAGATGAAAGTTCCGATTATAATCCATGTATAAATTGAGACATCATACAGGTAACAGCAGATGATTACCTTGTTAGTGGCATCGATAAACTTGACTCCCTTATAGGAGACAGACAGTACTATGGTGGGGATCTTCTTCATCTGTTCTGTAGACTTCTTACGGAGAGAAAGAGAGGAGGAGAGATCAGCAGACAGTCTCCAACATTAACATTCATGAGGCCCCATCACACACTGACTGAGATCTGCTTTATACAAACTCAAACGCACACTAAATTATTTACAAATAATGCCCTTCAATACTCTGCAATAACCCAGATAGAGAGCCATCTCATGAGACGTAAAAAAGGGACAAAATAACATTGTGCACTGTTAAAAATGTGGCCTGATTTGGTTTGAACGATGATGATATATACCACATATAGTGCTGCTGGGAATAAAAAAGGTTTAAAAAAGCTGGTTTCCCACTCTGGTCAGCCAGTGGAAACCAAGGTGTCAAGTCCCCAAAACCTCTAGAAAACCAGCAAACCTGACCAGGTTGGGAGACCACCTCTTGCTGCAGGGGCCTAAATCACATGCAGCCGAGGATGAAGATGAACTTCAGAGAATCAGAATTCTTTTTGAATATATTCCTACGCCATCATATCAGCCGTCAGAGTGGAAAATATATTCATCTGGACCTCATTTCCCCTCTCGCTCTCACTGTCAGTGATTTCCTGTCAAAATAGTCTGCTTAAAACAAAGAGCGAGAGATAGAGGACCTAAATTTACACCCTCTGAATGTATTAATGTGTTTGTGAAGAAGCAAGGGGCGGCAGGTCTCAAACTTTCTCTGCCTCATCGAAATGTGCAGCGGGGAGCAGAAAGGAGCGGGATGGAGAACAGATGGTGTTTTACATGCATTCAAAAACAGAGCAGGCAGACTGTCCTGCCGTGTTGAATAATCGAATGGGAACGGGGGCCCGGGGGCCATTGAAGTAAGAACAGGTATTTTGAGGGAAATATTTATTCACTGTGGGAAGTTACGAGAAATTTGATAATTGTCGAATATTTCCCTAAATATCGTCTTGCGTGAGTGTAAATCCCAAGTATGCTGTGTGCTCTCGTAGTCCTGTTTTCTCAATGACTGTGTCATAGTGACCCGAGGGCAGCGGGAGGATGACTAGACATGGTGACACAACTCTTACCCTCATTTTTGCGCAGGCATCATGCGTGGACTCTGTACCGCGCAACTCCTTCACCAACATAGACCCCAGATACTGCAGAACAAACACAACCAGAAACTGAGAAACTTCGAAAAAGTTGATAAAAAGTATAAAAAATAATAATTAACCATATACAGTATATGTGTGTACGTACTACGTATGTATATAAATGTATGTATATAAGACCACCTCAGTATTCAGATTATCCTTTTCTTTTCCAGCAGTAGCGTGCACAGATTGTGTCACTGTGAGCACAACTTGTCAAATAAATCAATAACTGAATGGAAATGTAGCCGTGTACAACGAAGTGTGTAGGAACGGAAGAGATCGGTCGGAAAGAGCTTAGTTGTGCTGTGATCTGCTGAAGTGTTACGCTGCACTGCTGGGTATCAGACAAGGACAACCTTGAGAGCCAGCAGACTGTGCTTCACATGAAGGCAATCTGGAATCTACCATGCTGAGGTGTGACAGTATTTTCTAAAGCATTCCGTTAATGTAAAACCCAATCATCTTAAGACTAGATGAGACCGAAATGTTGACCGGCAATACTCTCAGAATCTGCACTACTCATTTTCAATCGCAAAATCTTATTTCCAAATCCAGTCTAGACAAAAATATTATATGATGAGATTGGCTACCTTATGATCACCTAGCTAAGACTATTTATGAAAGAAGAAATACCGGGACACTAAAAATAGAGCCAAAAAAAGGGACGTCTGGTCACCCTATCAATAATAAAAGTAAGTATAATAATTGTCAGGTGAGCATCTCATTACTGACCTAATTTTTGGAACCATGAGAGTCAGAATCACCAGTTTAAGTCTAATATCAGTTTAGACATTTTTTTAAAGCATATTTTACTACTAGTCAGATCAGCATTGATTGAGAGTTTCCTGATTCCTTCACAGTTCAACATTGGGAACAAAACTCTTGACCATTGGCCTCTGTGGTTCAGGCACACATACATGCGTGGATTCTGTTCATAAACTCCATCAGTGTTTTTGGCAATGGAGAATAAGCCAATCAAATTTATATGGCTGTTGCTAGGAAACAGAGTGGGTTTATGTTAGCTAATACTAGAGATGCTCGGGCCCAAAGAGAGCTGAAAAAACCTGTATTGATTGAAGGTTAAAACACCATTATTCACCACTGAATAACTAATAGACTCGCAGATAGCTTTCACGTTCGCTTTTCTCTTTCGTTATCTGATGGAGGACAGGAGCCCGCCAAGGCCGCATCCACTTCTAAATTCCTCGTACACTCACATTTCAAGTGTTTTTTTGGTTCCTGTAGAAACATCTGAGAAAGATTCATCATTTATCACTTTTAAAACCCACACTTACATATGCTTCATAGTCACATGACTGGAATATAAGCTTCTCAGGATGGTGCTGCCAGTACTGCACCGGCGTAGATGATGTCGCCTCGTTCGGAGGCCGTAACGTGATTGGCTCGCACCATTCCCCTTGCTAAAAAAAAAAAAAAAAAAAAAAAAAAAAAGAGGAAGTGGGAAAAAACATAAATGTTTGTAATTATATCAAGGTCCAGCATTCAGGTTACAAAAGCTGAAGCTATATATATATTGCAGGGTTCAGTAACTGAATAGTTGCTAAGCATTTCTTTTCTAAAGGCTGTTTGTTGCTCTTTCAATCCATTTCTTTTTTCCCTCTCTTCCTCTGTGTGTGTGTGTGTGTGTATATATATATATATTTATATATATATATATATATATATATAATATAGTACTGGTCAAAAGTTTGGAAACATTAAGATTATTATTGTTTTTGAAAGAAGTCTCTTATGCTCATCAAGCCTGCATTTATTTAATCAAAAATACAGAAAAAAAAAACAATTAATTTTAATATACTTTAAAATGTAATTTATTCCTGTGATGCAAAGCTGAATTTTCAGCATCATTACTCCAGTCTTCAGTGTCACACGATCCTTCAGAAATCATTCTAATATGCTGATTTAGTATCCATGTTGGAAACAGTTGTGCTGCTTAATATTTTTTAAATTAATACTTTTTTTCAGGATTCATTGATAAACAAAAAGTTTAAAAGAACAGCATTTATTCACAATATAAATCTTTTCTAAAAATATAAATCTTTACTATCACTTTTTTATCAATTTAACACATCCTTGCTGATTAAAAATATTAATATCTTTCAAAAAATAAATAAAATAAATAATGTTTTTTTTTTTTTTACTTTTTATTCATCAATACATGCAATACATCAACACAGGTTCTAATAACAACATTAAGCAGCACAACTGTTTCCACCATTGATAATAAATCAGCATATTAGAGTGATTTCTGAAGGATCATGTGACACTGAAGACTGGAGTAATGATGCTGAAAATTCAGCTTTGCATCACATAAATAAATTATATTAAAATAGAAAACCATTATTTAAAATTGTAATAATATTTCACAATATTAATGTTTTTTGTATTTTTGATCAAATGTTTCACACACAAGTACAAGTTTCATAGTTTTCTGACCTTTTTCTTAGTCTCTCCCTCCCTCTGTGATGATATATGGAACCACAGGGCAGGAAAAACGGATAAATTAACAACAACAATAATCAAAATAATAATAAAGAATTAAAATAAATATTTTCATAAACTTACTAATAACATGATTTGTTTCAGCGCTGAATAACTAACTAACTAACGAACTACTAAATAAATAAACAACTTTCTCCAGCAAATTTTCAATGTAGATTCTATCACTTAACCGAGTACATTTACGATAATCATAGATTTCTGGAGTGGAGGGTTCAGAATGTAACTGGAATCTGGATAGTTGCGAGGATTTGGTCTAAAGCCTTTTTGTCGCTCTTTCAATCTTTCTCTCTCTTTCTCTCTGTGATGATATATGGAGCCACAGGGCAGGAAAAACAGATAAAGGCTAAGAGGAAGAGGACGTAAGGGTAACCCTTTGTCATTACGTTCGGTTCAGTAACTCATTCTATTCACAATCACGACAAAACACACAGGCACACACACATCACTGATAAGCTCACAATGAGAGATCTTCGCCACAACACATTCACAATAGCAAACACTTTTACACACCATGGCACTGATTTATTGAGATTCTATCAGGACACAAAGGTGCACAAAGCACAATTCACACCAACACACGCAGAGGGGAGTAGTGCACTTGACGCAAGTGCACTAACTCACCATACTGACTTGTGCCATCTGTCTCTCTAGTTTGGAGCGCGGGACGTCCTCGAAGTAGTTGTCGTTGCGTCTGCGTCGGGCGTCTGCCTGCATGATGAGATGCTGGACGTCCAGAGAGCCGGCGTTGGTGTAGGCCTGATTCAGAGACGGAGACAGCTGAGGGGGAGTGTGGTTCCCGGTGGGCTCCTGCGGGAGGGCGACAGAGAAATGTTTTTTTGGTGGTTAGCAGGGTGGTTAGTGGAGAAACTGCCAGGAGACAGAGAGCTTATAGGGACTTTCTCATTCGAGGTCTGATTTTGTGCCTGTTTTTGGTTGATGTTTGTGTTTGAATTATTTTTTTAGTCATATGACCCACTGTTTCTACGTCAGACAGCACTGAAAAAGAGGCTGAGGAGGCCTAGCTGCGTTTGAGCAGCAGCTGTCTGATCCAGCCTGGAAGATCAAGTTAAATCCCTGCAGCGGATCAGGCCATAAGAATGCCATCGCTCTCAGGATAAAAGCAAATCACGCAGAAAGTGACTTTTTCTGTTTTCTTAAAAACATTTCTCTCTATAAACATTTCGAGGAACAGGATAAAAAAACAAAACAATGCATACACACAAACATAAAATACAACATATACTATGGGTGACATTTAGGATGAACATTCAATTTATCATTCTATCGTTGACTGAAAACATGAGGGGAGTTTCTGATTCATACTCGCCCTTAGAGAGATGGCCCGTGGTGGCTTCTGTGGAGGGTCTTCGTGCAGTCGATCTCCAAGTGATGCGAGTATTCTTTTCCTGTGGCCGATCAAATTAATCTTAAGAACCTGAAAAAGAGAGAGAGAAAGAGAGAAAAGTGAGTGCTGTGCATTTAGTCCTCTGTACTTTGACACATTCACATAATGCTATTCTTATTATCACCACAATCAAGTTTCAAGCCAACATGAAATCAAAATTGACCTGCTTGTTAATAAAACTTCCTGGTTTATTTCATAAAATAAAATAAATATAATAAAAAGTAATTTTCTCAATAATAATAATAATAATAATAATACATAAGTTAAAGGCAGGGTAGGTAAAAATCCCCAAAAATACTTTTTTCCAAATTTGTTTAAACTGTCTTTATATATCAATGCATAATTAAAATGTAAGTAATCTGGAAAAGAAATTATAAAAATCGAGTGTCTGTAGTCCTCTCAGGACTGCAATAAACACAGCTCATTATTCCATTCGGGACGAAAGAAAATATTGGCTGGGGCGACTGTCACTCTCCCCTCCCTCGCTACCATGGACACCACCTCTGCTGATACAGGAGCAGCCCAAATGCGCGCACCCGTTTGAAGAGGCACGGAAGCTAGTAATCACAATTATGGCAGAGAAAGAACAGTCAAAATTCTCAGTACCTGCATATACAGGCAGCGAAGTCAAACAAGTTAAAAAAAGGAAGACAGTATTTGAAGGCTATGAACAAAAAGTCTTTGGATAAATCAAGAAATCGTAAGAGAGTCAATATCGGCGTGGCTTTCCAGCGGTGGCGACAACTGAGGGATCTCAAGGGGCTGAAAAGTGACTCCATGATGGCATTATTTCTGCTGGACAGGTAATCTCGCTGTTTTCATTTTGATGGCATTTATTTTTTCATGAAGCATATCACTAGCACACGTAGCTACCTAATACAGCTACCTAACGTTACGTAGCATAACTAACGTTACACTGGCTTAGCTATGACAGTGTAACTTTGGTGTCGACTGTTATAACGTTACTGTTAGTGAGCCAGGGTTGAGACGATAAATAATCAATAGGCCTATCTGCAGTTGAAAGCTGTTTTGTTTAATTTCGCCAAATCTAACTTTAGGGTAAAAAGTTTAGGGGATCTATTTTTATACCTAGCTTTACCCTCTGCCAAAACTTTGTTCCTATGTTCACCGTGAACTCTACCTGCTCCGTTTTTTGACGTTTGGTTTGTTGTTATATGCTCTACATATGTTTACCTATGTTTTTATGTTGTATCTGTATGTGTTATACAATATATGTTGTGTGTGTGTGTTATATTATCTGGTGTCTGCAATGCAGTTGTGAGAAGGTGTTTGAGTGTATGTTACTCAGTTTATCTGTAAACAATACATCAGAGCCAACAGTGCTTTCATCGTGGAAGCTCTTACATGCAAAACACCTGTATATGTTATGAATCTTACAAATTCACCTTCATGCAGTGTAACTGATAGTAACGGCAAACGTGTATCTATGAAGCTATTTATAGCTTTGCCTTATATTGAGTTTGATTCGGTTACGAGCTAGTAAAATATTTTAAACTTTACCAGTATCGATATGCGAGTTTGAAAGTGTGTACTAACAGCCATGTTAATTGTTTATATTCATACTGATAAAGTTAGTTATTTTATTACTTGTGATTCTGACATGATGTCACTACAGGCACTGCACTCCTCTCTGCTCGGCGCTGGTAAACGCGTCCGACTCTTCCAGCTGAGCGAACGGCCGGGATCGCGCGTTCATGTGTTTTGGGGGCGTGGCTTTGGAAGGAGCCGAGAAGGGAGGGCGTGGGAGTTATTGGAATAATGAGCTGTGTTTATTGCAGTCCTGAGAGGACTACAGACACTCGATTTTTATCATTTCTTTTCCAGATTACTTACATTTTAATTATGCATTGATGTATAAAGACAGTTTAAACAAATTTGGAAAAAAAGTATTTTTGGGGATTTCTACCTACCCTGCCTTTAAATAAAATAAGTCAATAAATAAATAATGAATAAACAATGTTTTCATAAACTTAAACTTACATAAAAATGTAACTTGCACCAGTATATTTCCTTTCCCACTGATGTCATCGAGACCACACAGTTAACGTTAACTCATGTTCGGTGTGCAATAAATTGGGAACAGTAATTCTTGCTGACTTGCTGACTACCCATGTGCTAAATCCTCTAAAAAAGCCCTATGCCATATTTCAATATAGTAATTACATTTTGTTCAGTACAAACAGTGCCTTCTAATTTCTTCAGTGAATTGGGTGTAAAATTACATAGACAGCATGTGCAAATAAATTAGGTGGGCTCTTTATGTTCACTTCCTGTCCACAAGAGCTTTTGTATTATTGTCTGGGGTGCATCAGGGGTGTAATAATAATAGTAAAAGATGGTCACTTAAGAACCCTGGTCAATCTGATGAAACCTAAAGAACACACACACAGAAACACACACACACAAAACTCTTTCTTTTGCAAACTGTCCTATTTCTTTCACTCTCACCACAAACACACACTCGCGCGCGCGCGCACACACACACAAGACAACCTCGATGAACAGGGAATTACTCCACCCAATTAATGAGCATACATAAAGACTGAGCCATTATTGTAAACCAGGTTGCACAGAAGCATCAAATGCATGTGAGGAACCCACTTTAGTCACAACACAGAACTTTCTCAGTGTCTTCTCATTGGCTGCCTTATTCCTATCCCTATAGCAACAATCTTCTCTTGCTTCATTTATAATGATCGCCACTATTTTACCCTAGAAAATTGAATCAATGGGAGGATATTTCCTTTCAGCACAATCATGGTTTTCAATTAAGACAGTGTCCGTGAATTGTCTGTCAGGTGACCTGCATGATGCTGATGAAGGAGCAGGGCTCCCACACATCTTCACTAATTAAAAAAAACACACTTATTTGCAAATTAATTTAGTGAATTCTGTGAATTGTGTGTTTTTGAATGATTCACTGAAAAAGAAATTCTCAAAATTCAGACACCTTTTGAGCAAGTTTTACTTTCCACATGAGCAATATTTCTAAATATTTCTGATTGAATATTTTAGAGCAGATCAGCTTAAAAAAAACATTCAATACAGAAATTTCCATTATTTATTTTTTTATTTACATAACACAATATTAAAATTCCCTAAAATTGACAGGTTTTTCACAATCGTGGAAACAGTGTCATTATGGACTGAGCAAACGTACGTAATAGCTAACTATAAATCCATAAAAAGAGTGGAACCCCTAAAAGGTTCTATATAGGAAGCACATGACAGAACCATTTAGGGTCCCCCAAAAAGAACCTTTTCTTCTAAGAGTGTACATGTTTAGTTCTCAACTGTGGACTCCCTCACTTCCCCAATCTAAAATAGAACCAAAAACAGAAAGTAGCCAGTCCAAGAAAGAGAAAAAAAACAAATGTTTGCAGGCTACATAATTGTTCATCCTGGACAAAATTCATCCATCTTCATGTGCAGAACTACTTACATTTTAACGCTCTGTGTTAATGATCCCCTGTGTTTCTCCTCAAAGCCTCTCATGTCTAAAATCGATTTGTGTAAGGAGGTTTCGGACTGTGTGCACCAGAGGCTCATTAACCCGGTTTAAACCCTCTGAAGATGGCACAAACAAGCCAATCTGAAGCAGCCGGCAACCGGTCTCCCCCAGGCCCATGCTGGCCAGATTACAGGTGGTTAGGGCAACAGAGACTGGAACTGGACAGAAAACCCTTCAGGACTACAGCAGGATGTGTGCGCTCGCTGAACTTTTAGGAGTTTAAACCACACAAAATGTGATTTCAATGAGAAATAAAGCGCAAAAGAACACTGCTATGCCTGTCTGATATAGTCAGACTTGTGTTTTTGACTATTGACATAAAGTCTGGTCCACTTGCATGTTATTCTGACCATGAAATATTCCTGCTTAGTTTTTGGTAGTGCTGGGCAATATAGAGACATAAAAGTACATATATAATACATACCTTTTATTACTTACATAATTCAAAACCACTTAATACATGTTCTTATAGGTATTTAATCTGACATACCGTAAAACACAATATAATCGGTCCCATATAGGTTATGTTTTTATCGTATTCGCTGATATATTTAATTGTGCATGTTCATTTCCTCTATTTTTATATTTTTACCTTTGCCGTCATCTAACAATGACAAAGCTAGTCTTTAAAAAAATTATACTTTAAGTGTAATCTTTAGCAAATCTCAAAATGAATATGCATTTTTTCATGCTATATATAATAATGTTATTCCTAAAATTACTTCTAGTATTTAATTTTAGTATTTATAGCCTATATTTATTTATTTAAACAAAATGGCATAGAATTGACCATAACATGCAAATAATTCTTTATTTTTAAATGATTTATAATCAAAAGTTTGTACAGACCTTTGATTGTAGCATTTTGACTAGAAAAGTTCCTTGCAGGCAATAATTAGCAGCCCTTGTCAACTTTTGCAGTAAAGCCAGCCAATCAGATCAAAGCTTGCTATCTTAAGAATGCTCATGCCATTCTTGTAGCCAGTGTGCATCAGAGGCACAGACTACAGATACGCAGAACTTAATATAAGCTATTTATATTCCTGCACGCATGCCATTGCAGGAAACGGACAAACAAAAGGAGAGAAAACAGGAGGAAATGAACAAAGAGAGTATGCGGAGTGTGTAAGGTTCAGTGCTGCCTTACTGCATGACAGTAAAAAGCAGAGGAGATTGAATTTCATTTAAATGCAAATGTGTAGAGCAGGCTGCAGCGAAGATGCAATGTGGCATAGAGGAATACTGTACAGACCGGACGACAGCGCAAACGGCTGTATTACACGAGAGAGGTGCTCGGATGATATGCATAAGCCTCACATTACACATGCAGCAGGGGTGATAAAGAGAAGCAGCCATGTGTTTTAATCACCTCGACTGCTTGTGAACATCACCGCACCGCCGGGTACAGTATGCTGACTGCAGTCCTGTATCTTAAAGCGACTGAGAGCTGCATCCTAATTTACATACTAACTGCTGTACTATATATAAGATCAGGATT